AAGCGATTCTGAGTAGTTTCAATTGATTGCATCAGATTCTGGTGGACTTTTGGCAGTTTGTAGTGGCATAGTCCGGAAAATGTGTCCGACTCAATGGGGTGTCCGAGTCAATGGTGAATCACGTTATATATATATGTATTAAGTTTCTGTCTTCTCACCGTGTTCTTTCTCCCTCCCACACAGATGCTCACTTGAGCCACCCTCATTACTGAAGGGACACGCGCTTTCCGTTTCGCCTCATCACCATCAGAATTACACTGACCACCAACACCGACCTCATCACGGCCAGTCTGCCAAAAATCTCGTCAATCCGCAACGGCGTGTCTCGCGCGGGGCCGCACCTGGCCCGCCGCATACGTCTTTCAATTGCAGGTCACACAGCGCACTTACACATCCACCTCTACCAACATGGACTCTTCAAAACCGACCACCACAAGTTTTCTCCACGACTCCCTCCAACCCACCGTCCACCGAACAGGACCCTACTCCTCGCGGCCCCCGTCCCCGCCCTACATCCACGTCCCACCACCCATCCACCCCAACCTCCGCAACCCTTCCAATGGAAGCAACACCAACAACCTCAACTCCTCCTCCTCCAACATCACAACAACCACCACCGCACCCGGCACGAACGACATCGTCATGACCATCCGCCCCTCCCCCGCCGCGGTCCACACCACCAGCCTCTCGGAAGCCGATTTACAGCTCATCACCCGCGGCTTCCAGCCGCAGTCGGCCCGCGACGGCGCGTCTGCATGGCTCTACGAGTCGCGCCGCCGCGCCCAGCAGGTGCTGGATTTTCTGTGGCTGGGTCCCGCTAGCGCCGTTAAGGACCGGGATTTTTTGAGGCGAGAGGGCATCACCATGGTTTTGTGTGCGCGGGACGCGAGGTTTGCTGGGGTGGGCGGAGAGGGGATGCTCGTTACGGGTGCGAAGAGGTACGTGGAGGGGATGGGGATTGAGGTCGGCGGGGTTGATGTCGCTGATGGGAGGGAGCTGGTTGGGGCGTTCTCGGTTGTGGTGGGGAGGGTGAATGAGCATGTCCTGGCGGTCGAGAGGGACGGGAGTGGCAGGCGAGGGAAGGTGTTGGTGGTGTGTGAGACGGGGAATGATCGGTCGGCGGCGGTTGTGGCGGCGTATCTGATGGCCGTGTATGGCCTGGACACCGTGCAGGCAGTGCAATTCATGCAGCTGCAGCGGTTCTGTGTCGCGCTGGGTGATGATTTCAAGTTTCAGCTGCAGACGTATGGGGATATTCTCAGGGCGAGGGGAGATGTCGGGATTATGGGCGAGCAGCAGCAGCAAAGGGGCGAGGTGGTAGGGGCGAATGTGAAGCGGCGGATCGAGCAGACGGTGGGAGAGGCAGGGGAGGAGGACCGGGGTGTTATTATGGCGGAGATGGACGCTGAACGGTATGAGGGCAGAAACTTTGCACCTTTCGTTGAGAGTTAGTTCAAGGCGCGACGCATGCTTGGAGTTGAGGGATCGAGATGGCTCACGCGGAAGCCGCGGGACGCTTGTTGTTTGGAGATTAGGTGTCATAGAAAAGGGGGTCGGATTTTGGCTTGATTTGAGACGGTGTTATACCCACACCACACGGCTAGGACTTGTTACCTTAGATAGCCATGTATGTATGATGGCTGCCGCACATGGCGCTGCAGAGCAGTTGTGTTGCTCTTAGCTGCTGAAGCTATATACTGTCGGGCTGGTACCTAGGAACTGTGCCTCTGACTCTCTGTTCCTCACCCTGGCGCTCCTTGAACTGTCAGTAATCTTCCGCAGTGGAACCGGTTTACCTTCCTTGGTCTCTTCTTCTTTTCTGCTTTTCTTTGTTTAGTGATTAGCGTTCCCTGATCATAGATGGAGCTAATGATCCATCAACATCGGCCAACACGGAAAATGACAGAGCAAAAACCATATCCGGGGTCGGGGTTCCGATGCGACCTCAGATGCAGGAAGAATACCTGCCATGGTTAGCATGTCGCTGCTGTACGGCCCCGCTCGCGTGCTCGATTCAAATGTGATACTCACTCTGCTCACCGCTCTGGTATTGTCCTTCCTCTCGAAGAGTGCTAGCTCGAACCTCTTTGCGATGGCTGATCAGGAGGCGAGTGCGGGTACAGATCCCGTCTACAAGGGATGGACTGTGCATGAGACGAAGAAGATCGAAGTTGATGACACCGTAATGCCCGCCCTGTCATCTTATTTATGACCTGAACCTGACATTGCCTCGTTCAGATCGTCAACGAGGCGGATGACATTCGTAAGTGCTGACGCCCATCAACCGTCCCGCTTGCGTAATCTCAAGTCGCAACCAACTCATGAACGGTTCCAGCAGCGCAGATACCAGCTATGCAACGTCCTTAGCATCCAGTGTTATCGACTACGAGTCCGATCACGGTCGTCGCTATCATGCATTTCGAGCCGGAAGTGCGTATTTGTCTTGTGTGTTCAAGGATGCGTGACGGGTCATGGTCTAACACACTCGTAACCATCAGGATACTCCCGGCCAAATGACGAGCAGTAAATGGACCGCCTGCTGCTTTTCCACGGCATCATGACCCGTCTCATCGGGGCGCTTTACCTCGCTCCGATCGACCAGACCAAGACCCATCGAATCCTCGACATTGGCACCGGCACGGGTGTGTGTAAGCAAATTTTCTTCAACGAAGTTTCAATCCGGAATCCTTGCTCATACAGATAAAGGGGCTATCTCCATTGCGGATGACTTCCCCGACGCCACGGTTCGTCCATCCCCTCCAGCCAGTTCCCTTGAACATCCCCGGACTAACCTCACCCTATCTTGACGTAGATCCTCGGCAACGACCTAAGCGCCAACTTCCTATCCGCCGCCCCACCAAACGTCAAGTTCGAAATAGACGATGTTGAAGACAATTGGGTCCAGCCTTCAAATACGACTGGATCTTCTGCCGCTACATGGCAGCGTCCATCCACGACTGGCCCAAGCTAGTCTCCACCATCTACGAGTCCGCTCTCCTCCCTTTCTCACTATCTGCCCCTTTTTTGTGCCAATTCTCTAACAGCAAGAACCCACACCCAGGAACCTCACCCCGGGTGGCTATGCCGAATTCCAAGACTTCAACCTCCTCTACTACTCAGAAGACGGCACGTTAACTCTAAACCACGCCCTGCGCGAGTGGATCACGGCCCTCTGCGGCGCAGCAGAATCCCTCGGCCGGGACCCGAACCCGGGGTCGAAACTAAAAGCATGGGTCAGGGAGGCCGGGTTCAAGGGGTCATGCACCCGCGGTACAGGGTTCCCATTGGTGCGTGGGCGCGGGACCCGATACTCAAAGAGGTCGGCACGTGGAACTGGCGGCAGGTCATGAACGGGCTGGAGGGCCTGTCGATGCGGCTGTACTGCGGCGTGCTGGGGTGGCGGGAGGAGGTGAGGGGTTTGCTGACGAGTGTGAGACGGGATCTGGCGGATACCGGGGTGCATGCGCTATTCATTTGTGAGTTCTTTGTTCCCCTTCGTATGCTCTCTCTATGTGCGTTGTTGCGTCTACTCGGGTCGGTTGCTGACTGAGTGGCGTTGTAGTCATGTTGTGTACGGGCAGAAGCCGGAATGAATAAGGACCGCTGAGCGGTGGTGAGAGGAGAGAGGATCGGGATGAGGTGTCACTTGCTCAAGGGTAGAAGATCCTTACTGGTCAAAGTGCTCTATTCTTCTCGTTTAAACATGTCCGTCCTTTTTCCAATGCCTCCTCTATCGACAACATAGTATGTCCGGGTTGAAACAGGCAGTGCAGTCTGAAATGATCTGCAGGTTAGAGAGGTTGGCTAATAAGCCCGCCGTCCCAAAACGGGATCTGAGGCACGTTCTGCGCCACGCGCTGCGGGGTGCTGCTGATTTGGAGTCATCTTCCCCACGCCATGGCTAACGTGGTTATAGCCGGGGCGGGAGACCGAGCATCTAGTGCAAGCCTTCCCCGCATCCATTGCTTCCCTGGCCATGGGATACATTATTCCTCCTCCAATGTGGTGCCGCATGGCTGAGGCGGAGAGGGTTACTTCCGGGATCGGCAACCTCAGCGCGATGACACCGAGTCACGGAAGCCTTGGACGGGATTGAATCGGTTGATTCGGGAAATGAGAGCCAGAGCACTACCAGGCTGTAATGTCCTCCACTTCAGCCTCACCAAACGTGCTGCTCTTCGTGAGCTGGCCGACTGAGCTCTCCACCACCGCTCCATCCGTATCCTTATCCATGATATCGGGGAGAACCTCCCTCAAAAAATCGAGGATATAATGGTTTACCTGCTCGAACTGCAAGAGAAAGGCGTCGTGACCTTCGGGACTGTCGATCTTCTCCAGCCGGGCGTTCTTGATGTGCTCGGCCAGCTCCTCCTGCTCAGCAAACGTGAACAGCCCATCGCTCTCAATGCCGAGAACCAGAGTAGGTTGTTCGATCATGGCCAGCGCCTCGGCTATCGTGCCGGCACGGCCCCGGCTCACGTCGTGCGTGTCCAACTTGCGGGTCATGGCAATGTAGCAGTTGCTGTCGAAGCGCTTGACGAACTTTTCGCCCTGGTAACGTAGATAAGACTGAGCAGAGAAATAGGTCGAGCCCTTCGGCATCACTTCGCCGCCTGTGAGGCTGCCGTTCTTGGGGCCGTGGAACTGCGGGTCATGGGAGGAATCGTTGCTGTCGTATTTAGGAGTCTGTCCTCCGTCGCTGTTTGTGCGCGACGGACTCCGCTTCCACTTGTGCCCGTCGTTGTGGATGTGGAAGTGAGCCTCGGACGGGGTGGAGGGTGAGGGCCTTTCGCGAATCGTCTGCCGGCGCGAGGAATCAGGAACGTTGCGGCCAAAGCGTGCTTCAAACGAGTTCCGGCTCCTGTAAGTCAGAAGTGCAGCCATGCGGGCGGCCCCGAGGCCTGTCGACGGCGGGTCGGAAAACGAATAGTAGCCGTCGTCGTACTTGGGGTCCGCATAGATAGACTGCCGCTGGGCCTCGCCCCAGCTGATGCCCCATGCGCTGTGCCTGCTTGAGGTGGCGATGGGGACGATGCACCGAACATAATCCTTGCCGAAGTAGGCCCATTCGAGGACGAACATGCCCCCAAGCGACCCTCCAATTACGGCAGCAATCTGTTTAACGCCAAGCTCGTCGAGAAGCAACTTGTGCAGCCTAGTAGCGTAGTGTGAGAACGAGGCCCTCCATGCAGGAGGAGGTAACCTACCTGACATCATCTCGGATGGTTGTCAGAGGGAACTCGGGACCATAACGGCCTTTGGACGGGTCTCCGTCCTTGGCCGTAACTGGACTCGCCGTTCCGTATGGACTCCCCAGACTGTTCATGCACACAACAAAGAAGCGGGAAGTATCGAATGCCCGGCCAAGGCCTCCGAGCAATGGGCCCCACCAGTCGCTGACATCGGCGCTGCCCGTGAGAGCATGACAGATAACCATGACATTGTCGCCATTAGGGGAAAGTGTGCCACGGGTCGTGTATGCGACGGGGACATTGTAGAGGGTCACCCCGGACTCGAGCGTGAATGACGGGATCACAGCTATGTGCTGGTCCGGGATGAGAGCCGCGAACGGATTCTCGGGCTGCGACGAGATTCTTTCTTGGAAGTATTCAGTCACCGTTCTTCTCGGCAAGGAGCATGAGATGTGTCTTAAAATCGTCCACGGCAGGTGGGAATGGATGAAAAGATGCGGGATGAGGAACGAGATTGACTCACCGTAATTCGGCCGTGGGCCACTAGGTACAGAATCTGGGGTCATGGCGAATGCGAGAAGAGACTGATCGGGGCGGGAGAGGTTGAGATGAACTGGGGAGGAATGGAGAAGAAGGCGTGCCCAGCGGCTGCACACTTGCTATCAAAAATACTGGGTACAACAGGGAGGAGTCATAGAGAAGGTTGCAGTTGCCGATACCTGTACTTCGTAACTTACGGGGGTTCCGTCAAGCATTCATTGGGGCGGCGATCTGTCGCGGAGCCGCAAGCGTAGATTGCGCCATTCACCCGAAATCCATCCATGCTAGCTTTGCGGGCTGCATCTTCGCTGCTTTTCGATTCAGTGGCCGGCAATCGGCTGTCGGGGCATGAAAAGATTGACTGGCCTGTGCGTCGTTCAGGCACCCTGACGTAAGGTGGGACAGCCGACCTGCTGATTGGATCAGGTTAAGTACAGTGTAATCAGTACTTTTGATCCAAACATTTCTCCAACAAATTAGGCTTTTGCTACTTTGGTCCCAAGCCTCTCGGCAGCCTTGTCGGATGAGGCTGCCCGCCCGTTTGTTGGGGAGCAATCACGCCCAGAGCTGCGATTTGGCGACTGACGCGAAGCAATTGTTCGGCTCCCACTTTTCGACAACACCGCTCACAGCTGGCAAACCCACCAATCCATTTTCTGTTCGCTGCTTTGAGCAACAAATCCATTTTCACTGGTCTCAATTGATGAGCATAAATCCTCCTTGGTTGTCAGTATATAATTTCCCTCTTGCTCGCCTGAGCATTTGTGCGAACTGCCAACAACTTAACACGTGCACCCCATACCTCCATCCCCCCTAAGCATCATCGACGATCTTGTCATCTAACTCGCGCCCAAGTATTTTCAAAGGTAGCGTTTTTTGGGTTCTGGTTGCGAAAAGACGGCGACCGGCGGCGGCACGCCGCGCTCTCGATAAATGAGCCGACCTCTGTGATTCCCCTCGATAATGCCGCCGAAGCGCAAGAGAAACGAGCGGGGTCCTGGCGATACTGGGCCCTCTAGGCCGTCGCCTCACCGACCTTCAGATACAGCTCTGGGGCAGCATGAGAGAAGCTTTGATGGAAACCGCGGCGGCCGTGGTGGTAGGCCGCGGAGAGGCGAGCGTCGCGATTCTTACCAGTCCAGCGCCGCGAATTCATCTTTTAGCGGCCCCGACCCCAGATCACCGCCGCTCCCGAGACCCTCAAGCTCGTCCTCCTCGGCCGCACACCCAGCTTCCATCGCAGCAACAATACCAGCTCCTGCACCGGCATTCGTGCCTGCGCCAGCTGCCCCCGCGACACCGCTGGTTCCCATCCAGCCCTTTTACGACTACAGTATTATCACTGAAGACCGCGTCAACAGATGGGCAAAGAGTGGCCGCCAAGAAATCGTCGACCATGGCGTACAATCGCGAAAGGATGAAGACCTTACCGAGGTCGTCATGATATTTCAAGAGATTATCCACTCCGTCACCGAGGGCCGACTTCAAGGGTCTGATGCAGGCAGCGTTGTCAAAGAGGTACTTGGGCCGGAGCTGTCAGAGGAGGATCGCAATGCAGGACTCTTCGATGCTCACACCCTTTTCCTCGACACCGTCTCGACCTTCATGGACGTTGAGTCGGGGCCACTCAGGCCGCAGCTGCGCGACTTCATGATTGCAACCGAAGTCTCTCCGACGCTCATGCGGTTGGTATTGGACCCGCCAATCCTCCAACACCTCGACCTGATCCGCGACACTTTTGTGAGGATGGGTATCCGTCAATCGACGAACCTGCTCTACCGCCAAGCGAACTACAACCTATTGCGGGAAGAGACCGAGGGGTTCTCGAAACTAGTCACAGAATTGTTCACGACCAGCAGTTCTGAGCCGCCCAGTGCAGAGGTCGTGCAGGCCACGTTTAACAAGGTTATGGGCCTTATTGGGACCTTTGATCTGCATCCCGGACGGGTCCTCGACGTGACTTTCGATGTCTACGCCGCCGTCCTCATCAAGCAATTCCGTTTCTTCATCAAGTTCCTGCGTGTTAGCTCGTGGTGGCCCCGCTACCAGCTCCGACAGCCGGGCGATACTTTCGTGGGGGGACTACCCATATGGGCTTTGCCAGACCATCCGGGCTGGTACGCCACGGATGAGGAGGAAACCATGCTTGCCGAACAGCGGCTGAAGCGCGACATTGCGTTTTGGGACAGGGCGCGCAAGATCAAGCTTGACGCTTATTTCGAGCTGGGAGGCAGACAACTGGCCGCATCCGACGAAGAGCGCCTGGAAAAAGGGACAAGTGAAGACGGGCCGGAAGCCAGCTTTGAGCAGGACTGGATTAGATTAACAAAGACGTTACCACCCCCCGGCAACCGAGACGCTGCCCAGATGTTGGGTTTCAAGCTGCGCTTCTACACGTCCGAAGCGAGAGACGTCGAAGACACGCTGCCGGCAAATCTGCTCTATCTCATCGCCCTCCTCATTAAAGTTGGCTTCATCTCGCTGACCGACCTCTGGAATCACATATGGCCTCAGGATGAGGAGATGGAGAACATGAAGGCACAAAAATTGAAAGAGCTGGAGGAGAAGGAGAAGGCGAGCCGACCGGGCGGGGAGAGGAATGCTCTGATGATGGCTGGTGCCCTCCCAGACGATATGCCCCCGCCTCCGAATACCTCGGGCCGCCGCGATGCCACTAGCAAACCCGAGCCCAACAAGCCAGAGCCAGCGGAAGAGCAGCCGAAGTTGCCCGAGCCCCACGATCAGAAGGTGCATCTTCTCAAGTGTCTCCTCGCGATTGGCGCCATCCAGGAATCCCTCTTCATCATCGGGCGACACGAATGGATCTTGGAAGCACACCCCGACATTTTGCCCCTGTTTCACCGCATTCTCCATCACTCCATTGAGCTCGTGTACCAGCAGAGCAAGCCGACGTCTTCGCGCCCGACGGAATGTCCGCCCAAGAATCAGCCCGACCCCGACCAGTCGGGTGTGCCTAAAGGGAGCGTGAAGCTCAGCACGCCCCCCGTCAAACGGGCTTTGAGATGGCCGTATCCAGACAAAGCTGATGTCGGCGATGGCGCGTCATATCGCTTTTACTGGGACGAGTGGGCCGACAACATACCCGTTTGCCAAACCGTGGATGACCTTTTCACCCTGTGCGACTCGCTGCTCAACGTCATCGGCGTCAACATTGGGCTGGATGCTTCCTTGGTGGCCAAGCTCACCAGCATTGGCCGCAAGAGCCTCGCCGATGATCAGTCCCCCGACAATGTGGCGCGCTGGCTCGGTTTGCTCAAGCGCCTGCTGGTTCCGTCTCTGAGTCTGAGCGAGCCTAACTCATCAATTGTCGACAGCGTCTGGACCTTACTCAAGCAGTACCCGATCAAGACTCGGTTCATCGTCTACTCAGAGTGGTACGAAGGCGCGACTTCCCGGCTTGAACCGATCCGGAAGGCCTTTGCTCGAACGAGGTTGGAGACGCTCAGCAAGATGAAACGACTTTCGCATAGCAACATCATCCAGATGGCCAAGAGCCTTGCAAAGATTGCCTACCCATCTCCCGGCGTCGTTTGCAAGGTTGCGCTGCAGCAGATCGAGTCATATAGCAACCTAATTGAGGCTTTTGTCGAGTGTGCGAAATACTTCACCGATCTCGGCTACGACGTCCTCGTCTGGTCCGTGTTGAGCTCGCTTGGCGGCCAGCAGAGGAGCCGCACTCAGGCGACCTCCGTGTTGCTCACCAGCAAGTGGCTGCAAGCGCTCTCGCGATTCTCAGGCAAAGTCTTCGAACGCTATTCCAATATGGACCCGTCGCCTATTCTCCGCTATGTCCACAGCCAGTTGCTGAACGGCAACTCGACCGACCTCGTCATCCTGGAAGAGCTAATCGAATCCATGGGTGGCATTGTCTCTGGCTTTGACTTCAACGATGCGCAGCTGCGCGGCATGACGGGTGGAGAACTGCTTCGTCGCGAAACTCTTGCCAGTCTGGGTGACAAGCGCGCAGCGTCGGTTCAGAGCGCCCAACGCCTTATGGGGGCCCTGTCGCAGTCGAACCTGGCGGGTCAACTGCTCATCAACATCGCTCAGTATCGGCAGAATGCCATTCACAAGATCGGTGACGACAATGCGCGCATCAAGTATCTTTCCACGATCGTCGACGACGCCCACAACGTCCTCTTCCGGTATCTCGATCTACTGCGCAGCAACTTGGACCCGGACACTTTCGACAGCCTGATCCCCGACGTTATTCAGCTGATGCGGGATTACGGCCTTGATCCTAACCTTGCCTTCATGATCCGGCGAGCCAGCATACGCTGGGACACTAAGGCTTCCACCTCGGCTAAGGATACCACGTCACAAGCGTTGAAGGCAACTGCCGACGCTGACGGCGATGTCAGTATGGAGGCCGCGACGGAGAATGGCACCCCTGCCCAAGGTGATGTCAACAACGGCACACAGGCCAGTAGTCAAGAAATGAAGAAGGCGAGCAGTCGCTTGCCGGAGTCGCTTCCCGATGCACTCGCACCACTGATCGACCAAATCCCTGACGTTCTGCCTCAGCAGTCGTGGCGGTATCTCACACCGGCATGTTACGTATTTTTCTGGTCGCTACAGCTGGGGAACTTGGTCTGGCCCCAGGACAGCTACGAGGCTCAAAGCAAAGCGCTGCAGGCGCAGGCCGAAGAAGTCAAGATAGACCGCTCAGATACACCACGATCCGCTGCAAACAAGAAGCGAAAACGGGAAGACATCCTCAACCGGCAACAGCGCCTTGTTCAGGAAACTAAGGAGGGTATTGAGCGCTTCTCCAAAACCAAACTGCACATCGTCAGGCAGGTCAGCAGCTGGTTCCCGGCTGACATCGCGAAGGCCGATGCGACGGCCGATGCCCTGCTGGAACAGTGCATCCTGCCACGTCTACAGGTCTCGCCTGTCGATGCGGAATATTGCTTCAGGTTGAGCAAGTTCCTGCACGAGTTCTCGACGCCGAATTTCAAGCTCATGTCGCTCTACGACCGGCTCTTCAACCACAATCGCCTCCGGGCCCTCATTTTCACATGCACGGTCCGCGAGGCTGAGCATTTGGCTCGTTTTCTCAAGTTCGTCCTTGGCGACCTCTCCAGGTGGCACGGCAACAAGGCTGCCTATGAGAAGGAAGCTCTGGGGCTCAAGGAGCTTCAGGGTACCAAAACTAGGGAATACCTCGGTTTTGCCACCACAGTTGATGCCGACGGCAAGCCGACTGGTTTCGTCGAGCATGATGCGTTCAAAGACCTCCTGTTCCGTTGGCACAAGGAACTCAATACCGCCTTGCGATCATGCCTCAATGGTATGGAGTGGATGCATATCCGCAATGCTATTAGCATCCTCAAGGGTGTCATTGACTTCTTCCCTGCCATCAACTTCATGGCCGACAAGTTCCTGGAGCAGCTTAAGACTATCACGGACCGGGAGTCTGCCTCATCGAATGCGCCGGAGTCTGCCCAAGGCCACCGCGTCGATCTCTCCGTCACAGCACAGACCACCTACTCTGAGCTACAGCGGAGGAAGTCGAAATGGGTTCTTGTCCAGGCATTCAGGCCGGGCGTGGTAGGTGCACGCCCTCATCTCCCAAGGCAACCAGATGCTGACCATCCACAGAAGAGCGACAGCAAGGACGAAAAAGGATCCCCAGCACCAGCCGCCTCTTCCCTTCGGGGCTCAGCGGCACCGTTCAAGCCTAATGGGGCGCCTTCGAAGCCTTCCGAGGTCGAGGATGGAGAGGTCGACGAGAATAGAGCTGGCCGTGCACCTATGAGAACAAATGGGCCAAATCTCCCAAAACCACCTCCAGCCAGGGAACCCTCAAGGGAGCCCAACGCTCCGGCAGCTAGGGCGAGCCCTGCAAGCACCAGTGCCGGTAGACCAGCGACACCGAAACCGCTCCCAGCCCCGCAGACCGGCAGCCGACAGGAGCCACCCAAGTTTTCAACCCTCCCGCCTGGAGGGCTGGGACTCCCGAGCAGGCCAGACCTACCCTCCAGGCCCGATCTTCCGATGCCGAGATTTCCCCAAGCGCGACAGGACAGGCGGGATCTTCCTTCGCGGGATGCTCGTGACTACCGTGACGGCCGGGACTCACGGGAGCAACACCAACGCGATAATCGCGAACTCCAAGGGCCTCGAGAGAGCAGAGATTACCGGACGCCAGAAGCTTTGCGCTCAGAGCGCCCTCGCGACATGCCATCTGATAGACGTGCTCCGGATGCTGCGCAGCGCGAGCCCGGCCCACGGGATACGAGCCGCGATGCTAACCGCGAGCTTGGTCGACCCTCGGATCGGGGACGAGCGGAGCCTCCGCCCCGGCGACACGAACATGCGTCGCCCGCCGATCGGGATAGCCGCCCCGATAGTCGTCCGCCGCCACGGGAGAGGGGAGCTCCGCATGGTGCGGGTCGATCGGATTTGAGGCCTGCCAGGGAAACCCGTGCTACTCCCCCTCCGGTTCCTACTGCACCGAGTACCTCACAAGGACCCCCGATCAATCCAGAGCGCGCACGCATCATCGACGCTGGTGAACGGCCGGAGTTTCTTAACCCCGCCAGAGCTGCTCTGATTAACGAAACACGAGAGCCTCCAGCCCGACCCTCGCCGAGAGATCAACCGCGTGAGCGGCCTCCGCGGGCGGAATCGCCAAGACGATCTGACCGCCAGCCAGCGAACGCGCCGCAACCCGACAATGCCCCCGACGATCGCCATGGCCGGCGTCGACACTCGCCCCATCCCGGGACCCCGCGTGACGAACCTGCAGCGCCACCTCCACGACATGATCGAAACGCGGAACGCGAAGAAAAGAAGGCTGGGCCGAGAGACTCGTACGGCACTCAGTCCCGCCCAGGCCACGACCACGGTAGACTCAATCAGCAAGATCCTGAATACGGTCGGCTGAGCGCCACTCAGTCAGTTATCGACATGCCGCCTGATGCGCCGTCGGGCCCGCGAGGCCGTGGTGGGCGGAATGCCGCTAGAACCGGCCCTCCGATGCGTCCTGACAACAGGTTCCCACCGCTCGAGCCCATCCGCCCGCCTACTCCTGAGCGTCACCCGCCAACAGGCCCTTCAGCATCACGCTCACGCCGTGGTCCCTATGACGGCGGGAACCTGAACTCGCCGACATCAGCTGTTCCACCTGCGGTCGGTGTGCACCCAGACAGAATACGTCAAATCAACCAGGCACCTCCGCCGCATCCACCTCCACCTCCGCCTCCACCTCCTCCCACAGGACCGGCGGGTATTCATCCGGATCGTCTCAACCAGATTGCCGCTCAGCCATCGGGACCGGGACCCCACTCACGCCCGCCCATGCACACGCCCGATCGACTGCCCATGTCGGCACCCAACTCGGGTTCACGGTCGACGCCATCCGGGCCCAGGGCCGCTTTCTCGTCGACACCGACCGGCCCTGCTGCTGGCAACGACCGGATGAGACCAGGTGGTAGACAGCTCCAGGGTATCCAGAACATGCTTGACAAAGCTTCTGCCGACAATGCCCGGGGTCCTAGCCTGCGGATATCCCGATCACGGCCCAACTTGGCGGGTTCAGACGCCCAGATACTGGCGGGCGCCTCACCCGTGACGACACCGGTCCAGGAGCGACCGCCCGACTCTTTCCGGGACTCATCCCGGCGCGACATGAGCAAAGACCGTGTTCCGCGCGGACCCGAGCCGATTCAAGTCGTCAGTGACAGCCGCGATACCAGCGGCCGTGGGCCGCCTGCCAACGGCGACGACTATGGCTCGAGCCGGACCGACCATGACCGTAGCCGTCGTGACCACCATCGGTCGGAGCGCAGCACCCGCGCGTCTGGGCGCACCAGCCGGGAGCGTACGCCCGATCGTGACCGTGTTGAGTCCAAGGACTCGCGTGACCACCGAGACAGACGCCCGGGGGCGCCGTCAGGTGTGCCTGGCGGCAGCAACAGGGACGAACGGGACTCGCGCCGGTCAATGCGGGAGTCTACAGGTGGCGGCCGGGAGCCGATCCCTGGTGGACGAGACCTGCCGCCGCCACGCGAGTCGAGTTCTCATCGCGGCCATCGCGGTGAGGTTGGTCCATCGGGGCCTAGGGGCGATGGAGGACAGGGCGGCAGTGGCAGGGGTGAAGGGTCTCATGGAGGCCGGAGTGAAGGTGGTGGAGGAGGCGGAGGAAGAGGGGAGGACTATGGCCGGAGCGGGTCTTCAAGGGGTAATGCGCCGCCGAGGGATTCGAGGTCTTCGAGACCGGGCGATGAGCGTGGGGGAGATGACAGAGCAAGGAAGCGACGGAGCGAGGGCGTTGATTCGGGCGGTGGCAGTCATCAGGACAAGCGGCAGCGGCGTTAGTAAAAGCCGATCTGCCACCATCATGTCTATGTCACGAAACAAGGAATTTTGGCAGGGTGATTTGCCGACGGAGAGAAGGACAGCAGACCGAAACGAGATTGCGAGCGAGTCGGACCAGATTGTGGAGGATGCACGGACACGGATACAAGTTACTATTCCGGTCAGTCTCCATCAAGGTTGAGAAAAGAACATACCACCAGGCGAATTTTCCTAAAGGCTCTCGGAGGGCGGATCTATTTCGACAAGAGACTTTGCACTTTTTACTCCATATCATTGCTTTCGGCCTCAGATGTTATCAAGAACGGTCGGCCATGATGCGGCCTCAAAATTCACATTGCATTATCAACCATTTCCCCATACCTTCGAGGATATCATGCATGCGAGCGGCAATAGAGAACGAGTGAGAGCGAGTCCTTTCCGGTGACGGACTCCCTAGCTTCGCCGCATGTTCCTGGCTGGTCACTGGCACTTTGGTACAAAGCGGAATCGACGATGTTGGGGCAGAAGCTATGGCGTTTATAAGTGACAACTGCGATACATGGACCAGAACTATATTGAGGAGGATTCCTGCATCTAGAGAGGCGTTATATTATGTGGGGTGAGCTAAAAGGACAATCTTGCTGGTGTTGTCAAGTCAGGGTCTTCTCATCTTCAAGTTTCTTCACCAATCCGACGCGACGCGTTTCACGCCTTGATGGTGTTATTGAAGAGCGCCTCAACGTGATGAAAACTCTAGAGACATTGTACCAACGTTCAGCTTGTTGATAGACATAGACGTAACAAAAATATAAAGTGGCGAGAGTGCATTTGCAAGTTCAATGGTGGGCCTGGAGCAGCTTCAGCAGATCAAGATGTAATGTTTCGAGTGCATTGGCATCCATCATTAATGCGCGTATAGGCTCAATCATCAGCTTACTTTTATCATCGTAGGCATCAAGAGGAGCAGTCCGCAATGCTCTATCATAGACACCCTGCCGGCGCTCGGCGCTTCCCTAACCCAGCTCATGTAAATACGTTCCGTAAACCCATCTGGATGCACAATCCCGTCGTATAGTTCAGAGCGGAAAGGCGACAACAACTCCTCCGCAACTAGCCCTCAAGTACCATGGAGATGAATGAGCCATCCCATCCCGATCCAGTTTGTTTCCCCATGATCCGTTCCCTAACTGAAGTGAGGACCCAATCCGCCCTCAGTGACCCTGAATCTTGCAATGCCCTTGCTGTGAACGCCGTGGTATCTTGAAATGCAGATGCAAAACCAAAAAAAAAAAAAAGGACCGTCCTAATGCAGCAAAATGTATGTCAAAAAGGAAGACTTCGCGTATCGTCTCAATCGTCATCCGGATCTGGATTTGTGGGCCTCAACACCCTCTGCGGCTGGTGTACCCGTCTCGAATAGTCGGTATTATCCTGGAGCGAGGTGAAGCTCTCACGGCTCAAATTTTGGTCGGCGACGTACAGGCCTGTGGCGAACGGATCAAGCCGGGGATCGACAGGCATCAGATGGCTGCGTCGCTTGTTTTGTGAATCTGCAGCTCCGGGGTACCGGATCTCGCTGACCTCGCCCGCTTTGGGCGTTCCAATGACACCAGGCGAGCCGCTGCCTCTTGTTGGAGAGGCAAAACCGTTGGTATCATCTTGGTTCTGCCTCCTTCGCTTTGAATACCATAACCATAAGAAGGCGGCGATTACGGCGAGGCCGCCGACGACGCCAACGACAATACCGACGATGGCACCGGCCTGAAGGCCCGCGGAGCCTGTGTTGTCGGCAAGAGCTGGGTTGTTGGCATGAGTCGGCGTGGGGGTGGCAGTCACGGTTCTGATGGTTCCGTCTGCCGTGACAGTTACCAAGACGGGTGGGTGCGACGAGGTACCGCTAGTCTGACAGCAAATAGTCAGCATGCGCTCTCGGGCAGAGAAAGGTACCAAAGATTGTGCCCGGCCCGCGAGGACAACAGCATACAGTGTTTGGAGCAGAAGAAGACGACGAAACGGTGGACGACGTCTCGGACAAAGTCACGATTGTGGTGGGCTGGACGGTGCTGCTCTGCACCACAGTCTCAGCTTAACTCGTTACAATGGCCCGGGAGCCAGGACAGCTGACATGTCAGGAAAGCCCATAAGATAGGCAGGACGGAATATCTCAACAAGACAAACGGGTGCTCGGGACGGTCGGGCACACATGTCAGGCGGGTGGGGAAGGGTTTCGAAGAGGATGACTTACGGAACTAGATGGTGGTGTTGTGGTGCTGGGATTAGCTGGAGGCGCGGTCCCCGTCGGATTGAACCCGGCGACCTGCATATACCCAAAAAGCCCATCCCCACCGCAATAATCTGAGGGGAAGCCAGGACAAGGCATCTGGCAATCGGTGAGAGGCTTTTGGTCGGCGGTGTTGGGGACGAGATTCGAGCACCAGCAGTTATGGTCTTGGATGATGGCGAGGGCGTATTTCAGGTTGGTGCAGTTACCGAAGCAGAGGCCATCGCTTTGCCAAATGGCGTTCACTAGAGGTAGGTAATTAGTACCATGGTAGGCTGAACAAGGTTGTGAAGAGCAACTCACGAGGTTCCATGTCGGCCGTATTGACGGTGGCGCAATACTCCATGGGGATTGAGGGCCCATTCGGGAGTTGGGCGCAAGTCGTACGGCGGACAAGCGCAGCTATGCTGAAAATTGCCTTTAGCAGGGCGGCTCGATGTGTTGCCATGGTCGGCAATTTCGATGGGTGGTGTTGTCGGCGTTGCACGCAGATGATGGCGGCGGTCGATGTGATGGTTCTCAATCCGCAACAGTAATCGTTTTGGCCGAATCAGAGTAGGTAGGCAGATGCTACGGAAGCGGCTCGGTCGACCAGCCCATGGGAGAAGTGGCAATCGCGGCTCAGGCGGCCATGTCGAAGTCAGGGAGGCCGGTGGATGAACTGGACGAGGTGTTGGACTCTGGCAGAGATGTCGGCGAATCGATGGTAGGGCCGCGCATAGAAGTTAGGATCGAAGTCGACTACTCTGCAAAGCCAGCCAGGGCGAACCCGGAGAGACGGATAACAAAGGAAACGGAGCAAGAGACAGGGCGGAAGAGGGTGAAAAAAAGTTGATGAGAAACCCAAGGGTGGTTTTGGCCTGCGAGCGGGATAAGCTTGGCCAAAAGCCTGGTCCAAACAACCGACGGGAAGAAACAACCTGGAACTGCTGGAAGCCAACGAGGTGGGACCGGCACCTTTTGGAAGTGGAGACGGCGAAGATGGCAGGATTCGAGATGATGGTCCGAGCTCAGGCGCCAAGCTACCTTGTCATCGCTTGCAATTGGGAAAAAACGTGTCGTCCATGGATGTCCGTAAGCTGGAGCTTTGTCTTCCTTCCCATCGAGGTGTCTGGCATGGTGTGTTTGCGGCGAGGGATCCGGTGCCAAAAGGGCGGCACAGGCGCATTCAAAGGATGGCGTCACTACCTCCACCGAGCACAATAACATAGCGTCCAGCCAAGCTCATCCGTGCAGGGGCCAGGTTCGCGGAAGTTGAACGTTCACATCTTCATCTTCACTCCCCGTGCAACTAGATCCGCGAATTGGCTTTTACAACCTAAATGGTCCTCAATCCCCTCCTCCCTACCGATGCCGATTTTCCGGCATTCTCGGCGCATCTCATGGCGGTAAAAACCTCAATCGTACCCGTATTCTGTTGCTCAGGTACATTCTGGCTTTACGAAAGGGAGCTGAGTGATGCCGTTCCAACGAAACCTATCACGAGACTCCTCCCCCACATACATTCTAACCAGCTTCAGACCTGCAACCCATTCTTGTCCTCGTATCTTGCACAAAATCCCTGTTTAAGGAGCAATCAGGCAACAGCTGTGCCGACACCTGATTCCGCAAGCCCATTACTCCGAATCGCTACCTGCAGCAACAGAGGGGCACATGCTGCTTTTCTCGTGTTCCGAGACAATGACGGTAGAGGAGGAGATAAAGCCGTCAGCTGCCACGAAGACGAATAGTCAACAGCATCCAACACACGGTTTTCAAGCGGTATACATTACCGCTAAGAAACGTTAAACTACACAGTTGTCCCTCTTGTCCTCTGGCGAATACACAGTGCAATACACCCCACAACAGTCCACAAATCGCCCAAGGTGAAACAGGTTCCAGTCAACTGTCACACACTCCACTCTCCCAAGAAAATGCATCTGCTGGCAGATCGACAGGAGGTGATGAATCTCAATTGCCCTGCTCCGACGTGGTAGCAAGACATGAACTCGAAAACGTTGGATGGGTTAAATTACACGGCCTTAGCGTTGCCGACCGCCTGTCCTCCCGCTTCTTCGCCTGGCGGCCCGGATTGGTTCACGGACAGGGCAGAGATGAGGATCGCCCGGCTGCCGGGCTGCGGCCCGGAGGTGACGGACGCCTCCCAGGGGTCGTGCATATTCTGATACACCATGTACACTGCTCTGGTTTCTCCGGGTCGACGGAACACCTATTGGATCTGGACACGCCATCAACATGGGAAACAAATTTGACATCGTGGCTTGCAAGCACCACTTCTCGAAATCTCAGACATGCAGGAACGAAATCCGTGGATAAACATTCTACAAAAGCAGTCACGTACTTCAAGCTACACAACCACAGCTCCTGTGTTGTGCCGACAATCAATTTACACGAGATATTTGGGACCACTACGCGCCGGCGCGCGACGACCCGAAAATCAAAACCAAACGTCCCGGAACATAACTCCAACCATCTGATGCTGCCACATAGAATTTACAGTTGAGTACAAACATCACCCTCCGCCCAGGTTCGGTCCAAACGATGTGAAAGCCGGTCATGGGTATGTCCATAGGTATGATATCCCTCAATTTCATTGATCTAAGTCGGAAAATCCTGATAGACGATCCCGCTTATGGGCCTATGTTTATGAGATTTGGACCAAAATTGTGATTCATGACCACATCTAGGGGTAACTTAGCTAGTTACGGCGGCGACTGTAGTAGGGTGACTATCTTCTAGTCAGACTCTTGGCTTTGTTCAAAAGCGATTGAATGTCATGAGCTTCAGCTAAGACAAATAAAGTCATGAATAAATATTATCAGCGAGCGGATCACTCTAGCAATTTTTGGTGGAACATACACCATGGGACATTATAAAATTGTTAGATCGCACTAGCAATTCTCTAACGTCTTATTGTATGCACCTCTACCAAAAATTGCTAGAGTGGTCCGCTCGCTGATAATATACGTTATTCCTTGATATCCTCTCCGTTTTATAGTGTTTGAACTTGACCAATTTGACTCGAGTCTGCCAACTGTGCCTAGTCGCCCTCAATGCTTTGGAAATGATTACGTCACTGCCGTGGCGCTGCGAGTATTAACTATGAAGAATCACCAGAATGATCAAGCAGGCATATATATATTGGCCCACCAGAACGGGGCCGGGTACACCTAGATCGCCAAGACATGGCACTCATCACTCTCGCTGGCTTTTGAAAATAAAATGCTTGCACATGTAGGAGGTTAGGACTGGTAGAGATCTGCCGTGGTTAGAGCGCAACCGCCAGTACTTCATGTTGGGATTCAAGTTTCAAGTTCCCAAGCGACTCGGGTTTGGGGCCAGAAAGTGATATGTTAAGCCATTTACTTAAATCCCTTCAATGCTCCCCGTCTCGATTCGGAGTTGACCATGACGGTATTGAAGACGTTGGGATGCGTTGAGCACCAGAAAAGATTGAGGCACCTGCAGGACTACCTACTCACACGAGTCATACACAAGCAGCGCTGGGGTTTGATTGGCCCTGGTATCAGGAGACCTCGACTTCAGCTCCCCACAAAAATGCATATGCGCTCAGAGAGGGAGGTAAAGGAGCCCAAGAAAGAGCTCGCAGGCATGGATGGTTTCCAATTGTTGGCTTCGGCAAGCGCGTACATCCAGACCGTCGTTAGATTGTCAAGTTGCCGGCCATACGAACTAGGAAGCGATGAGCGGTTGCTTTCGATCTGAGCTTCGATTCCTTGCGAGTCGTGCTCCTGACTCCCGAAAATCTAAACACGGAACATACATCAATCGGCCAGCCCAAGCTCAGCCCGGATCAGATGAACTCATGAGCCCCTCACCGGGCTCCCGGCCGGACTGCTCTCCCAACTCCGAGACTCTATGCTCTCCACTATTTCCAGGACCCGCGTCTTCGGCCGCTCCAGCCGCACTGTCTCAGCGGTGTGCAGCGTGGCCGACGTGATGGAGGAAGCCCGCAGCGATGAAGAGGGCGATAACCCCCCAGGCGGCTCCAGCGTGGCAGTTGTAAGCTTCTTTACAGCTTTCCCTCCGTCTTCAGCCGCAGTTTCCGGCCGAGGAGGGGTCAAGAGAGCATCCTCCTGATTTGAAACCCCATCTCTCACCGCAGATGACATGTTGTGATCGTCCCGGTGACTGCTACCACCCTGTCTGTTCTCCTCCTCCTCGTCGTCCGGATCAACAATCAACACGCTCTCCTCCCTCTCCACCTCGGCATTCACTACCCTCAACGGCTCCTTCGGCACGGTAAACATGATCTGCACCGTCCGCTGCTCGGCCGCCCGCTCCAGGTCCAGATCCCACTCCTCCTCCTCCTCTCCGCCACCGCCACCGCCCTCGCCTAACCACTCCTTCCTTCCTTGCTGCTGCTGATGCTGTCTCCGACCCCGCAGGCCCGCACCGTACAGCCGTCCACCGTCGTAATCAGAGCTCCAAAGCAACCCCTCCCGCGTGGGACTCTCCCCGCTCGCGTGGCTCCCCGATTCGGGCGTTGTCCCGCCGCTGAAGACGCGCTTCAGGCTGCCGAACCAGCTCCGGCGGGGCTTGCTCTTGCTCGGGCTACCCGGCACTTGGACGTAGTCATCCTCATCCTCTTCCTCATAATGCACGTCCTTTGCTGCGCTGGCTCTGAATTTGCTGGTGGTTGGGCTGCCGGACGGAGAGCCCCCGAGTAGCAGGCTAGGGCCCTCGGCTTGTAGTGCGGCAAAGTTCAGGTTGGAACGCGCCGTGCTGTAGCTGTTGCCGGAGAAGGAGCTTCCGCTGCTGCTTCCCGCCCTTTCGTTATTGGCAGTGGAAGTGGTGGCCAGAGTGGTGCGCAGCCGCGAGAGGAGGACTCTATCCTCGGCCGCCGAGCCGCGCACGAAACTGAAGTCGCTCCGCTCCGAGAGGTTGCTGGCTGTGCGGCCGTCATCGGTTGAACCCGAAGATTCGGTGGGTGCCGAGACAAGGGAATGCCGCGCCGATTTGGTGGAGCCTGGGCCCCGGCGCACCGGGGAGACGCGGCCTGTTGCGCCTTGGCCTGTTCCTGTCACTGTTGCTGTTGCCGTGGTTCCCGGCTTCTGCCGCTGGAAGGGCCTGAAGGTGGGGATCTTAGATGGGGTGACTGCCTCAACATCTGAGACCCAGCCTTGTACGTCTGGGTCCTGTTCTTGGCCTTCGCCACCTCCTCCACCCGCACCTTGAGACGGGTGTTCTGCGGCCGGGGGGAGAGTTGGAGAAGAGTTTCGCGGGCTGGTGTGGTTGCTTGGCGGCGAGAACAAGCCTCCGGTTGGGGTGTGAAGGGTAGGTGTAACGAATGGGTCATCTTCGCGTTCTATTTTGTCCGGTCTCAGGGGGTAGCCTTTGCCGAGGTCACCGTCTTCGTCTTCGTCGGCTTCGTAGATAGGTTCGATGCGATTTGGGGCACGGGTAAGTGGCATGAAGTCGTAGGTGCTGGTGCTCGGCTGGTGCAACCCCTTGGCGCCTCTTGGCCGGTTGTTGAAGCTGGATGCTGATGGCGGCGGCGGCATGTACAGTGAGGGACCAGCCCTTGAGCCTCCGCGGAGAGTCTCGTAGCCCAGCGAGCGCTGCCCTTGCGTGTAAGGGTCATGACCACCCGTATACCACTCGCGCGCCGCGGCAGCAGTCCACGGGAATATGCCCAAGCCGTGATCTCGCTCGAGCATCTCGTCGTCTTCGCCGATGCCGCGAGGCAGCGAGCCGTTGACACCCTGGGCCAAGTCCCGGATTGTCTTGTGTCGCGCTGCGCGGCGTCTCTGGCGCCGGCGGAACCAGAGGAACCCGAAGGCGCCGAGAATAGCCACGACAAGGAGGCCCACGCCGAGTCCTATCCCCAGACCAATCTGCTTCTTCCGTGACGAGTCATCTGGGTTGTCGCTAGCGCCGTCATCAGTTACCCCTGAAGAGTCACCGCCATCATTGCCGCCTCCCCCGCCGGTACTACCGCCCCCGGTGCTACCGTCCCCACTGTCCCCTCCGCTTCCCCCTCGCAGCGGGCTGACATACTCGTCCGACCAGGTCATGCTGGTAATATTGTAAAACATGTTTCCACCTGCCGCCACCTGCCGCCTCTTGACTTCCCCACCCTCAGCCGAAATCTCAAAGCCGCCGTACACCATCATCACATTTCCCGGCAGCACCACCGCCCCGTGTCCATACACACCCGGTCGTTCACTCAGCTCCTGCTGTTCTGGAACTTCCCACTCCCAATCTTCCAGTCCCACGCCCACTCGAACCACAGCCAGCTGCGGCTGCGCTGCGGTTCTCACATCCCCAACCCACCCGCCATACACCACCAACCTCGTCCCGTCCTCGCTGAGCACAGCCGTATGCCCAGACCGGCTATCCACGCTCGCAGCAGCCCGACGAGCAGCGGCAAGATCAGTGCGGCTACCAGGAGGCGGCGGCGCAGCAATGGCGACAAAACTCCACGTCTCCTCGGGCAGTGACCAGACGGCGGCGGTGCTCATGTTGACAAAGGCGCTCTGCGTGTGGCCGCCGAGCAGGACGTGACTCGTCTGCTGCGTGACGAGCGGTCGTCCCACCCCGCCGTTGTCAGACGTGCGGTTGGTCAGGGACGGGGTGAGTTCGGTGAGGGTGAAGCCTGCTTCGGCGACCGGGGGTTGTTGGCCTTTGGGTGTGGCGTAGTCTAGGATGTGACTGGTGGAAGAGGTGGTTGGGGCCAAGCGAAGCATGCGGTTGGAGTAGGTTGCTTCTGTCTGCCAGGTGTCGGTTGAGGAGTTGGGGAAGGGGCACATGCCGCCGTACAGGTAGAGCGTAGGTTTCGAAAGGACGGGGCTGAGCTGTGGGGAGAAGTTGATCATGCCGCCGAGGTGGTAGGGCCCGCTTTGTGCGTTGTCCCATGCCGTGGACGGGATTATTTCGTGGCGGGTCCATTGGGCGTCTGATGTGTGAGCGTCAGGGGCGTAGGTCCAGAGTGAGGAGGCTGAGCCGGCGAAGCAGCCACCCGCGAAGACGGTGATGGTGCCATTGCGGAGAATAGACGGGGCAAAGGTGGTGCAGTTGCCGGCGTTATAATTGAGAAATGGGAGGTCAGGGGTGATCTTGGTTGGCTGAAGAGAGGAAGCGTGCAGGGAGGAGATATTGATGGAGAGGAAGTCGACTGCGTTTGGGCTGGCGCCGCTCGGGTTGAAGATGTAGGCCATGCCGCTGCCGGCGGCAGCATCAGGAGGTAGGAGGATGGTAGTAGGGGTGTACGGCAGCGTTAGTACGGCAGATGTCGGTGCTACCATGCTAAGCGCCGCAAATGCAAGCACGGTCCGGCCAGATGCAGCCCGCCGATGAGCAGGCCGCAGCCGGGTAGCGGCGTGGACCCTGATCGGCGTCGACCCAGGACCGGCCCTGAGTAGGTGAGCCTCCCCCGCTGCGCATATCTGCATTGTTGGTTTGTCGGTGGATGAAACAGAGGAATGGAACATGGTTGGCGTAACGGGTCGGATCGCCGCGCTAAGCTCCGCATTCTCGTCGTCCTGATCGCCGTGTCCGTAAAGAGTCTGACCGTGGGGATGACAGGGTGTCGCTCTTGGGAATACTTTTTTTTTTCGTATCTAGAATTCCACCGCAGGGGACTTGTCAGACTAACCCTGCGGTGACACGATAGTGTCGAGCCTGTGGATTAAGCACAACAGCAACAACAACAATAAGGATAAATCAAGACATCATCGCGGTCCCCAACAGATGTGAAATGATCTGGCACCAAATCGACTGGGCGGATTGAAGCAGTGCACGGTTCGCAAGAGGGAGAAAATGGGACAAGCGGGATGGCCACAATGCATACACTGAGGGGTCATCAATGGAATGTCAACAAACAGGCTCCCCTCCACACGACGCATCCCCAGACTCTCGGTTGCATCTGTGGGCTGCAAAGATGCCTTCGATGAATGGCAAAAAAGACACTCGTTATTGGACAGCTTTCTCCTATCAGCTGCAATCTGCAGACCTGTATCGGAGCTTGTCCAGATTTGTCAATTCTGATCGTTGGATGACGGACTTTTCGCTCCGGTAACAGTTGCTACAGCAACCGGGGCACAGGTCACACATAAAAACCCGAACTTGCGCCATCGCGGAAGGGATGAGAAGGTCACGTACCAGAAGACTGTGGCGAGGGAATCTGCAGATAGATTTGACATATTCGTTCCAACCCCCCCTGGGCGGCTAGTCGAATCGGCGACTTCGAAGCCACGACAGGTACTAAAGTAAACGACAGCGAACGCAAAATGATGATACTGATGATACCCCATCGATTTTCGTCTACCACAAGCTCCCTTCGCACACCACCAACCATACGGAGTCCTCCAATAGAGCAACACGAAACCATAGAAACGATTGAAACAGAAACAGATGGCATCCGTCATGACATCACCCCCTACGCTCCCTACCCTTGAGCTTCGCCAGATCCAGTCGTAACTCTTCCAGTTCCTCCTGCAGGCTCTCTTTCTTCTTCAACACCTCATCTCTCTCCCTCCTAGCCTCCTTCGCTGCCCTCTCCGCCTTGCCCGCCCTCTCCCGTTGTTCCTGCACCTTCTCAGCCCATTGCAGCCCATCACCATTACCCGCCGCAAACATCAAGGCGTCCCTCGTCTTGGCCAGCATCTCATTCTCACTCTTCAAGACCGCATCCAACCCCTTAACCTCGTTCACCTCATCCTGCATCCGCAGATTCTCCATCTCGGTCTTCTGCGCCGCATTGATCCGCGCCATGAACCTCTTCTCAAGCTCACTAACCGGCGCCGGAAACCGCGGCTGCACCAACGCCACCACCGTCGGTCGCAGCTCCACCTGCCGGGTATACGCCACGCCGGGATGCCGCTCCCACGCCGGCAGCACAAACAGCGTACTATTCGGCCCCTACCCAGCAATGCGATAATACCGCGTCACAATATTCACCGCCACCACCCCGCGCGCATACTCCCCTTCCCCGGGATTATCACTACTCACCCACACCCTGTCGCCCACAGTCCCGTTCCGCCTAAACACCCTCTCGCGGGCCTGCACGACCGCCTCCTGCTTGTCCAGGACCTGGTGCACGTACGAGAAGACATCGTCCCCGGCGTTGACCAGCACCCAGCGGTCCTGCGGGAAGGAGATCTCGCGCCCCGTCGACCGGGCGTCCGGGCCGAGCGAGGAGAGGTGCTGGTGTGGCACGGCCGCCTCGCCGGCGAGCGCGTCAAGCGCGTTGCCGTAGGCGTGCTCCAGGTGGTGCATGCGGGCCACGAGGGACTGCGTGAAGTGCAGCCATTGGCCGAGGAGGCTGTTGCGCGCGTTGTCGAGGTCTGAGTTGGCGTTTGGTTCGTTTTGGGGGGTGGTGGTGCTAGTGGTGGTGGTGCTAGTGGTGGTGGTGGTGGTCAGGATTGGGGGAGTCGGCGTTGGGGCGGGGAGCAGGCTCATCAGGCCGCCGGTGCTGCTGAACTCGTGGTCGAGGCGCTCCAAACAGGCGTTGGCGTGCATGATGAGGTTGTGGTGGTTGGCGTAGAGCTTTTGCTTCTCGCCCTTTTCGCGGGGCTTGTGCTCGGCGAGGGAGCAGTGGTACGTCGTGCCGAGGGCTTCGTGCCGGCCGCGGGCCTCGTTGACCAGCGCCACCAGGGGCTTGTGGTGGCTAAGGTCGTCATTGGTGTAGGGGACCGTCAGGTCGTCGAGAAAGTCGAAGGCGTCGTTGAGTTCGTACTTCCCAAGCCCTTGCCCCTTTCTGCTGAGCTGCCGCCGCCAATCTCGGCCGAATCGAGGGTCGGGTTCAGCGCGTGGATGAGGATACAAAGCGATTGGGCGCGTTGCTTGAGGGCCAACAAGGTGGGTGGCACCCCGCAAGTCGAAAGGTAGCCGCAGTTGACATGGCGGAGGAGGTCGCTTTCGACCTCGGCGTCATAGAGCCGCGATCACCGCGAGACGTAGGGCAGCGCAAAGTCGGTGGCCCTTATGTAACCCCGCTGCCCGGCGTGCTCGTCGTCCTCATGGTCCGCCAGATGCGTCAGCCTATGTCTCCGAGCGGTGTCCATGTCGGTGAGTAAGTGGTGTCAAGTGTAGGTACTCGCGGAGTTGATTTGACGATGAGGAACTGTGTTCTGCAGAGAAGCGTTGTGGCCAGCGTCCTGTTGCGCCTTCATATCGGAAATGTCTCATTGTTACAAACATGCCAGTCCAGCCGTATGCAGCACCAAGCCTCAAGCCACTGTGTGTGGTCTTTTGTCAAGTCTACGACCCGAACAAAGGCAGACACCTCCGCCCCGTCCACGGAAACGGAACACATCGGGCGGCCGAGGTGAATTCGAGCCAAACTGCCACCACGGAAAGGCTAAGTCGTGCGTTGGAAATGCCTCAGGGAAGATGTTGCTGGAAGACCCGGGTCGCTCTATGCTTCTGCCACATGCCAGGTTGTCACATAACTACTTGAACACGCACGCGCTCACAGCACCACTGCCACCAACTCAGATGTATTGTTGGTGTAGCGGTATGTACGGTCTCTCGAGCCAGTTAGAGGGCCTTTGGGCGTCGGCCAAGATATATAACCGTTATCTAGTTGAAGAGAAGGGGAAATTTATAAGGAATAAAGAAGGTGGGAAAAAAAGGAATAAAAAGGAGATACAAGGAGAGAAGGATGTTCCAATACCTGATGTTGTGGACAGAAAAAGATGGGTTGGAAAAATGAGAGAAAGAGAAGGAAAAGGAAAGGTCAGGCTCATCCGTACGGACGTACATTCCAGTGTCGTCGATCTGGTGTAACATGCCGTGAAAGACCGCCGTTGTCATGCTCTGATACAAGTCGATCTGTTTAACAGTCAATGACAGCTGCGAAGCGGTGTCACGAGAGCAATCAGCTCAATTGGATCGGCAATGCTTGAACAGCTGAAACCCGTGGGCTTGGAGTGACAGAAGAAGCTCGCTCTGAGAGCAGGGGTCAATTGCCAGACTGGGGAAGGCCTGCTACACTGCTGCAGGATGATGACAGGGCTCAAGAAGGGTGACGCACAGTCAGCTGGACTGGCAAAGCTGCTCCCCAAAAGCATCCAACAAAAATGGAGCTGGTGTTCAGCGAGAGGGAGAGGAAGTTTGGTCGGCCACTCGTCCAGTTGGTGGTTGCTGCCCGTGGTGATCATTGCAACCTTATTAACATAGTGTGCTGTCCTGTACGATTAAGTTTGCAAATCATATTTCTGAGTCTCCCGCAAATTGGCAAGTGGGACGCTTGCGGGGCGCGAGAGTCCGCCGTGTGGTTGAGATCTACAGAATGGACAAGACCACCGCAGATCAGAGGCCGGCTCATGATCGTACCGCAGAACGACGAAATGGCACGGACCAATGCCCACTGCTGCTGAGCTGTCTTGCGTCGGGCTTGAGACATTGACTGCAGCCAAGGCGAGCAGTTTCCAGGTCCGGTGAAGAGATAGACCAGAAACAAGAGGTTGCGCTCTGTACTCCGTACGGAGTCTCGAGGGAGTGTTGAAATGGAAGTGAAAACGACCCGCTCTGGAGAGGAGATTCCCGTCGCAGCGTTGCATCGCGACTGCCGTGACCTGGCCCAGCTGGTGAACTTGAAATTTGCATGCCCCACAAAAGCCATTCCAGGTTCGCCGCAGCTGCCCTGCCCGGCCACAGCTTTTGCGTCATTCTCATTGAGCCCATCAACCATGCACGAATCGAGAATGTCAGCCAAGGAGCACAAAGCTGGGCCTTGGGTCAGACAGCGGCGAGTCGAAGAAAAGTTGCAATGGCGGTCGTGTATCTTTAAAAGACAGATCTTTGTTCAGTTGCCACTCTTTGTCTCAAACTTGCCGCATCCATCTTTTTGGCTTTGCACTTTGAACGACTTGGCGTCCCATGCCGTCCTCTTGATCGCCATTCCCCAAGCCGCGTACCAAGCCTTGAGCCCCACTAAACTGGATCCTCCCTGGCCATTCAACACCACCGTCATCTCCTTGTCTCAGACGAACACACCCCTTTTGTTGGTTTGGCCGGCGGCCGCAACAAGCGCTTTGGCCCCTGTCTGGTCGATTTAGCAGAGTAATTAACACTGGCCGCTGTCGCGCCTGTTCATTCTGTTTCCTGTCCTTTCATAATCTGACACGCCAGTTTCAAGAGACGCCTTGCCGGACGGGAGCACAAGCGAGTTTCTAGAGGAAGCTGTGTTCCCAATATCGTCGTCGCCGAGGCGGTCATCGCCACCGCTATAATTTCACCCGAGAGTTGACGCAAGCAGCCTTCTGCCTGCGACTCGCAGAGTGACTCTGCACCACCGCCAATATGAGCAGCAACGACAATGAAGAGCCCCAGTCGAACTCGCTGTCGGGTGAGTGCCCTGCCCAAGCTTGCATGACAAGCACCGTTTCGCGGGAAGCTGACAGGCACATGCAGGCATGCTGGCGACCCTCGCCCCGGTCGCCGTAGTCTCTGCAGTATACCTCACCGTCTTCCTAGTCCTAAGAAGAAGCCAGAGACGCTACTATGCTCCTCGGACCTATCTCGGGAGCTTGCGGGAGAAGTAGGCCGCGCCGCTCTGCGTCGCTCGTCCAGATCAACTGCTGACATGCCGCAGCGAGCGCTCGCCTCCGCTTCCCAGTGGCTTCTTTAACTGGGTAGGGGGCTACTGGAGGATCCCCGACATTTACGCGCTTCAGCACCAGTCCCTCGATGCCTACCTCTACATCCGTTACCTGCGCATGGCCCTGGTCCTGTGCTTCGTCGGCGCCTGCATCACCTGGCCCGTCCTGTTCCCTGTGAATGCTACCGGCGGTGGCGGCCAGTCCCAGCTCGATGTATTGTCGTACGCCAACGTCAACCAGCAGACCGAGAGCAACCGCTACTACGCCCACGTCTTTGTCGCCTGGGTCTACTTCGGTTTCGTCATGTACATGATCATGCGCGAGTGCATCTTCTACATCAACCTGCGCCAGGCCTTCCTGCTGAGCCCCTTCTACTCCGAACGCATCTCGTCCCGCACCGTGCTGTTCACCTCGGTGCCCGACCCTTATCTGGACGAGGCGAGCTTGCGCAAGGTCTTTGGCGCCTCGGTCAAGAACATCTGGATTACGAGCAACACGGACGAGGTCGACAAGCTGGTCGAGGAGCGCGACAAGGTTGCCATGCGCCTCGAGAAGGCCGAGGTCAAGCTGATCAAGCTCGCCAACAAGGCACGCCAGGAGGCCATCAAGAAGGGCGCGTCTGCCGACGAGGCCGACAAGGCGCCCATCGTCGGTGACGCCGAGTCTGGCAGCATCGCCGCCCGCTGGGTCCCCAACAAGAAGCGCCCCACCCATCGTCTCGGACCCCTGGGCCTGATCGGCCGAAAAGTCGACACCATCAACTGGTGCCGCGCCGAGCTTGAGCGCCTCATCCCCAAGGTTGACGCTGCTCAGGCCAAGTACCGCGACGGAGGCTACAAGAGGATTCCTGGCGTCTTCATCGAATTCAGAACCCAGGCTGATGCCGAGGGCGCCGCCCAGATCCTCGCACATCACCAGGGCTTCCACATGACGCCCCGCTATGTCGGTATTCGGCCTGATGAGATTGTCTGGAAGTCCCTCGCCATCCCTTGGTGGCAAAAGGTCATCCGTCGCTACGCCGTGCTGGCTTTCATCACCGCCATGATTCTGTTCTGGGCCATTCCTGTCGCCTTCGTCGGTCTCATCAGCAACATCAACTACCTCGCCACTATCAGCTTCCTCACCTGGATCAAGCAGATCCCGCCTGTTATTCTCGGTGTCGTCACCGGCCTGTTGCCCTCAGTTATGCTTGCAGTTCTGATGTCGCTGGTCCCCATTGTGATTCGCTGTACGCAATCCAAGCCTCCTGCCCTGTTTTGGGTGAACCCAAAGCTAACAGCCGACAGTGTGCGCAAAGTTTGCTGGAGAGCCGTCCGTTTCGAGAGTCGAGCTGTTCACGCAACAAGCCTATTTCGCCTTCCAGGTTATTCAGGTCTTCCTGGTCGCGACTCTGGCCTCGTCTGCCACGGCTGTTGCCAAGCAGATCGTTGATTCACCGACCAGCATCCCGTCCATCTTATCCAGCAACCTGCCCAAGGCGTCCAACCTCTACATATCCTATTTCATCGTCCAGGGCCTGACCATCGCCACCAGCGTGCTGACCCAGGTGTTTGGCTTTGTCATTTTCACTCTGCTGTACAAGTTCCTGGCCAACACCCCTCGCGCCCTCTACACGAAATGGTCCAACCTGAGCGCCATCTCGTGGGGCAGCACCATGCCGGTGTATACCAACATTGTGATCATTGGTGAGTGTCTTCCCCTCGATAGCCGCTCAGACATCATATTGACCGTCGCTAGCCATCACCTATTCCTGCATCGCCCCGCTGATGCTGGGCTGGGCCACCATCGCCATGTTCCTCTTCTACTTCGCCTGGCGCTACAACGTCTTCTTCGTGACCGACACGCGCATCGATACGCGCGGCCTGATCTACCCCACGGCCATCAAGCAGCTCTTCACGGGCCTGTACCTCGCCGAGATCTGCATGGTCGGCCTCTTTGCCGCGTCGGTCGCCATCGGGCCCCTGGCGCTCATGATCGTCTGCCTTGTCTTCACCGTCCTCTTCCATCTCTCGCTCAACTCGGCCCTCGACCCGCTGCTCTACAACCTGCCACTGACCCTGCTCGCCGAAGAGGAAAGCGTCCGGCTCCTCGACATGGAGAAGGGTGCGCACGCCGCCGCCTCGTCCGCCGCGGTAGCCCACCACGACCTCGACGGCGACGGGCAGATCGACCACACCGAGGCTGCCGTCTCGCACGCGCGCGAGGCCAGCAAGGTCACGGGCAAGGCGGGCAACATCCTCACGCGGTTCCTCAAGCCGTGGATTTATGCGGACTATGCGACGCTGCGCAACCTGGTGCCGCGCGGCGTCGAGGTCGGGCAGTACTCGGATGATGTTGTTAATAACGCCTATCACCCACCCTCGGTGACGAGCCAGACGCCGCTGCTATGGATTCCTGCGGATGCGGCGGGGGTGTCGAAGCAGGAGGTGGCGCACACTAGCAAGGTCATTCCGATTACCGACGAGGGGTGCGAGTTGGATGAGAATGGGAAGCTGGTGTGGGATCATGAGAGGAGCAGGCCACCTGTTTGGGAGGAGAAGGTTTACTATTAGGTTTAGGGAAGTCGTCATTGCGAGATGACAGAACATGGGTTGTTGGGGTGAGCCTGAAGGTGAGTGGAGCATGGTAATGGGGTGGAATGTCGACGAGAAAGGATGATTTTTGCACTGATACCCGAGCATATGGAGAACGGGGTTTGCCGAGTTTGTTTTGAGATACCGTTCTCTAAGCCCTTTGAGGGGTGGTAATTTTCATTCATGGATTAGACACGTCTGTTGTTATTGCAATAGCGGCGAGATCAAGGCGCACACGCGTGCCCAGAGCGGTTACTCCCCGCTTTTGATTATATGTTCAGCACGAGCTGGATGAGGACGACGTCGCCACTGACTGCCATTCTGGCAGTACGATACCTCGGCCGGACAACCGGGACTTCAGACGATGAATATGTTGACGATGCGTGAGATCCTGTATGCTTATTCGGCGGGTAACTGCAGGAAGCGTCTACCTTCTCTGGCTGAAGGACCGCAGTCCAAGATGCCGGCAGCTGAATTTCGAGCTCCACCCCTGTTCTGAGCCTCGTCGGAGTGGAGTTAGCGGGAGACGGCGCTGGCTTACACTGAGGGACACCACCAACCTGTTGCCTGTGCTGTCATTGACAAGTTTTAAAACCAGGGGGGGTCCTCGAAGCCCCGAGTTTCCACGCATCTCATCCAGAGATACAACACGCCAAACATGGCCGACGAAATACCACACACGAGCCCTTCCGCCTCAACCCTGGAACAAGGACCTGCAACAAGGTCAACCTGAAAGAGGCGGCGCCATGACCCCCACAACCCCGGGCGCCGCCTTGGCGCCAATGCATCACCATCCTTCCACCCCGGACGCCACTGAGACTACCTCGTCCACGACGACGGCCGATCCGAGCCGACTTGAAGCGCAAGCCACCCTGCAGCCCAACCCCAACCCCAACAAACCACCACCACCACCAGCCTTCGGGGCCCGACCCGCCTGCTTCAAGACACACTGCAGGAGATCGTCTTTGTCTTCCAAGCCACCACCGCCACAGCGACCTCCTCCTTCTTCCAGGGCGCCCCACCGCCATCATCACGGCGTTCATCGGCCACAACCTGGGCATGAGCCAGGGACAAATCACGTGGATCACGGCGTCGACGACGCTGACGGCCAGCGCGTTCCAGTTGGGTCGCGGGCATGAGCTCGTTCAGCGGCCTTGCTCTGCTGGTGGCGTGGACGCAGGACCCGTTCTGGATGGACGTCGTGTGCGGGATCCTGGGGGTGAGTGCGGCCATGGTGGTGCCGCCGGCGATTGACATCATGGGCGCCGCGTATGAGACGCCGAGCAAGAGGAAGAATCTGGCGTTTTCGGCGTTCAGCGCGGGGAATCCGCTGGGGTTCGTGTTTGGGAGTGTTGTGAGCGGATTGGCGACGATGGTGTTCAACTGGCGGGCGTCGTTTGTGCTGATCACTACCCTGTGGGTGTTGTTTACGGTCCTGGCGGGCTTTACCGTGCCCAAGGTCGAGGCGTTTCCGGCTGAGCAGCCGTTTGGCGAGAGGGTGAGCAGGTTTGTGAAGGCATTTGACTTTGTCGGGACGGCGTTGACCATCTTGGGCACGGGCTTGTTGACGGCGGGTATAACGAGAGTCTCCATGTGAAGCTCTGGGTTTTGCTTTGGAAGCAAGTACTGACTCACTGGTGGCATCGGACCGACTGATCGATGGCAGACGGCACACATCATTGCCATCCTGGTGGTCATCGGGGTGCTGCTGCTCGCGGTTTTTGCTTACTGGGAAACATATCCATACCCCCTAATGCCTCCTCAACTATGGAGAGATCGCAACTTCACGTTTGTACGTGTCTTTCTTCACATGTGCCTGCTGCTACTCAGGAGGCCCGTCGCTGACTTTCGCAGATTATCTTGGCCTGCCTCCCCCCGTATATTTCGTTCACCGCGGCGTAGTTCTGGCTCGCCTTCTTCATGCAAGAACTCCAGAGGCTGTCGCCCATCACTGCTGCAGTACAACTTCTCACACAGGCCATCGCCGGCTTGATCTACAATGTCATTGCTGGATCAGTCCTGCACTGCATCAACAACACGCTAGTGCTTGCGCTGGGTTCGAGCACCTACGTGGCGTCGAATGCGCTCATGGCCCTGATGAGACCGGATAGCCCGTACTGGGCCTTCATTTTCCCAGCTCTGATCCTGTCCGTTGTTGGAGCCGACTTTCAGTTCAATGTCGCCAATGTAAGTCCGAACCTGCCCTTCTCAACTGAGATGTTGCACACAGACATGGACTGGGTGTAGATGTATGTAATGCAGTCGTTGCCATCCCATCAGCAAGCCCTGGCAGGAGGCATCTTCAACACGCTGTTCTGGCTAGGGGCAGCCATTGCGTTGGGGGCCACCACAGCTGTATTCACGTCGGCCACTGGCACGCCCGAGGCCATGGCAGACCCGATGCTGCCGTACGCCAGGGCGTTCCAGGTTCCGATTGGGCTGAGCGCAGGAAGTTTCTTGTTCTTGCCGTTTGTGAGGCTGGGCACGCAGGGACATGCCCCGGGCAGCGCACCTGTTGGCGACTCCAATCTTGAGGGCAAGGAGCTGGTCGCATTTCCTGTTGTTTCCGTTGGAGAGAAGTAGCGGATGGATACTTAATGTCATGTGGCTCGGCAAAGGGATGGAACCATGCTTGCCCCATGGTCGTCCAATACCGGACAACACCCAAGCAAGTTCGACGAGCCCATCATTGACAACAAGTCTTGGCACGTCTGATCGGGCTGAAGCAGGCTCGGACATTTGAAAAAGCCATGCAGCAGCGCCCAAGGCACCGGCATGCTTCCCCACGGCCTTGATCACGAGGGCAACAACCAGACCCAATTGCCCCTGTCTCGGCTTCTCTCGGATCCCCTTCCAAGACACCGAGCGGTTCTGAACAAGAATGCGCCAGAGCCAACAATGTTTGTCCCCAGACATAGAGGCGTCCAATGGCGTGCCTCCACCCACGCCAACCCTGCAAGTATTAGTTGGGGTTTCGTCAAGAGTGACACAAGATGGGGGGTTGGATGCCTGGATGGTGATGGCCGTCGAGACATAAGTACTGCTGGCGAGACTTGTCTTGTTCCTGTTTACTCTGCAAACCTGCTCGCCTCTCCCAATGGGTTGAAGACAGTAACTTGTCTTCGTCTACTCATCAGAAAGTTGAAAGTGACAGATCCCGCTGTGCTCAAGGTTGCAAGTTAGCCTCATAGCGCCGTCAGTGTCTCCTTCCTTGTGTGCTAACTTTGACCAGCAACATGTCTTTCGGTGCCGGAGTTCCCAACCAGGGCAGTCTTCCCCTCGAGGAAACCGGACACGAGAGCCCCTTCCCGACCCAGCACAGCCGAACCAGCAGTGTCCAGTCGACTACCACTGACTATGATCCCACCACGGAGGCCAAGGCGTCCAAGTTTCCCGAGATCATCCGCCGCGACATGGAGTTCTTCATGGCACGCCTGACCCGGACAATCTCGACCGATTCGACGAGCTCGACTGGCTCGCCATGAACCAAACTAAAAAAAAAGGCAACAACTTACAAGATGTAGAAGAGAGGCATGACGGCATGGTGGCATGGAAGGATATACCCCACGAGATTGAACTGGTACTGGGTTTATTACGGCTCATGACATGGCGTTGGCTCATGTTTGGGTTGGCATGTGGTTTCTCGCGGTTCTGGTGCTCGGCTTGTACGAACATGAGGAAACTGAGAAAGATTGTCAGCATTGATTAGTGTCTTTAACTAAACGACGAAACGATGAACAACTTACCATGGTCAGGCCAGCGTCCACCCCCAAATCGAGCCTCGTCCGTTCATAGGTGTGACTTCTCTCCCACTCCTCTAACCGCGCCGTCACTCCAAGCGCCTCCACATTCCCAGAACATTCACCGAGCCTCCATCAGCTACCTACATTAGGTATCCCAAGCCACCCTTAATTCTGGTAACATCACACCCGCGCTTCACCACTGCTACGTGGTCTCACACACCAAGCAGGGATGGAATTAAGCAGGCCAAGCACGACAGACGACAGTCGCCTTTAGTCATCAAGGTGAAACATAAAGCAAAGGTAATAATAATAAACCGAAACGCTCTCGATCGATCAAAGAATGGATGATGCCTCGTCCATGCCGAACCCTGCTAAAAAAATGTCCGAACCTCCCCCGTCGCTTGCAATGACCAAACTCTTTCCCCGTTCCTTCTAGATCCTCTTCATCTGAAACACAAAGTAGCACTACTATGCGAGCCGCTCAAAACACGAACCAGGCAAGAGGAAAAAAAATGGTCACACAGCCTCCCCACTTCATCATCGCCAGGCCAAACACGCAACCCCCAAAACAAGAGAAGCCTCCTTCTCGTCCTGCAGCAAACCAGCCAGCCCCCAACCCTCAACAAAGACAAAAGATAGACTCCAAGATGCACTCCACCCACCCACCCACGCCTCCAGCCATCCACCATGCCCTATTCCTTCAAAGTTCCCAACAATCCAAAATCCCCCAAGTTAGTAGGAAACCCCCCCCCCCGCCGCCTGCCCATGCAACATTTCCCCCTGCACCGGCACCGGCACCGGCACCGGCACCGGCACCGCCTGTGGCACCGTCCACACATCCCCCGGCATCCCTGCCCCAAGAAACCAGTTCCCGTCATCCGACGCCATAAACTCATCGGTGCCGTGCGCAAAGTGGTCGATCCCTCCAGGCACCAGGTTCCACGGCATGTTCTGGTTCTGCTCGATATGCTGTGGCATCTCGTAAAGCGGCAGCTTCAGCATGGCCGTCACGGCTGACGCCGGATGCGGGTGCGGGTGCGAGTTGTGCTGCTGCTGCGAGTTGTGCTGCTGCTGCTGCTGCTGCTGCTGCTGTGTCTGCGGGGAGGGCATGGCGCCGCCGTTCGTCGAGGTCTGGGAGGGAGATTGCTGTTGGTGGTGGTGGTGATGGTTGTGCGGCTGCTGATGGTTGTGTGGCTGCTGGATGCGCCAGAGGGTGGACGCGGCGGCCTCGGCGGCTGCTTCGGACGAGACTGAGTCTGGAGGGCCGGCTTGGTGCGGCTGCTGCGACGTGTTGATCGGGGTGAAGGACAGGGACGTGGATCGGGGCGTTTTGGCGTGGTCGGCCGCGTGGTTGCTGTCCAAGCCGACCGAGGAGCCCGGCTCGGCGGTGCTATCGCGTGAGGAGCCCTTCTCCTCCTCGATGGCTAGTATCTCGCCGTGATTGACCACCTTGAAGCCTTGCTGCTTCCACTCCTCCAGCCCGCCGCCGCCCCTGCGCATCAATTCGGGCCGTCTGCAAATGTGGTAATAAGTGTCCATCTGGCGGAAATAGTCGGCGTACGTCTCTGCTAGCTTCAGGTACAGCGAGAATTTGGTTTCCAGCATCCGGTATGTCAGCCCGGTCGGACCGTGCGTCTTCAAATCCAACTCTCCGGCGATTCCCTGCTTCGGAAGCATGTGACCCTTGGTGTCCATGTGGGGGAAGTGGGCGGCGTAGATGCCGACAAAGGCGGCGTGCCATACCGCAAAAAGAACGAGAGATGACATGGGAAGTTTGTCTCGGCAGATCTCGGTGAGGTCAACTATCTCCTTGGCTGCGTGGAAGACCTCCTCGGCGCTGGCCTCCCAGAAGCCCTGCGGCTCGTCGCCCTCCGGGAACGTGGGCGGGTCGAGAGGCCCGACGGGCCTGTTGCAATTGATGGCGATGAACGGAATATACTCGCGGTGGAGCATGATCCTACACAACGCGCCCAGCATGTGCAGTGAGACGTAGACGCTGCTGGCCTGATGGTTCTCATGTGCGTAGTAGTTGCTATCCGACCACTTGTGCTGGTCCGGCAGGTCCCGGTAGAAGGATTCAAGCTTCCCACGCAGCTGGAAGAAGTTCGTCTCGGGCGTCCACGGAGGATGTCCCTCTGTGAAGCGGCCGCCCGAGAAACACCATTTGGATATCTCGCCCCAGAGGTCGACGAGCCGGACAAAGCGGCTGAGCACGCTGTGACGGATTTTGGGATCGTTTTCCTCGCCCGGGACGGGTTTCAGAAAGCCCGTGTAGACCTCCTCTGAGAGATCAAACGAGTGTTCAGGGCAAGGCAGCTGGATATGCAAGTCCTCGGAGCGGATCGCCGAGACGCGGTCGTTACCGCAGCCCAGGAGACGGTCCAAGATCAGGCAGCTGAACATGGTCCGTCGCCTGATTTCTTTGGCAATTATCCTCTGCCCTGGCGGTATGGTCGTCTGAACCGGCTTGACGGGCCGGGGCCTGAAGGCCTTGCTGGGTTCCCTATCGCCATCACCCAGGCCTAGCGCCTGCGCCATCCTGATAGCAACGCCAACATACATCCAGGCCGCCATGCCCCCGACTCTTGGCCTAGCCTGGCTCCACTCGTAGAGGCCCAGCATCAAGAAGGCTTGGACCCTCTCAACCGACGCGATGGCCATACTCGTCCTCAAACCGCCGAGCGCCTTGGTCAAGACCTCGGCATAATACTCGGATGCACTCGCCGCATCGGATGCCGGGCCGGCCGCCCGAGGCTTCGGAACGCCGGACACTGCCGGGCTCTTCGTCGAGGCGGTGATGTACGAAACCAGCGTGGGGTGGAAACGCACCGTCAGGGTGAGAATGCCCAGCAGCACGAGGTTGATCTCGGGCGACGTATCCGAAGGCTTCGCCCTGAACCTGCTTCGGAGCTTCTCCTTCAACGTGGCCAGGTGTAGAAACGGCAGCTCCGTGGCAAAATGCAGCCTGTAATAGTCGAACAACTGACTCCAGACGGCCTCGGTCAGGAAAGGGGCCGAGAGCACATCCTCGGCGACGACCGCAGCAGGGACGGCACCTTCCATCCTGACAATATCTTCAATCCTCCGCTGGCGTTTCCGCTCTGTGCCCTGCTCCATCTTGATTCCGGGGGACGGCTCGGACCGCTTCGGCTGGGCCGGGGGGGCTTCAGGGTAGGTGCACTCCTTGCCATTTTTGATACACGTATCGCAGGGGGATACGCCGCCCGAGTTATTGCACTTGATCTTGGACTTGCGGCAGCGTTGACAGGCAATGCTAGACCTCAATGGCGTCCGCTTGATTCCCTTTTTGGAGTCGACAGCACCGGGGCTGCTGGGGCTGCCAGACATCATGGGAGCTGGAACGGGCGACCTGTGGTCATCGTCGGCAGCCGCGGCTATGGCGCCGGTGTGGGCCTGGGTGCGGACCGCCCCGGCCGCGGTGGGGCGTGTTGGGCTGCGCGGCAGCGGCTGGCGTATGTTGGGCAAGCGTTCCAACGCTGGAAGACGTTGGGGCGGCGCAGGCGGCTCTGCCGGGTCGATGGGCGCATCGGGCGCCGGGGCGGCGAAGGCGTCGTGGAACTTTCTTTTTGGGGTGGGCTCTTGGGCGAACGACGGTGATCCGGCAGCCGCGTCGGCGTCGGGCGGCTCGGGAGGGGAGAGGATGGATTGGATGCGCAGCTGGGAAGCAATCGTGACGGCGGGTTGGGTCTCGCGAGAGGACCCCCTGACGCAAACACACGGAGTCAAGGCCTTCCCCGGCCACACACACTGTACAGTGCAACAGGCGGCTGCAAGACCGCTCGGCGGGAGCGATGCGGGCACGGCAAGGGAGGGCCGAGACTCGACGTTACGGTCGGGGTTGTTCGGGCGGGCCGCGAGAGAACGAACTAAATACGCACGCTCAGGAGGGCACTGCCGACGAGATCGTTGGCGGTAGCAGAGGCGGGACCAGGGTCAGGGGCAGCACAGCATGCAGTATGGAAACCGGGCGAGTGCTCGCAGCTGACAGATGGGAGAAGGAAGGTGGCCGGAACGGGTCCAGACGACAAGCTGGCTGGGACGGGTGTTTGCACGACGTCCAGTGTGTGCTGTGTGACAATATCCACCAACGGCGCAGGTGTCCGTTTGCGCGAGTAGCCGGGCGAGTGAGCGGGCAGCGACTGCGACTGTGTGCGTATCCGGACGGGCCAATGTGACGCCGAAACGTTGCCGGCGATGCCTCTCGGGTTGCGCGACGGGAGCGGGGATGCGGAATCCTCGCGGGCGTGGAGGGCTTTCTGGGTGTTTCAAACGGGTCGGTTGGTAAAAGGCGGTCTGACGCGGGATGCAGCAGAAGGGCTTCTGGCTTCTCCTGTTTGACGGGACCCAGAGAAGCGCACGGAATTTGATGTTGCAAAGTGAGGTGCAGGTAAATTGAATCGGCGAGCGGGAATGCGGGATTGATTCAAGCTTCTTGCTGGGTCGGCTAAGTATTGTCGGCAACGTCGGCTGGGTGGGTACTGCGAGTTGTTCAGTGTCCACAGCAGTATGGAGTAAGGTACAACAGGTAAGGTAAAAATACTTCAAGGTTTAAGTTTCTGAGGCAGGTCGCGACAATTCCTCACCTTGATGGGGAAGGCAGGAGGGGAAGTAGAGCGATGTGGCGCCGCGCGGGCTATATCTTTGTGAAAAACCCCGAGAAGCGGGAACCCTGACATCCTTTTCGACTCAGGACCTGGAGAGACACCCGTGGATGGATCATTTCCAATGCTGGAGCGGGCTGCTCGTGCCGGCCAGCGCGCAGCGGGCCAAGCTCCTTGACTCCAGGGACGGTTGTAGCCTTGGCCTCTCGCTCTTCTTCTACCCATTATCGGGCCACAACCTCCATTTTCTCTGATCAATACCTCCAGTTATGGAATGGCCTTGGGAAGTCGAGTTCTGATCTCTGTTTTCCGATGCTTTGCCCACACACCAAACGTGGGCAAGTGCCGACACTTTCATCGAAAGGCCAGGCCTCGCACCGATAACGACCCCACGGGTCTTCGGGATGCCCTGGCTTGCTTGGCACCGGATGCCCGCGCCAGAAAAGCACCCACCCCACTCCCGATTCGAAACATGCCGTTTCCAGAGTTCGTTGCTCTGAAGACGAGGCCCTCCTGATCCAAGTCCTCAAGGTCGGCAGTGCCTGCTCGCCTTAGAACTTGCACACACAGGGTGCCTCTCTGGGTGTCTTTGCCGGACCCGACATTAGGTGGAACGAGGAATCTGTGCTCCGTACACAACAGGTACACTTAGTAATAGTTACACCTCTCACGGTGCGACTAAAATGGAAGGCCGAGGGTCCCTCGGCTGTCCGTTCGGTGTGTACGACGGCCCGCTAGCAAGGCGACGCGGGAACGTCCACTGGAAAAGACATCAACATATCTAACGCAACTCACGTCCATCAGATGCCCATATGCCGCTAGTAGGAGGACTGAGAGGCAACAGGATAGCTTAAGAATACGAAACCCCAACGTAGTTATCTTGGACGGTGCCTGCATCTGAGGACCATTTCATCAGACGTCGGTCTCAGGTTTTTATCGGGTGTTGCTTTTACGCTCCCGGCAAGCCATCCCGTTGGCTGCCAAGTTCATCGGGATGTTGGGACGAGATTGCCGGAGCAATGTTTGGGGGTCAATCCAGAGTTGTGGAACCCAGGCGGCCGGCAGGGGGCCGAATCGGAATCGGCTACAGCCACTCCGGTGCGAGCCGTCATTCAACAAAGCAATGCTCCGGGAACACACCACGCAGTGTGCCCGGTCGCCAACCCCAATACATCGAGAGGAGGCTTGTAGGGCACCTTCTGTGTACGCAGTTCATCCATGAGTTGGGCCTCGAATCCTCCAGGCGGGCCCCACAACATGCGTACAGTAACTAACACATTCGTTGCGGCATGCGAGCTCCGGATCTGTTAAGGGAAGGTCTGTGAGGCCTTAGAGGAAAGGATCTCGGTAAGCTGCGCATGGGGTTGCCATCACTCGCGATCAAAGTTTGCCGGGAAGGCAACCCACCAGAAGGCGAAGTAGCCGGTTGTATCACGACGTGCGGCCCGAGAGGGTCTTCTTTTGGACACAGGGCTTGTCGGCGCCGGGAAGGGAGGGTTAAAGACTTCTGCCTCGGTAGTCATGGCGGGGAGCACATTGCAGTGCCTTTAACCCAAATCCACCACCACTCGCTGCGATCTGTGAGGACCGCAAGAATCCTACATGATGCCCCCAAAGTCTCGGTTATTACCATGGATAAGATCCATGATCCTGTGCAACTTCCCTCGGTACGTGCTACTTGTAGCATCGTGGAATGGGAACGTACAGGGGCTCGCCACGTGAGGTCAAATGGAACTCGCTTGCCCCATGGCCTTGATAACGGGCCGGTGCAACGGTGGACTCGACCCCTTGCGAGCATGCAAGGCCTGTTGGGCTTCTTTGTTCGAGGCCCTCAATCATGAATGCAAGCCTCTCTGAGCGAGAAGCTGACGAGTTCTGAATGGCGTCTTTGTCGAAAAGAGTGGTGGCGGACGACGAGCCTGTTCCCAGGCCCAATGACGTCGTCCTGTTGGCAGAAGCTCGAGAGGCCTCGCGCATGCTCCACACACGACACGCCTTTAAGCGCCCACGGCCGCGGGATGCTGGGCAGTTGCTATTTTGGACTCAACTCTTGAACGACGGGAACCAACTCCGCCTTCGTGGAATCGTGCTTGCAAGCTCATCAGGTTTGGGCGCGTTCTTGTTCTTGTGCCCAAATGCTATTCTAATCATTCTCAATCCGACCATAACAGCTCGCAAACTCCTTCAAGTTCGAGCCTCGCGGAGCGTCGAGCTCGTCCCAAGCACGATATCCTTTACCCCGCATCACGGCGAATACGTGCGTAACGAGCTCGCAGCAGCGCCCACTCGCAACCTCATTGCGAGAGTGACTTGTGCGCATTAACAACGGCAACAATGGCATCAGGACATAATGTAAGGCATCTACACACGACCAGCTTGAGGTAGCGTGGACTAAAAGCGACATCAACAGGACCCGAAGCTGCTGTACGCCATCAACGGCGTCTCGGCCTACCACATCGTCAATGGCAAGGAAGAGCCGCTTACACCTGCCGGCCCGCAGACACTGTCCTTGTTGATGGTCCCGACAACCTCGGCTTTTGCTGACCCTGCCATCGATTCCGATAACACTCCCGCCGAGCAAGATTTCTACCTCCATCTCCATCTTCCTCCCGAGCTCGACCTTCCCCTCCCGGCCACGACACAGATCTACCACCAGCCACCCACCAGTTACCTCATTCCGCGTTGGGACCTCGGCCCGGATAGCGGCGCCTTCACGAGGATCGAGTTCCCTTCGGTTGAGAGCAGGAAGGGGATCCAGGAGGATGTAGACACTTTTGAGACAATCCTGGCGCAATGCACCGCCTTCCTCGAGCGGGCGCCGCCACCCAGGATTAGTAAGGGTGAGCAGTGGCGGGAGGGCAAGGGCGAGAAGAGCGCCGCGGCAAAGGCGGCACAAGCAGCCGGGGATACACTCCCTGCATATAACCCGGCCGATTTCAAGCCTGGTGAGGGCTATGCCCGCGGAAGTCACAGCGGTGCAGCGCCAGGACAAATTGTTCTTGTTGACGAGGAAGATGGCAGCGTGATAGGAGAACTGTCCGACGGGTTCCAGGTCGTCGAGGATAATATGCTGAAGCCAGGATCGAAAGGTAGGTGCCTGTTGTTGGGCGCCCTTGGGGTATCCGGTGCTGACCCGTTTCTCAGACCCGGTCGAGATTACTCTCCCCTCTGATGGCGGGCAAAAGATCAACGTCGCACCGATATCGCCCGAGCTGTACGGTGTGGATCTGCATCCGGCCTACAAAAAGTCATTCCTCGTGTCAAACGCTTCAGCGGCTTCGCGTTTCATCATCACCGGTTCCGACATGCTCTCCAAACTGCTGCAGAACCAAGCCGACAGCTTCACCAAGAAAGTTCCGCCGAGCGCCAAGCCCATGACATTCAAGCCCGCCACGCGCGAGCACATCCGGCGCATCAACAACTTCACCGGCAGCGCGGCGACGCTGTCCGCCAAGACGGTCGGGCAGATCACAAAGGTTGCGCAGAACTGGGGCGCCTCGTTGGGCGGGCACGGCAAGGGCAAAGACGGGTCGGCGCGCCACAAGGGGTTCGACAAGGACGGCAATCCGCTGCCGACGTACAAGCCGGGCCTGCTCAACAAGAGCATGATGGCCTTCTCAACCGTTATGGACGGCGTTGAGCAGGCCGGGCGGAATCTGCTCGCCTCGACGTCGGATGCGGCCACCACGGTGGCGACGCACAAGTGGGGCCCCGAGGCGGGCGAGTTGACGCGCGGCCTTGGAGGCGGAGTCAAGAATGTCGGCCTGGTTTACATTGACGTGACGGGTGTCTCGCGCAGGGCGATCCTGAAGAGCGTGGCCAAGGGCATGGTTGTCGGCTACACTGCGACGGGAGATAATATCGTGGTGGGAGGTGGCGATGGGGGTGTCGCCGTGGTTGGCCAACAGGGACCGAATAAGGATGTCCAGTCGGTGAGCGGCATGACGGTTGCTGAAGGGAAACAGCCTGAGGGTGCGTACCCCATGGACGGCAAGTTTAAGTGAGATGGGAGTTGGAGCGGTGGGGTGTCGGTATTGCTGTTCAAGATGGAACGGTCCTAGGGTTAGGTATAATGCTTCGATATACAATATGTGGGTTCTTTGCATCTCATTACCTGAGACGTTGAGTGATGGTACTCGATCAGGGGCACAAGGGTTGAGCTGTCGACTTTTCCCATGCTCAACACACAGCAGAAACGGTCACGTGGTCGTGTCCTTTTCGAGTGAGCACGTCGCGTCACTGAGGTTTGAGCGCGCGTCAGCTCCACACCCCACCTTAAACTAACCCTTCTCATGTATCCGTAAGCTTCAGCAGACCGCTCGACTTGCAATGGAAACTCGCCTTTGTGCAGCACCTTGACAGGAGTTTAAGCTGGTAGTCTATCGTCCATCTGTTAGGGCGTCTGCTCCTGTTTGACAACACTGCAGCCGCCCGATGTGCTGCCGATTTGAGCTCCTCGGCACCCTGATCCTCTTCCTCCAAGCATTCAACGACCGCCGAGCCCAGAAGCGAGCTGCCCGTGTTGAGCAAGCGGCAAAGGCATCCTGATATTGATCACCCCAAAGTATCATTATCTTACCCATCCCGCCAACCTCGATTTAACAGGCGCAACACACTTTGTAAACGGCATATCACCATGCTCCACGAAATCCTCTTTTCCCTCTCAGGCCATCCCTCCCCGCTCCTCCGTTCCGCCGCCTCACCCGGCAACGAAACCGACAACACCCTTATCAACAGTACCGCCATCTCCCCGCCCGAACGCGCCCTCCTCGCCTCCCTCGCCCGCCTCAGCGACTTGCACATTCATCTGCAGACCGCGGCCTCCCACATCGCCGCCTCCCACCCCTCCGTCATCTGCCGCGCCGTCGCGTTCGCAATTGACACATTGCACCTTGCCGGGTTCCGGAGAAAGGTTGTAGAAGTTGAGCGGACGATCCTGAAAGAGGACGCGGCGCTGGTCGGGCCGTATCGCATCGTGCCTTTGACGGCAGTGGTGGCGGAGTTTGAGGGGTGGGGGAGGAGGTTGGAGTGGCTTCGGAGGGTTGTCGACGTCGTTGATAAAGAAACCTGTACTGGTGCGGGGGTGATCGACTTTTTGAGGGGCGAGTTATTGACGGGATATGGGGATGTGGAGGAGCTCGCGGAGAGCTTGGTTGCTGTTGCCGAGGCGGCGTGGGTGAAGCAGGTTGCAGCGTGGGTTCTGTATGGACGGGTGCCGGGGTTTGGGGAGGGGGATTTCTTTGTGAAAAGGAGGAAGAGGGAAGACGGGGATGGGGAGGGAAATGCGACCGAGGAATATATCTGCGAGCCCGGGCTCCTGCCGGGGTTTGTTACGCCTGCGACGGCTGCGTCGATGCTGTTTATCGGCAGGTCGCTGAACCAGATCCGAACTAAGAGTGTGGAAGATTACAGCTTGAGGGGAAACGACCATCTATCGACGCAGCTCACGAGGTTGGCGGAGCTAAGGCATCCGATTGATTCGGCTGCCTTTGCAAGAACGACTGCCGATATCAGGCAATTCCTGTCGAGGACGACGCTGCAGCGGTTGCTGCCGCTGAGCAAGGTGCTCGAAACACTACAGTTGCTGAGGGACTTCTTCCTGCTCGGTCGCGGGGAGTTTGCCATGGCGTTGACACAACAGGCGGACGAGAAGATCAGGAGCCGGTGGAAGCGGATGGAGAATCTGGCGTATGAGAAGAGGGAAGGGCTGGGTAACGTTACAATAAAGGAGGGAGAAGTGGCTGCCGTTCTGGCTAAGACATGGGCCGCTATGGGGTCCATGCAAGGCGAGCATGCGGATGAGGATGAGGGGTTGGAGGTGGCCCGCGAATTGTTGAGGCTAACGATGGCTAAATCGAAGGCGTCTACACCAGGGACGCATAGCACTGAAGGTGGGCTTACAGCTATCGCGACCACTCCATTCCGAAACCTCCTATTCTCTGTTCCGGTTGTTATGACCATGCAAATCCCATCGCCCCTCGATCTCTTCCTCAGTCAAGCAGATTTGGAGACGTACACCGCCATCAATTCGTATCTCCTCTCACTGCGGCGAGCAAACATTCGGCTTACTGATCTGTGGAAGATTACATCTCTTAGGAGGCACCACCCAGCGCCGCCCGGGCCCCCATACGGGAGCACCCGGGGAGGAAGGGAAAAGGTGCACCTATTCCGTCAACGGCACGCCGCACGGACGCGTATTTTGCGCAATGCTTGGGCCACGGCAAGCGCTGCTATCTTCTTTCTCGGCGAGATGGAGGGTTACCTCCAGACAGAAGTCGTAGCAGGGTTGTCAGATGGGTTCCATCGCTGGTTGATCACGGGTGAAGATGAGCAGCGGCATGACGATGGCACATTCAAAAAAACGCAAACATCAACCGTGTCCCGTTCCAGATACAGTGACGAAATCCTCGAAGACGACATCTGGCTAGCCGGGTCCACCCCTTCTCAGCCTCCCTCCTTGTCAGCATCAGAAGAACAAACCCACCCCCATCACGACCCTCAAACCCTCGCCACGGCCCACCGTCTCTACCTACGCACCCTTGTCCACCGGCTCCTGCTCACCCAGCAATCCTTTACCGACGAACTCTACGAACTGCTCGTTCAGATAGACCACCTCGTGGCCGTTATCCGCCGATTGCACTCAGTGTGGACGGCGGCCGACCTTGAGACGGACGCCGGCGTCGTGGATGCGTTTGTGGACCTCGAGCGGGAGGAGCGGGATGTACAGAAGGAGATTCGGGGCGTAGAAGGGAGAGTCAAGCAGGGGATCGAGGGGCTGGTGGGGGAGTTGAGGCGGTTGGAGGGGCTCGGAGGTTTACAGAATGGTACAGAGATGGGAGGACTGGGAGAGGGGGTGGAGGATGGCGAGGTGCTGGGGATGGGGGGAAGTGGAAAGTATGTGACCAGACGGGTGGGGGGTATCAATAGGCTGCTGATGAAGCTGGATTTTGGGAGCTGGTTCGGGAGGGAAGGGAGAGGTGGCGATGGAATGGATGTTGATGAGGAGTTCTAACTCGTAAGGAGGGTGATGGCTTACTATCGAGAAGCGGAATAGGTAGTTGCCGGCGTTTGAATTTGGCGATGACTCTCATTACTATACCCTTATGTGTACGTTTCCTTCCCATGTCTAGCTGATATCAATCAGATCTGCTCCGTAACCGGAAGCCTGACAGTATGAACGTTTCGTAGACGGATATGGAACGAGTTTGTCTTAACGTATATACGTAGCAAGTTACTCATAGCCCCCTAGAGGCTTTGACCGGGACGCGAAATCAGGGTAGGCTTTCTCCTCATAATCTTATGAGATACCGTGTAAGGTATCAAGTTTCTTATATTAATGGATATGAAGTCCCGCCGATGTCCTTTATCCCCGGGTTCTAGCCGGGAGGAGCTGTGCTGGGCGTGGGATTAAACGATTCAGCACAGACCAACCTCCAAATGGTACGTACTGTGTAGGTACCTGACCTGGTAACTTGGGGTGTGCGATTTCGAATGGTCAACACAGTCCGAGACACCTCGCTAGGTAGCTTAGAATTATACTACTTTAGACTCCTGATCCGTGACGGCGAATGAATTTGTCTCATTGGAGCATTTGATTCCTCAATTTAGTTCCCATCTTTTCGACAGCCTTTGCATCACAAGCCTCACCAGTCAGCACTGGAGTTTCTATTGTTGGTCGAGTGTTCCTGGGGCGTGTATGGCGCAGCCCGACACCGGTTGGTGGAGATTGACTCCGATATGCTGTGGAGCGTGTTCGACGCCAGTCCATCAATTTGACTGGCTAGAGCGCATCAGCACCGCGCATTACCGTATGCGATCGGAGATGCACGGTGAAATCAGACGGTGTCCCCTTCCTGGCTTGTCATCTGCCTCTTCCCGCGCCAAATCTGGTTTTACACCCTCCCCCGTACTCCTTCTTTCTCCATCCCCAGTCACCCACACCTCTCTGCTCGGTACACGCCCGCCCACGATTCGGTCAACGGGTCCGAGTCGAGACCCAGCATTGGGAGTTTGGTGATTGACAGACGCATTTGTTGTTCTCTCTCCTTTAGCTTTGTCCTTTCATCTGTCGTCATGTCCAGTGCGAACGGTCATCCCGGCCTCTCCTTTGGGCTCAGGCGGTCGTTCCCACCGCCGCACAACTCACACAACCCGACCAACAAACCATCCCCGTCTCTCCCGCAACACGCGTCTCCGTACCCACCACACGCCTACCAGCATCAACAACATCCGCCGAGCCAATATCCCCATCATCTCTTCACTCCGGCGCCCTCTCCGGTTAACAACGTCGCAAGCATTCAAAATGCTACCCGACCACCGCCGGCCCAGGCGCCCTCCTCGTTTACCGCACCTCGCCATCGAGCCCCAGCTCCACGACAGATGCAGCAGCAGCCCCCTTCGCTCAACTACCTCCAACAGTCCCTGAATCCCCAGCCTCTGGGACAGCCGCCGATGGCGCCGCAATCCCTGCCACAGCAGTCCCTGTCGCAGCACTCCATGACGCAACAGTCTCTCGCGCCGCAGTCCATGACCCCGCAGTCCATGACATCGCAAAGCATGAACTCGCAGCCCATGAACCAGCAGCCCATGAACCAGCAGCCCATGAACCCGCAGCAGCTTAGCCAGCCGTCATTGGGGCAGCAGTCCCTCGGCCAACCGTCTCTGAGCCAACAGCTTCAGCCCATGAGCCAGCCGCCCATGGCCCCGTCCATGACCCAGTCCATGAGCCAGGGCTCCACGTCGCAGTCCATGAGCCAGCAGTCCATGCCACAACAACCCATAGCTCAACCTGTCCAGCCGGTCCAGCAGAATGACACGTCGATGCTCTCCCATCAGTCGACACCCCACCCCCCTCACCAGCCAACGCTCCCTCCGGCTCAGTCACAGATGCCCCAGGTCCAGGTACAGCAGGTGCAGAAGCTTCCGCAAGTGCAACAGGCCCAACAAATTCAGCCAGTCCAGCAGCAGCCGCCAGCCCATCAGCCGGAGTCTGTTGAGTCTGCCCAGGAGCACCACCAGGAAGATGATATGGACGCCGGCAGTCATGACGAGTCGGGTGAAGGGGATTCGTCCCTAGAACCCAAGCCTATGGACAATACTCCTTTTGTCCCGCGGCAACCAATGGGTCCCATGATGTCTGCTCCCCCGGAAGGCGGAAGCTTCCCGACGCTGGAGGCTGTTCACAAGCACGTCTTGAACTACTGCACCTCTGTCGGGTATGCTGTGGTCATTGGACGGTCTAAGAAGACGGTTCCCGGGTTGAAGAAGGTGCTCTTCGTCTGTGATCGGGCTGGCAAACCTCCTAGACGCGTTAGCCCCGAGAACCGCAAACGAAAGACGACGTCTCGGAAGTGCGATTGCCAGTTCGGTTTTTTCGCTATCGAGCAGAGGACACAGTGGACCGTCCGGTATCGCCCGGCTCCGATCCATCTGCAGCACAACCACGGCCCGAGTGAGAGCCCCCTCTTGCATCCGGCGGCAAGAAAACTGGACAGCAAAATGGTTGCTGCCGTTAAGAAGTTGAAGGATAACGGTACGTGTAAGCGATATCCTCCCTCTTACGATACCTGAACTGACTTTGGCTGCTAGGTATCGGTGTGAGCCAGACGTTGGAGATTCTGCAGAGCGATTATCCCCACGTTCCCCTTCTTCCTCGCGATATCTACAATGCTCGGGCGGCCATCAACCGCAATCCGCAAAAGGTTGCCAGTGGCCTTGCAGAGGACCGGCCGGCCATCTATAGCAAGCCGCAGCCGTCGGCAGAGGAGCGCATTAGGGCCGATCTTCGCCGGGAACTTGCCAACGCGCGAGAAGAGCTCGATAGGTTGAAGAAGGAGAGCCAAAAGGAGATCGAGGAGCTCAAGGCGAAGCTGCAGGAGAAGGACAGCATGATCAAGAAGTTTGAGGAGTTTATCGACATTTGTAACGGGCGGGTGATGGTCAGCCTTTCAAAGAAGGACGACAGCCGCGCGGGGGCCGCATCCGCATCATGAGAACGGGACATAGCGGCGCGATGACCGAATCATTTGTTGTGTTGGGCAGAACAGTGGGGATGATAATGGGCTGGTTACGGCGAGGTGCATGGCGTTGTTTTCTTCACAAGGAATTGTTTGGCGTTTGATTGGGTTCGAAATCATATAGCGTCGGGGAGCTTTGCAGAGTTGATCAAGATCAGCCTTGCAGTTGCGCATCTGCATGACCACACCCCTTTGCTTAGGGGTTTGTTGACTGACTGCCGACCACCGCACCTTGGGGCCGGTTATGTTCACACCTCGACCTTTGAGAGTTTGTGCACATCACACCCCAAGGCTAGGGTAGCTTGCTTCCCATCAAGACAAAGCACAAAACATTCCGCAAATGATAGTTAAGCCTTGTTGGCGATGCCCACTTATGGAACTGGAATTTCAGTACCAATCTAATATCAGCTATGCGATGGAGGTCATTGCAGGAGTCTATTTAGTACACCGAGTTCTCTCTGTGCATGTGACATTATCACCGTGCTTCAAGTCGCTGCCGGCAGAGTCTTGCAGTGCGGAGGAGGGTTGGCCAATCAAAACCCGCGACAACGCAACTGATGCATGGGTCCATGCGTCCGTTTCCGCGACAGGGGCACGGCAGTCGCGTCAAAGTCCAGCGTGCCCAGCCAGGGGAAACATCAACTTTCGTAGTTTCCCGTTCTGGAGCAATAAAACCTCGAAGAAGGAAAAGCTTTCTTCTTTCATCAGCGACGTCTTGCCGAGCAAACACGCTGTGATACCCAATATACCCAAAGTCACGCCCTTTCGTTCTTCTCTCCTCGACCTGTATTTCTGCGTCGTAATACTTCTTTGCTCCTACGAGACCACTGGCGGCGCACGGCTGACTGAGCTCTCCCTGATTCCCCTGCCGAGATCCCCCAGAAGAGACATGGCATCGGCAATACCGTAATATCGAAAGCCTCCCACTGATTCTCCCCTTCCGAGCCGAATATTCTGCCATGGAAGCGGTCGCATCTTCCCAGGCCACGAGCCATGGGACAAACGGCGTCGCAGCGGCACCCTTCGCGGCCGTGGACCCAGCTCGTGTCGTGGATCATCTCACTGCGCTCCTCGAGGCCGCCTTGGGCGCCACCCCGACAGAGCTCGAGGCTCCCGGCAGTCTGCTCTCCAATACCCGATACGCCGACACGCTGCAACGGTGCAGCCGATTTGCCTTGGACACCCAAGTCGCGCTCTACATCCAAAAGGAATTGCTTCCATCAGATACCCTGGAAAATGGGGACTCTCACGAGCGTACGGCTGACTCTCCCTCTTACTCATGTTATCCGCTGGACTAGCGGACGCTGACACATCTCCAGGTGCTCCGTCGCATGTCTACACCATCTCCTCAGACCTTTCCTCGTCGACGACAACAGTTGCCTTTCTCGTCCTTCTCAAGCGGCCGCAGCCGCTCGACCCCAGCATCCCGATAACATCGCAAATCCAGATGCTCAACTTGCCCGGTTCGGCATACCTCTCTGCAACTGCCGGCGAGCAAGGCCCGACCGGATCGCCGTACGAGATCCTCCAGCTCTACCTCCACAATGGTCTGGCCCCGTATTTCGATGCTAGCACCAAGAGCCAACAGATGCTCAATGGCGGCAGAGGGCGGACAGACGTGGATGCGAAGACCGGCATCCCAGTGACCAAGAAGAGGTGGACCGAGCTCGAACTGAGCCTGTCCCATCTCCAACAGAATGTTGAGATACCGGAGGTGTCACTGCCCTTTCACCCAATTGTGCAGTCCGCTTTGGATGAAGCGGCTGCCAGGCAAGCTAAGCCGACACTGGATTTGATTCCGCCCGCCGTTCTTCAGGACAGCACATTCCTCAACAACCTGCAGGCTACCGTCAACAACTGGATTAAGTCCATACAGGTCATCACCAAGATGACGAGGGATCCTACAACCGGGACGGCGACACAGGAGATCAACTTCTGGCTGTCAATGGAGTCGGCGCTTGAGGGGATCGAGAATCAGCTTCGGAGCGAAGGCGTCATGCTCACGCTGGACATTCTGAAGCATGCCAAGCGATTTCAGGCCACCGTCAGCTTCACTGCCGACACGGGCCTGAAGGAGGCCATGGAGAAGGTGCAAAAGTACAACCAGCTGATGCGCGACTTTCCCCTTGATGAACTGCTCTCAGCCACCACTCTGCTCAAGGTCAAGGATTCCATCGGGCAAATCTTTGCCCATTTGAACAAGAAATTGAGGATATGCCCCTATCCGATCCGCCGCGCCCTACCCCTGGTGGAGACCATATCGGGTGACTTGGACGAGGTGCTGCATCGCCTTCTGCCAGGCACAGAGCTGGTTAAGCTCGATTATCAGGATTTCCGCCGTGTTATGAAGCAGGCCGATGACATTTTCCGGGTCTGGGACGAGAACATCAAGGAGTTCACCAACGTTGCCCGCGAGGTCACTCGGCGCCGGAACGAGCGGTTCATTCCCATCAAAATCACCCCAAGGCACGGCGAGCTGCAAGCCCGCCTGAAGTACGTCAGCAACTTTCGTGACAACCATGAGCAGCTGCAGCGGACCATCGTCAACGTCCTTGGCCCCAAGGCGACCGTTAACGGCATTGCCGACGGGTCCGGTGCTAATGGCACCGCCGTTGTGGAGGAGATTGGTGATGTCGATGCTGTTGAGGAGGTGAGACAGGCCTGGGAAGGTCTGAAAGATGTTGACCTCCTCGATGTGACTCCTGAGGGCACGCAGAAATGGGCCCGCGCCGAGAACGTCTATAATGAGCGGACCTCGCGTGTCGAGAATTCTATCATTGCACGGCTTCGCGATCGTCTTGCGACGGCCAAGAACGCCAACGAAATGTTCCGCGTGTTCTCCAAATTCAACGCGCTCTTTGTGCGACCCAAAATCCGCGGCGCCATCGCCGAGTACCAGACCCAATTGATAGACAACGTTAAGCAAGCCATCACCGCGCTGCACGAGCGGTTCAAGCAGCAGTATGGCCACTCTGAGGCACACGCCATGGCCCAGCTGCACGACCTTCCCCCGGTTTCCGGCGCTATCATCTGGGCTCGCCAGATCGAGCGGCAGCTTGACGGGTACATGAAGAAGGTCGAGGACGTGCTGGGCGCTGACTGGACCATCCATGCCGAGGGACAGAGGCTTCAGAGCGAGAGCGACTTGTTCCGCAAGAAGCTCGACACACGACCCATCTTCGAGGCTTGGCTTCACGATGTGCAGAGAAAGCAAATCTCGATATCTGGTCTTCTGTTCAACATTAACCGGATTCGGTCCGCCGGGAACGTGCTGGAGCTTGCGGTCAATTTCGATGCCCAAGTGATTGCACTGTTCAAGGAGACACGGAACCTCGTGTGGCTCAACTTCCCCGTCCCTCACTCGGTCAACAACGTGGCCAAAGAGGCCAAGCGTGTGTACCCGTATGCTGTCAGTCTGATGGAGAGCGTCAGGACATTTGCGCAGACCAATCGGCAGATTTCTGACATGTCAGAGGTAGCCGTGCTTCTCAGCGGCCACCGTGACGAAGTCTTCGCACTGATTGCCAAGGGTATTCCCCTGAAGTGGGAGTCGTTTGTCAATACCTACGAGGTGCACTTCAAGAACTACACGGCAAACGGCGGCCTCGACAACTTTGCCAAGAGCGGAGACAGCAAACATGTCATGTTTATCCGCGAGTTTGCCTCGGCTGTGTCTTTGCTGCAGTCAAAGACTATTACGCTGGCCAATATCCATGCTACCGTGCAGAAGGCGCTGTCCGAGCTACAGAGATGTCCCTACGAGGTCTCGGCCTTTGAGTCTCGCTTGGAGACGATCCAGAGCGCGGTCGACCAGCTCAACCTCGAACAGTATGTCAACCTCGGCTTTTGGGTGGAGGGCATGAACAAGCAGATCAAGGCGGTTCTGCTTGCTCGGCTGCAGCACTCCATTCAGGCCTGGATCGAAGCATTTGAGGACGAACATCTCGAGAGATCAAACGAGCGTAAGCGTGCCCTCGAAGCCGTTGACGGAACCAGAGCAGACGTGCCTGTGATCAGGAAGCTGGTTCACGAGATCACAATGCGGAACCAAGTCATCTACCTCGACCCGCCACTGGAGTTTGCACGAGCCAGCTGGTTCTCACAGCTCCAGGAATGGATTGGCGTCGTCTGCAATCTGAAGAAGATCAAGGCTACCCGATATCAGATGTCCATCAGCACCACCGTGTATGACGAACCGCGCTTCAACGACTTGCCCAGCGAATGTACCCCAGCCCTGATGCGGGTGCAGACATCCGTCGAGAAGAAGATCGGGGAAATCGGCGCCTACGTGGATAAATGGCTCCAGTTCCAGTCCCTCTGGGACCTGCAATCAGAGCATGTCTATGATGTTTTGGGCGATCAGCTATCCAGATGGCTGCAGCTTCTCCAGGAGATCAGGAAGACCCGTCAGACTTTTGATACCACCGAGGTCAGCCGCTCGTTTGGCCACATCACAATCGACTATGACCAGGTACAGACCAAGGTCAACGCCAAGTATGACCAGTGGCAGCATGACATCCTCATCAAGTTTGCCAGCCGTCTCGGCACCCGCATGCGGGAGGTGCATGCAGAAATTGAGAAGGCCCGCAGGGACATTGAAGGGCAGGCGATCGAGGCCAACTCAACAGCGCAAGCCGTTCAGTTCATCACCACTGTCCAAACTTGCAAGCGCCAAGTCAAGCTCTGGGCCCCCGAGGTGGAGACCTTCCGACAGGGAGAATCCACTCTCGTGAGGCAGCGATACCAGTTCCCGAATGACTGGCTCCATGTCGAGCAGGTCGACGGCGCGTGGGACGCCCTCAACGAAGCGCTGGCCCGCAAGGCCAAGATCGTCCAGGACCAGACAGACGCGCTGCGTGCTAAGATCATTGTCGAGGACAAGGTCATACTCGACAAGATCAATGAGATTGCTCAACTGTGGAACGAAGAGAAGCCCGTCTCGGGCACCATCGCACCTGATGTTGCGTCAGCTTTGCTCAGCGACTTCGAGACCAAGATCACAAGGCTTCAAGAGGAGTCAGCCATGGTCGCGAAGGCCAAGGAAGCCCTTGATCTGCAGGCCATTCCGGAAACTTCCCTTGCCGTCATTCTCGAAGAGGTCCAGGACTTCAAGTCGGTCTGGGCTTCTTTGTCGACCATCTGGAATAACCTGAACGAGCTCCGCGAGATCCTCTGGAACAGCGTTCAGCCTAGAAAGATTCGGTCGTCGATCGACAATCTCATCAAGATGACCAAGGAGATGCCCAGCAGGATGCGACAGTACGCCGCCTTTGAGCACGTCCAAAATGTTTTGCGGCAGCTCATGAAGGTCAACCCTATGCTCACCGAGCTCAAGTCTGAGGCCGTCCGCGACAGGCACTGGATCAAGATCTACAAGCAGATCAAGCCCGGCAAGCGCTATTCGCCGGTCTCCATGACGCTTGGAGACGTCTGGGATCTTAACCTTGTCGCTACCGAGGTCATCGTCAAAGATATTATCATCCAGGCCCAGGGCGAGATGGCCCTGGAGGAATTCCTGAAACAAGTGCGCGAGACTTGGACAACTTACAGCCTTGACTTGGTCAACTACCAGAACAAATGCCGTCTCATCCGCGGTTGGGATGACCTCTTTGCCAAATGCAGTGAAAATCTCAACTCGCTGCAAGCCATGAGACATTCGCCCTACTACAAGGAGTTTGAGGAAGAAGCGTCCAGCTGGGAAGACAAACTCAACCGGGTCCACGTGCTCTTTGACGTGTGGATTGACGTCCAGCGCCAGTGGGTCTATCTCGAGGGTGTCTTTACCGGCAATGCTGACATCAAGCACCTGCTCCCAATCGAGTCGTCCCGCTTCCAGAACATCAACAGTGAGTTCTCGGCAGTGATGAAGAAGGTCTACAAGAACCCCAACGTTCTGGACGTCCTCAACATTCCCAACGTCCAGAAGTCGCTCGAGCGCCTGGCCGAACTGCTCAACAAGATCCAGAAGGCACTCGGCGAGTACCTGGAGAAGGAGCGAGTTTCGTTCCCTCGCTTCTATTTCGTTGGTGACGAGGACCTGCTTGAGATGATTGGCAACAGCAACGATACGATGCGCATTGCCAAGCACTTCAAGAAGATGTTTGCTGGCCTGAACGGTTTGGTCATGGATGAGGAGTCAGCCATCACCGGATTCACGTCCAAGGAGGGTGAGGTCGTTCGGCTCAAGAAGGAGATCAACCTGGTCAAGACGCCCCGAATCAACGACTGGCTGGCATTGCTGGAGAATGGGATGAAGGCAACGCTTGCTGAGCTCCTGGCTGAGGCTGTCGATGAGTTTGGGCCAATATTCGCCAGCGAGGCCATTGACCGCGAGGCTCTCACTAAGTTCATGGAGGCTTACCCGAGTCAGATTGTTGTGCTGGCTACCCAAGTCGTTTGGACCACCTCGGTCGAGCAGGCGCTGGCCGATGGAGGCGCAACCCTGCAGGCCCTCCTCGATCGTGAGGTACAGGTCCTGCGTCTCCTCGCAGACACGGTCCTCGGGGACCTCGAGGTGCTGATGCGCAAGAAGTGCGAGCAGCTCATCACCGAGTGCGTGCACCAGCGAGACGTGATTGAGAAGCTCCGCGACGCCAACGCCCGCTCGAATACGCATTACCTGTGGTTGCTCCAGATGCGCTATGTCTACGCGCGTGAGGGCGACTTCCTTCAACGGTTGCACATCAAGATGGCCAATGCCAAACTCAACTATGGCTTCGAGTACCTCGGTGTGCCTGACCGGCTGGTGCGGACACCTCTCACGGACCGCTGCTTCCTTACCCTCACTCAGGCCCTCTGCCAGCGGCTTGGCGGTTCCCCCTACGGTCCCGCTGGTACCGGCAAGACAGAGTCCGTCAAGGCTCTCGGTATCCAGCTGGGTCGCTTCACCCTCGTCTTCTGCTGCGACGACACGTTCGACTTCCAGGCCATGGGCCGCATTTTCCTCGGTATCTGCCAGGTGGGTGCCTGGGGCTGCTTCGACGAGTTCAACCGCCTTGAGGAGCGCATCTTGTCTGCTGTCTCTCAGCAGATCCAAAATATCCAGCTCGGCTTGAAACAAGGCGCCGAAGATGAGAAGGCCCAGATCGAGCTCGTCGGCCGCCAGCTGCGGGTCAACCCCAACACGGGCATCTTCATCACAATGAACCCTGGGTATGCTGGCCGCTCCAATCTGCCTGACAACCTGAAGAAGTTGTTCCGAAGTGTGGCCATGTCCAAGCCGGACAAGGAGCTCATTGCCGAGGTCATGCTCTACTCGCAAGGCTTCAACCAGGCCAAGGAGCTGTCCAAACAGACGGTGCCTTTCTTCGATCAGTGCTCGGCTAAGCTGTCAAAACAAGCGCACTATGACTTTGGCTTGCGTGCGCTGAAGAGTGTGCTTGTCAGTTCCGGTGGGCTGAAGCGTGCTCGTCTGACGAGCGGCGACGGTAAGCTGGGCACGGAGGAGGTCGTTGAGCCCGAGATCATTGTCCAGAGTATCCGCGAGACCATCGCGCCGAAGCTGATCAAGTCCGACGTCGACACCATGATGGGCATCGAGGAAGTCTGCTTCCCCGGCGTCAAGTATGTGCCTGCCAACCTGGCCCGGCTGGAGGAGGCGATCCGTCGTCTGGCGGCTGAGAGGCACCTGGTTGTCAATGACCTCTGGATGACCAAGGTCCTTCAGCTATACCAGATCCAGAAGATCCATCACGGTGTCATGATGGTTGGCAACTCGGGGTCCGGCAAGTCTGCCGCATGGAGGTTGCTGCTAGATGCTCTGCAGCAGGTTGAGAATGTCGAGGGCGTGTCGCATGTTATTGACAGCAAGGTTATGTCCAAGGAGGCGCTGTACGGCAACCTGGACTCGACGACAAGAGAGTGGACGGATGGCTTGTTTACCAGCATTCTCCGCAAGATTGTCGACAACCTCCGTGGCGAGGACACTAAGCGCCACTGGATCGTTTTCGACGGCGATGTCGACCCGGAGTGGGTCGAGAATTTGAACAGTGTGCTCGACGACAACAAGCTGCTGACCCTGCCCAACGGCGAGCGTCTCAACCTCCCACCCAATGTTCGCATCATGTTTGAGGTGGAAACTCTCAAGTATGCCACCCTCGCTACCGTCAGTCGTTGCGGCATGGTCTGGTTCAGCGAGGATACTGTCACTCCCAGCATGATGGTCGCCAATTACATTGAGACATTGCGGTCCGTTGCTTTTGAGGATCTGGATGAGGATGCTGTTGCCACCGGCCAGAGCTCCGCCAAGGCCCTGGAGGTTCAGAAACAGGCAGCCGATCTGCTACATGCCTATCTGACGACAGACAACTTCATCCACCTGGCCCTTCGGGAGGCCGAGGGATATAACCACATCATGGAGTTCACCGTCGCTCGCGTTCTCCATACCCTCTTCTCGCTGCTCAACAAGGCTGTTCGCAACATCATCGAGTACAACTCGCAGCACTCCGATTTCCCGCTCGATCCCGAGCAGGTTGAGGGTTACATCGCGAAGAAGCTGCTTCTCGCGATGGTATGGGCTTTGACTGGTGACTGCCCCTTGGCAGACCGTAAGCTGTATGGCGACAAAATTGCGGGTTTGACCAGCTTCGGCTCGCCGCCGCTGGACGGCACGAGCTCCCTCATCGACTTTGACGTCTCACTACCAGGAGGTGAATGGTCGCCTTGGCAAAGCCAGGTGCCGACTATTGAGGTCAATACTCACTCAGTTACGCAGACTGATGTGGTTATTCCCACTCTGGACACGGTCCGCCACGAGGATGTCTTGTACTCTTGGCTTGCCGAACACAAGCCGCTGCTGCTGTGCGGTCCTCCTGGCTCCGGCAAGACCATGACGCTATTCAGCGCTCTTCGCAAGTTGCCAAACATGGAGGTGGTCGGTCTTAACTTCTCGAGTGCTACGACTCCTGACCTCCTCATCAAGACCTTTGAGCAGTACTGTGAGTACAAGAAAACCCTCAACGGCGTCATGCTCTCGCCCACGCAAATCGGCCGTTGGCTTGTCATCTTCTGCGACGAAATCAACCTGCCCGCTCCCGACAAGTACGGCACGCAGCGCGCGATTTCTTTCCTCCGCCAGCTGGTTGAGCACAATGGCTTCTGGCGGACATCCGACAAGTCTTGGGTTACTCTGGACAGGATCCAGTTTGTTGGAGCCTGCAATCCGCCCACCGACGCTGGTCGTACTCCGATGGGTGCCCGCTTCCTCCGACACGCTCCGCTTATCATGGTCGACTACCCTGGCGAGCAATCGCTCATGCAAATTTACGGCACCTTCAACTCGGCCGTGCTCAAGATCATCCCGTCACTGCGCGGCTACGCCGAGCCGCTTACCCAGGCCATGGTCCGCTTCTACCTTGAGTCGCAACAGCGCTTCACGCCCAGGATACAGCCACACTACGTGTACAGTCCTCGTGAACTTACGAGATGGGTGCGTGGCGTGTATGAGGCTATCAAGCCGCTTGAGACGCTCTCTGTGGAAGGCCTTATCCGCATTTGGGCGCACGAGGCGCTCCGCCTCTTCCAGGATCGTCTCGTGGCCGAAGAGGAGAGGAAGTGGACTGATGATGCTGTCTGCCGCATCGCCATGGAGTACTTCCCTACCATTGATGAACAGAAGGCGCTTGGCGGGCCGATTCTCTTCTCCAACTGGCTCTCGAAGCACTACATGCCCGTCGACCGCGAGCAGCTGCGCGACTTTGTCAAGGCCCGCCTCCGGACTTTCTGCGAGGAGGAGGTGGACGTGCCGCTCATCCTGTTCAACGATGTTTTGGAGCATGTCTTGCGCATCGATCGTGTCTTCAGACAGCCGCAGGGTCACTTGATCCTCATTGGTGTCAGTGGCAGTGGCAAGACGACGCTCTCGCGTTTCGTCGCGTGGATGAACGGTCTCAAAGTGTTCCAGATCAAGGTCCACGGCAAGTATTCGGCCGAGGACTTTGACGAGGATCTGAGGGAAGTTCTTCGCCGGTGCGGCTGCAAGGGTGAGAAAATTTGCTTCATCATGGACGAGTCAAACGTTCTTGACTCGGGTTTCTTGGAGCGCATGAATACCCTGCTGGCCAACGCCGAGGTCCCCGGTCTCTTCGAGGGCGACGACCTAGCCGCGCTCATGACTGCCTGCAAGGAGGGAGCTCAGCGGCAAGGGTTGCTCCTGGATTCACAAGAGGAGCTGTACAAGTGGTTCACGGGACAGATTGTCAAGAACTTGCATGTCGTGTTCACTATGAACCCGCCCGAGGATGGCTTGTCGTCGAAGGCCGCTACGTCGCCTGCGCTCTTCAACCGTTGCGTGCTGAACTGGTTCGGCGACTGGTCCGACCAGGCGCTATTCCAGGTCGGTCACGAGCTCACTCATTCAGTCGATCTGGACCGCGCGAATTGGTCTGCGCCGGATACCTTGCCCATTGCGTACCGCGGCCTCAACTTGCCACCGTCGCACAGGGAGGCCGTCATCAACTCGATGGTCTACATTCATTACTCCCTGCAGCGATTCAACGCCAAGCTTCACAAGCAGCAGGGCAAGGTTACCTTCCTCACGCCGCGGCACTTCCTCGACTTCGTCGCGCAGTATGTCAAGCTGTATAATGAGAAGCGGGAGGACCTGGAAGAGCAGCAGCGCCATCTCAACGTCGGCCTTGAGAAGCTCCGTGACACGGTCGACAAGGTCCGTGATCTCCGCGTCAGCCTCGCCGAGAAGAAGGCGCAGCTCGAGCAAAAGGATGCGGAGGCGAACGAAAAGCTGCAACGCATGGTTGCCGACCAGCGCGAGGCCGAGCAGCGGAAGAACACGTCCCTTGAAATCCAAGCTGCGCTCGAGAAGCAGGAGGCCGAGGTGGCGTCTCGCAAGAAGATTGTGCTTCAGGATCTCGCCCGCGCCGAGCCTGCCGTTGAGGAGGCCAAGGCGTCCGTCAGTAACATCAAGAGGCAGCACCTCACCGAAGTGCGGTCCATGGGTGCGCCTCCCCAGGGCGTCCGGCTCGCGCTTGAGTCGGTCTGCACACTCATCGGCCACAAGGTCAGCGAATGGAAGCAGATCCAGGCCGTCGTTCGTCGCGATGACTTTATCGCCAGCATCATCAACTTCAACAATGAGAAGCAGATGACGAAGGGGCTTAGGCTCAAGATGCGCAACGAGTTCCTCTCCAACCCGGAGTTCACCTTCGAGAAGGTGAACCGTGCCAGCAAGGCCTGCGGCCCCCTTGTGCAGTGGGTTGAGGCGCAGGTCAGTTATGCGGAGATCCTGGACCGCGTGGGACCGCTGCGAGAGGAGGTCATGGCGCTTGAGGAGCAGGCCCTGCAGACCAAGGCGGAGGCCAAGGCTGTCGAGGAGACGATTGCGAACCTCGAGGCTAGCATTGCGACGTACAAGACAGAGTACGCGGCGCTCATCAGCGAGACGCAGGCTATCAAGGCAGAGATGTCGCGCGTCCAGTTCAAAGTTGATCGCAGCGTCAAGTTGTTGGATAGCCTGTCGTCGGAGAGGACCCGTTGGGAGGAGGGAAGCAAGTCGTTCGAGACGCAAATCAGCACGCTGGTGGGTGATGTGCTGGTGGCGGCCGCATTCCTCGCCTACAGCGGTCTGTATGACCAGACCTTCAGGAAATCGATGATGGAGGATTGGTTTCATCAGCTGCACTTGTCGGGCATCAAGTTCAAGCAGCACAATCCCGTGACCGAGTACCTCTCGACCGCCGACGAGAGGCTCGGCTGGCAAGAGAATACGCTCCCGGTTGATGACCTCTGCACGGAGAACGCCATCATTCTCAAGCGCTTCAACCGCTACCCGCTCATCATCGACCCCTCCGGACGCGTTACCGAATTCCTGCAGAGGGAGTGCAAGGATCGCCGGCTTACGGTCACCAGCTTCTTGGACGACTCATTCACGAAGCAGCTCGAAAGCTCGCTTCGCTTTGGCAACCCCATCCTCATCCAGGACGCGGAGCACCTCGACCCTGTTCTCAACCATGTGCTCAACAAAGAATACCAGAAGACCGGTGGCCGTGTTCTCATCCAACTTGGCAAGCAGCAGATCGATTTCTCGCCAAGCTTCAAACTCTACCTGTCGACGCGGGATCCCTCAGCTACCTTTGCTCCCGATATCTGCAGTCGCACGACGTTCGTCAACTTTACCGTCACGCAGAGCAGTCTGCAAACTCAGTCTTTGGCTGAGGTGCTCAAGTCGGAGCGTCCGGACGTGGACGAGCGGCGCTCCAACCTCATCAAGCTGCAGGGCGAGTTCAAGGTCCACCTCCGGCAGCTCGAGAAGCGTCTCCTTCAAGCGCTCAACGAGTCGCGTGGCAACATCCTCGACGATGACAATGTCATAGAGACCCTTGAGACGCTCAAGACAGAAGCGGCCGAAATCTCAACCAAGATGAGCAACACGGAAGGCGTCATGGCTGAGGTTGAGCAGATCACCCTGCAGTACAATGTCATTGCACGGTCGTGCAGTGCCGTGTTTGCTGTGCTGGAGCAGCTGCACTACCTCAACCACTTCTACCAGTTCTCGCTGCAGTACTTCCTCGACATCTTCCACTCTGTCCTGCACGGCAACCCGCATCTGGCCGGAGAGATGAACCACAACGCGCGTCGTGACATTATCGTCAAGGATCTGTTCGTGACCACGTTCAAGCGCACGGCATTGGGCTTGCTGCAGAAGGATCGCGTCACGCTGGCGATGCTGCTTGCTCAGGCGTCGCCATACAAGATGGATAAGGGCTTGCTGGATGTGATCCTAGACGAGCGGGTCGAAGGCAAGGATGTCTCTTCAGACACCGCGGGCAAGGACGACGCTTTTACGCGCGCGAGGCGGATCGCACCGCTCAAAGAGAAACTCGATGCTGTTTCAGAGACAGAGTGGGATAAGTTTTTCACCGAGGAACTGGCCGAAAACTTCGTTCCCAAGGTGTGGGACGACAGGGCCGAGCCTGCTGACCAGGCCCTTGTGTCCCTGCTTCTTGTCAAACTCTTCCGCCTCGACCGCTTCGTCCCTGCCGCGGAACGCTTCGTCACGCTCGTGTTCGGGCCCGACCTCTTCGACATTGTTGAAGACCTCAAGCGGACAGTCGACCAGGTCTCTGCCACACGGCCTATTGCGCTTGTCTCATCACCTGGCTTCGACGCCTCGTACAAAGTTGACAGCCTCGTCGAGCGCATGCGCGTCCGCTGCACCAACATCGCCATGGGCTCCAACGAAGGGCTGGCCAGCGCCGACAAGGCCATCGCCAACGCCGCGCAGACGGGGTCGTGGGTGCTCATCAAGAACGTCCACTTGGCACCCACCTGGCTGCAGAGTCTGGAGAAGCGGATGGAGTCGCTGAATCCGAACAAGGACTTCAGGCTGTTCCTGTCGATGGAGTCGTCGCCCAAGATACCCGTCAACCTGTTGCGCGCCTCGCGGGTGCTCATGTACGAGCAGCCGGCCGGTGTGAGGGCCAACATGAAGGACTCGATGTCTTCGCTGTCGACCAGGTCGGTCAAGAGCCCCGTGGAGAGGACGAGGTTGTATCTGCTGCTGTCTTTCTTGCATGCGGTGGTGCAAGAGAGGCTGCGGTACGCGCCCAACCTGGGCTGGAAGGGTTTCTGGGAATTCAATGATGCCGATGTGGGTTTACCCTCGTTACCTTTGTCACCTTGTGGCTGGCTGCTAACAAGGTAAATAGTACGAATGCTGCGCCTTTGTAATAGACACATGGATCGACGTCACCGCGCAAAACCGCACCAACATCGCCCCGGCCAACATCCCCTGGGACATGATCCGCTACCTGGTCACGGAAACTTACGGCGGCAAGATCGATGACGAGGCTGACTTCAAGGTGCTCAACAACCTGGTGCACAGTGTCCTCACCCCGGCGGCGTTCGACATTGGCCACAAACTTGTCGCGGCGCCATCTGAGCAGGCAGGCGACGGCAGCACGGACTCGGCCGAGCTGGTGATGCCGTCGGGCACGTCGCTGCAGGAGTTTATGGGGTGGATCCAAAGGCTGCCGGAGCGCGAGCCGCCTACGTACCTGGGGCTGCCGGCGAACGCGGAGAAGCTGTTGCTTGTTGGGCTGGGAAGGAGCCTGATTGGGAATCTGAAGAAGGTGACGGATTTGTTGGATGAGGGTGAGGCTTTGGTGACTGAGGCGTAGGGAGATGTGAAGAAGGAGGGGGGTGTGGGTCGATGTTGAATTGGGGAATGAATTGGGGGTGGTAAATCTGTTGTACACTGTCTTGGTCGATGAGCTGTTTTCTGCCTGTCCTTTGGTGTTGTCGCATAGAGGGTTAGAGGGGAGTGATATGGCTGTCGAGGCGGGTGGCGGGTTGATCAGAATACCCTGATATCTAGAGCAAGATTGCGGTCTAATTTGTTTCCATCAGCACATCGTTTACATATGAAAAGTAGCTCTTCTTGTTTTCGAACTGTTGTTGGCCCTGACGGAGTTGAAGGGTCCTTCCATGCCCTGCCGTTGTTTCAAACTGATCCGCAGCGAATTCTGGCGCAAAAGGAGGGGCCAGGGAGATGGTCCACTAAAAGACAGTTGAAACAGCAGGTGCCAAGCCAGCTTACAGAGAGTTCCACCTCTCCACTTTCACTTCATGTGGAAAACCCACCATTTCCAGGAGACTAAGTCGCTCATCCACATCTTGCACTTCAAGATAGCAGGTATTTACATCCGTGTCTCCTTTGCAGCGTCTGACCTCATCATTGAATTGAGAACATCAGCAGTCTCAACCAGAAGTATTGTCCCGTTATCCACAATCCAACATCTGAGGTACCAGCTCACCTCAGCTTACCATGGCCTTCACGATGCACTCCCACTCGGGCCAGTTCTGCCCTGGCCACGCCAAAGACGAACTCGAGGACATTATCCTCCAGGCCGTCAGGATCGGCTACAGCACAATCGGCCTAACAGAACACATGCCGCGCACCGACCTATCCGATCTCTACCCAGAAGAGGTAACACCAACCCCCTTCTCTCAACCGACCCCTTCTCAACATATCTCAGCGCTCATCACAAACACAGCTCCTCCCCTCCCCCAAATCATCTCTCGCGGCCCTCATGCCCCGCCACGAAACCTACCTCGCCGAAGCCGCCCGTCTGCAGGCAAAATACGCCTCCCAGATCCACATTCTGATTGGGTTTGAAGGGGAATGGATCCGCCCGGCTTATGGCCCCCTCATCCACTCGCTCGCCGCGCACCCGGCCGTGGACTACTTCATCGGCTCGATCCACCACACGCGGGGGATCCCTATCGACTTTGATGCGGCCATGTACGCTCAAGCGGTCCAGGCATGTGGCGGTGAAGAAAGGCGGTTGTTCGAGGCGTATTTTGACGAGCAGTTTGAGATGCTGCAGGCGGTCCGGCCGAGGGTTGTGGGGCATTTCGATCTGGTGAGGCTGTTTAGTGCCGAGCCGGGGAGGGAGTTGAGGAAAGAATGGAAGGGCGTGTGGGAGAGGGTGGTGAGGAATTTGGAGTTTGTCAGGGGGTATGGCGGGTGGTTGGAGTGCAACACCAGCGGGCTGAGGAAGGGGCTCGCCGAGCCGTATCCGAAGAGGGAGATTGCGGAGGAGTGGCTGAGGATGGGCGGGAGGTTTACGGTTTCGGATGATAGCCATGGGATGGCGCAGGTCGGGACGAATTATTGGAAGGGGCTGGAGTATTTGGAGGGGCTATGGGTGCGGGAGGTGTGGACGTTGGAGAGGAGGCAGCCGGAAATAGAGGGCGGAGAGAGACAGTTGGTCGAGAAGGCGGTGTCGATCGACGACTTCAAGGCGAGCCTGAAGCTGCAGCCCTGACTGAGGAGGGAAGTTCACAGGCGGAGGCCTTTTGCACGCTGTGTTTGGGTTGAGGGAGAGCCAGGGAATTTGTGTCCTTCAGTGTCAGCTCTAAATGAGGTATGTTCAGGTCATAGGTTTCGGGTTTCCATGTTTTAGACTTAGAACCCAACTGTTGCATGTAGCAATACCCCAAGCCGGTTACTACGATTGCTCAAGTTCCATTTCTGATCCATTGGGGGTAACGCAAGGGTCACATCCAACTTTCTTTGTCTTCAAGACAGAAACACTCCAGGAGGGCCGTCTCCCTCTGTCGATTCTCCACCACCAAGCCTTGCGAATCCACCAATTATTGTCTTTATATTCTTAAGATCTTATTGCTCTCTTCCGGCAACAAGGTCCGCTGGCTCCCACTCAATATTGGGGTTTTCGGGGAACAGGACTGAGGAGTCTGAAGTATCAGGCATACCAAGGCTCGTCAACCAACCCAAGGTTTCTGAGATAAACATGAAATTGTCAGATATGCTATTGAATGTCAAGTGGTCTAGCTCGTTCCTCTCCAAAGTAGGTATGAAAGTCACGCATTCCTTATGTTGTTGTGTATAGAATTTTCTTTTATCTAACGAGCTACTAATAGGTCCATTGGCTCAATGGCAGAGCGTCTGACTACGAATGGGTGATCAGGAGGTTCCAGGTTCGACCCCTGGATGGATCGAGACAACTTTAACAGAAACCATGAATTTCAATTTTTATGCATTTTCCTTTTGAATCTCTTGGCGCTTGGGCGTTGCCAGAAGCTTCGTCTATGATGTAGGAATAACGATATAACTATTTGCAAGTTCTGTACAAGGGAGACAATAATTACCACTATCTGCTTGCTCTTAAAGATATAGTATAAAATGTCAGAGATGCTTATTAGGCGATATAAAATGATGAGTGTACTCATAAATAGACGATTTACCTAATCAATCGTCATTTTCGGTTTTCGGGCGCCCAATAATCCGTAGACGCACTACGGCTCCCACTAGGCGCACATCCATGTGTGCTTACGTAAACCAAAATGGCTTATATAATCAACAAAGATGCATCTAACGCAGCATTGCCCCGCGCCTTCCATCGCATGCGAAATAGACTTTCAGAAAGCCGTCCAGCCGCCGAGAAGACCGTTGAGTCGTAAAGGCACAGCCTCGAGGCTTTGCATATGAGTTAGCTGAGTCGAGCAAATCGTCACGTGACTCGAAGAAACCCTCGGGAAGGCGGCCATTATAGTGCTTTGGTGTTGACTTTTGGCGCTGACTTTCGCGCAGGGCAATGCTGCGTTAGATGCATCTTTGTTGATTATATAAGCCATTTTGGTTTACGTAAGCACACATGGATGTGCGCCTAGTGGGAGCCGTAGTGTGCGTCTCGTGGGAGCCTCATTTTCGAGATTTCAAGCCGCAAGACTATGAGCAAAACTTGAGTCTAGTTATTGCGGAGAAGGTACAACTACGAAATATGAAAGAAGGCTGGAGCAGCAAATAGAGAGTGCAAGACAATTGCTATTATTATTATTCTTCTTCTTCTTCTTCTTCTTCTTCTTCTTCTTCTTCTTCTTTAATCGATTGATTGACGACTCGAGATTATGGCCTACCATTACAAAGTTACAAACCGACGAGTCTTCGAGCTAGCTAAGCCAACAACCTGACCAAGTCATCATCAAGGTGACCAAGCAACCAAACCAACAAGCTGGCCGAGCCTTCAAGCCAATCGGACTACCGGGATGCCACGGGGCGACTGGGGCAAGGCCAACGTGCATCAGCCAAACCATCAGAGCGATTACTCACAACAACACAATGGAAATCACGCCAACTCAGGCAACAATAGACTTACAGCCCTCGCACCCGCTTCTCAGCGATTGCGACAATTCATTGCCCTTCTAATACCAGACTAAGTCTATATTTAACGAGAGTAACGATGCTCACTCAGGTCACGTAAATATGGGACGCTCTAAGGGCTGACAATATACCGTTTTCCGCACTCAAACTAAGACCGACGCCTTCAATCTAGGAAGCTTCCGTCAAAGTCGTTGAACAACGTGTCGATTACTTCCACACAAGGTCGGGGTCAAGGCCCTTGATCAGGGCAGCAGGTCGATAGGCTCTTCGCCAGATCGCGGATTACGACCCTCAGGCCCAGTACTTTCGTCGCCAGGTCCAAGACTACGAGGCTCAGGCTTAGGAGGTTTGGGCTCATAGCCTCCGTCGCCAGGTCCAGGAACTCAGAAGCTCTGGCCTAGGATTTCACACTCAGGCCAAAGCGCTTTTGCGCTAGGTCGAGAACTCACAATACCTTACTCAAACGGGGGACGTTATTCGTCGGGTCCAGGAATACGAAGCCAGGATAAGGGCCTTCATTGCCATGTGTCGAGTCAGGACCGCGACTCCCAGGTTCAGGACATTCAGGCCAAGGTTGATACCTTGGAGCTATCAAAACAAGCTCCTAGCCGACTATCTTAACGATGCAAGCGGGAAGATCCCTTGGGTGGAGAACGAATGCGTCCGGTTCATGTGGAACCGCGTGGTCGTAGACTCGAGTACCCACCAGGGCTGTTTGCTCGCCACACAAGAGGTCTTGACAATACGATGCAAGTCATCATTCTCCTGGCCGCCATTGCCGAACCGTCCGCGTTGCCGGACGAGACTGTGCGATCCCAGACCTCGGAGCATCTGCGGAAATCAAGACGCTGATCCGGGACTATGTCTCCCGAGTCTCCTGGACACCTTAACTGACTTGAGGAGTTACAGACGTGTGCACCCGAACGGTACTGAACCGAATATGGAGATTGGATAGTCCGAAACGCCCTCTGAGCGTTTGCAGACAATCCCAGATCGGACCTAGCCTCCAACATCAGTTCGCTAGCCCCACGTCCCGCTGAGCTGATGTGTTGAGCGGGCAGTATCGCAGTGAGCACATTCACATCAGCCAATATCAGGGTTTCGTGAAACCCGCACTGTTACACTAGAAGTCTTACCGAGGATACTATCATACAATCCAACCCTGCTTTGTTCGTTAATTAGCGTGTTACCGTGGTATTTCGGGACAAGAAATCAAGCAACAGAAGACAAAAAAAAGATCATCAAGAAATGGGAGATAATATGGTTTATAAAGAGGAAAGATAATGGAAAGTTATAAAGACGAAAAATAATGGAAAGTAGAACAGTGAAGATAAGAAGGAAAATAGAAAGATCAAAAAAGGATAAACTAGAAAGGAGAAAAGAAAGAAGTCAGAAAAATAGAGAAGAGAAAAAGGAGGGGAAAATAAAAGAAGTTCAAGAAAGAGGAGAAATAATAATAAAGAAGGGAATAGAAGTAAATAATGTCCTACTCTTAATACCAGCCACTTACGGGAGTTATAGTCCCCGATTCTCAACAAGTTCCGCGCAAACAAACTCATCAGGGTTGGATTGTAGTGATGTAGTGATTCAAGGAATGGGCATCTCTGCTCCTTGATCTTGGTGCCGCAAGACATTTGTCTCTGGTGATCGACTGCCGCCGGGCATCTCACCTCCATAACCTCGAAAACCAGGGGAGCCAGCCCTTCCCTGCGTTCCCCCGACCATGCCCGTCCTTGTCCCAGGCGGCGTCGGCCTCGAACCCAATGCATGTGGCTGTCGAGTAATCGCCATCATGACTGATGGTCACCCTGGCTATCTGGTCCCTACCTCCACTTCCACCCGGAGCTTTGATCACAACGATGGGGGCATTGTGATTCCACACAGCGGGATTCCACCAGCCGCGCGCGTCCTCTGTCGGCGGCCGAGTCGTCATTTGCTGATTCTCAGGCCAAGTCAAGACCACAACGTCATGGAATCCGAGGTAGCGATGCGGGTGAGCCTTGAAGGCCGCCTCTTTTGCCGCAAACCTGGAGACCTAGTCAGTGACGCTTGAGTGTGGAGCCCGCCGTACTACTTACCTTCCGGCCATAAAATAAGCCGCCCTCCTATACATGGAATGTTCTCTCCAATCCAATCCTTCTCCCTCGGCTGCTGCTGTGTCTGGGTTCCAAGGGACGTCGTCTTCCCGCGCCTCCGCCTGCGGTCTGATCGCTTGCGATGCCTCCCGCCCCGCGCCACCCCTCAGGGCCCAGAGCGATTCCATGCGCTCGTCTGCTTCAAGTCCGGTCCCAACCAGCTGGGCGGCCGTCCTGTTTGAGGCGGCTTCTAGAACTTTATGGACGACGGGCTTCGCCCTGGTCAACTCCTCGGGGGTCAGCACTCGTCGGATGAATCGCGCGCAGTGGTCGCCGCGCAGCAAGCGCAAGACGCGCTTCACGTTGCAGATATCGGTGCCAACGTGTATTGGGTAGGGGAAGGGGAGTGGTGGCGGCATTGTAATCTCTTTGAAGACAAAGTTGAGAGCCAGCTTGAGCTCATGATCTGACGATGGGGCAACAAAAGTCATAAGACGAAGGGAATAAATTAATTAAGCAGACGCTAAGCCGCACAGGGTAACTATCAGCACTTAATAAAAGAGCAGGCATCCCACTATCGATAAGCTGCGGGATGTCTCCTTGCTGCCATCCGACGAACAACACCGTATGAGAAACAGTCACGATCGCAATCATTGAAACCGCCAGAGCAAATACTACATTACAGACCAATTCTCGACATGTCCCAAGCGAGAGCCCCATGAGATGCAGACTATTACTCCCTCCACCAAGATCAAGTACATGCGCCCATGATAAGCAAACAGTCTGAACTTGAGCGCAACTCACCGGTACTTCCTCGCATCATCATAACCATAGCCCCTCCCCTTTCTCCTCCCTGTAGCCAAATGTCAGTCTGGCCCTCCATCTAGTTGTCGGCCAATAGCGGCGCCCGCTCGGCATCCGCCTGCCTCTCGGCGGGCCTGCCCCACGGCACCTCCCTCCCCGTCCAGGCGGGCACGGCAACGATGACGGTGAAGACAAATAGCACGGCCATGATGGTGAACGCAAAGATCCACTGCAGGGAAATCACCTGCCGCAAGAACTGCGCCACACCCAGCGACGCCGACAGCACGCTCAGCGCAAAACCCATGGTGTAATCCTGCCCGCCAGTCAGTCGATCACCTTTTCCTCTCCACCCCAACTCGTCTAGATGGCGGAAACATACCTTGTAAAAGAAGATGAAAAACAGCCCATACCCCAAAATCGCCCACACAAACACATTCGCAAATACCCTCGCGACAAAGCTCCCCTCGTGCGGCACCATGATGGCGCCGTTCCAGTACAGCGCGACGAAAGTCCAGGCCAACGGGCCCGACACGGCGGGGAAGTGGATGCCGCGCGGGTACGTGTTGTGGCGGAAGTAGAGCGACGTGAGGTTGGCGAAGTTTAGGATGAGCAGCACCTCGGCCCAGACAAAGTGCGAGCGCACAAACAGCATGACGAAGCCGAAGTGCAGCAGGTTGTGCAGGATGAAGTGCGAACCGACCGAGCAGGCCGCGTTGACTGACTCGGCTTTGGAGGAGAAGAGGTGCGAGATGTAGACGAGTTGGAGGATGAACAGGGCGATCCTAAGGGTAGGCCAAGAGGTGGTTAGCTTAGCTAGTAGTGATGGAGAGAGGGGACGGGAAAGGGCGGACGAACCAGTAGATGGAGGTGATGATTGGGTTGAGGGTGAAGCCCGAGCGGTGGTGGCCGTTCTGGTGCCAGATGGTCCCGCGATGATGTTTCCCGTCGTTGGGAGGCTCGAGGGCGTAGTAAACCGTGACGACAACCGAGAGAAGCCAGCTGGTCAAGGTGAGAACCTTGTACCAGACGACCGAGCTCGCGCTGTGCGAATCTCGCTTGGCGAAGGGATTGACTAGCACATGTCAGGTCCATAGAGTATCAGAAGGAATGCGAGGCACATACTATGATGGAAGCGATCCATTTTGGCGGTTCGCTGCGATAGTTCACTGGGAAAGCTTGCCGTTGTCCAAGTTCAAAGGTGACGAAGAACGCGGGAATGGAGAGTTATGTAGCTATTGGGCGAGCAGACAAGAGTTCCGAACTGGCTCAAACTGGGCATGGTGTGGAGGGAAGAGTTCCAGGCAAGGAAATGCGCATGGAGCTAGCAAAGACGATTGGCCTAGCTTTGGCCGGCCGTGTTTCGTTTGGGTCTTGTCTTACAGTACGATCTGTCTGCCGCAGCAAACCGGGAGCTGGCGTTCAGGGTGGGATGATGTGACCCTGCGGTCATTGTTGGCATGCTTCGTTCATGCCGAGAATCGACGGCGAGAACTGAACAGCACTCAGAACTTCAGCTTATAGAATATACTAGAATAATACCGCTTAAGCTTCATATTCTCTTCTAATATCTTTGAACGTTATCGCATTCCCTTTAATACCTCCCCAACTCCTGCACCTTCTTTTGTCGAATCAAGAGCTACGACCCGTGTCAAGTGGCCGACAGGTGGGCAAAGCGGGGCTTGGCTAGCACCAGGTCGTCCTTTGGATTGGCTAGCGCTGCTTCTGTTGCGTCATAGCTTCCGTTAGTCACTCACCCACGAACCTTTGCGGCCAAACACCGTCCTTCACAGTCAAGGGAAACGACTCCAGCAAAGATGGAGGAGGAATGACCAAGCGGAATCAGTCAAGACAGAGGCCGATCCTGGTCATGCAACCTCTTGAGGTCGTCGAAATTCGGCTCGGACCTCAACCTCCAAGCTCCCGTCAATTTGTGGCTTTTGACCGTCCGCATTACTGTTCTTTGCATCGATGAACCCCCTCAGACCGGTCAGCCCACCAGGACATCGAATCAGATTCCGCTCCCTGAAACGCCAAGCATCACCTGTTCAATCTCCACTGCACTTCTTTCCCCCCTCTCAGCTTAGCAGTGCTCAGTACTCGACCAAAGTCGACCCTCCCGACACTCCTGATTCGGCATTGCTGGTTAGCAGTCATGGATGCAGGGGCCGAGGTCCTGATTGGTTCTCTACCTCTCCCTTCTGTACCACCGACGCTACTTTCATGGAGTGGCCAGCACCGTGAAGGTTGACGAGAGACCGATGGACAAAAGGCTCCGCGGCCAAGGTGCCTGTGGACCCTCAATAGTCTATTTCATGCCTTGTCACTCCTGCAACCGCGCATGCCGAGTTCTTACCTTTGCCAAACCTTGCTCATAACGCAACGCGTCCAGTTGATCCGTCAGCGCCGCCCTCTGCCTTGAAGGCGGCGAGGCGTTGATGTGTGGCGGTGGCTCGTTCAACCCTGGGCTTCCTGCCTGTTATCAGCAAACGCCAGGTCTGGTTCCTCATGGCAATATGTGTTGTATTTCCCGAGTTGCAAGCTTCAACCGTTCACATTCTCATCACCCTATCCTCCCGCAACAGCTTCAATCCCAATACCCTCCTCAATGGGGCGCTGGAATACTAGCCATCCGCCTCCTGCCAAGCCTCGTCGCCTTCTTCAGCCTCCCCTTCACGTTCGGGGCCTACCTAGGTCGTGCGGAGCGCACACCTCGACATGCATTGCCAGCGCAGGTGGTCCCCAAAACAGCTGCACCATTGGCTCACACTGCTTTGTTTAAACGTGCATAGCAGTTTTGAGTAAAACATCCAGAATTCCACATTCCCGTTTCAGCAGCTGGACGCCTTGTAAGAACGCCTGCAAGGCGTCCAGAGTGCGCGTCCCGTCGAGAGTCGGTTAAGGCTTCGAGATGCCGAGTTCTTATATACCAACTCATGTCTCCCCGTCTGTTCCGAGTCATAACGGAACATTGTGCCGTCACCCGCACCGGACAACCTTCCCGAAGCTTGGGCGCAATATGGGCACCGATGTTGAAGATGGCTGCACCTTTATTCAAGGTAGCCGCCCAAGTGCGCGCAGGATCCCCGATAACGTGTGGGAGAAGTACCGGCCAACGCTTGTCCACTTATACAGGACAACGACCCTTCCCGAGGTGATCCGTGTCATGGAACGGGAGCACCATTTTTTTGCGACGTAAGGACTGTCCAACATACCGGAACCCTGCGGTCAACTGACTTATCCTATAGGAAGCGGCAATATGTGCATCGTTTTCAAGTTTGGAATATCAAGAAATACAAACAAGACCAGGACACCAGCATCGAGGATTCCACCCAAGCACCGCTGGATTGGGTACCACAGTTGAGCTCTGCAGACGATAGGGCCCGACATCTTTGGCTGGCAGACATGCTCTTCGTCCTGGGAGACTTCCATCATTCCTTCGCCATCAACGCTGCGCTTGGGCCTTGGGAGAATTCGCACGACTATGCGGTCACTTGCGTTCGCACGGCGCAAGCTCAAGCACAGGCCGAACTTGCCCGCAACCTGGTGAAGGCCAGCCTTCCTTTCCCGGCCGAACAGGATGATGCCTGGAACACAACGTTATCTGAGTTCCTGCTGGCTTACACGTACGACTGGGGCAGAGACGCAGAACACGGTCTTGAGCAAATTGCGAGAACAGTGACCGACATGGTTCTCGAAGACGCCCAGGGGCGTGACTGTCTCAAAGAGCTTGCTCCAAGAGGCCAATTCCTTGACGTGCTGGCATATGTCCTCTTCCGGGCAGGTCTGGTTCGATATAACCAGCAGCAGCACCAAGATGGAGAGATCGATACCTCTGAAGTATTACGGCAATTCTTGAGCCAGCAGCCAGCCTTACAACATGGACAAGACATGAAGACCGACCCACTCCTCCATATCAACCCCATATCATCGTGTCTAGGATGGTGCAAAGAGACACTGAAGAACAACCCCGACATCTGCCGTGATATCACAGGAGGTGACGATAATCCGATTGCCGAAGCGTACACCCTTCTCTGCGCCCTCTGGAGTCTCTGGCTGGGCTGCCGTCCGTCTTCCCCAATGTCTTGCCGCGCAGAGGCCATTGGACGTTACTTCACCTCCGTCCCGGCATGGGCGTACAACAGCAAGCAGCAACTGGGTATCGCGCCCACCGAGCTCCTGAGCACGGTAGTCTGCATGATCATGGTTGCTGTTCCGCAGCTGAACAAGGATATCAGACAATCCCTCCGGGAAAGGGCCCTAGCCAGCGCGCATGCTCTTGAAGCTTTACGCTCCGAGGATCTGATTCTCCGCTTCCTCGACCAGGTGTGGGCCACAAACGAGCGCTTGGCGTTCCGAGCGGACGGGCCGCAAGGTTCCCGTCACGATGCCGTTTATGTCGAGATGGTTGAAACTGCCCGCAGGTTTGTAGCGGAGTCTCTTGGCATCTACAACTTGCCTGTGCTTGAACATGGAACAGCTGTTTATCCACTGATCCTGGCGGATTGTGGACTATTTATATGTAGCTACTGACAGATTGGCGACTTCTTCCCTGATCAAACGGCAACCTCGGGGTTTCTGCGCATATCAGCCGGGTGGATTGTCGAGCGTGACGGATCGTTTTCTTCGTGCTAGATATTACAGCGGGTTGGTCAGAGGATATAGACGGACACTGGGACTGGTGTTAGAGCGAAGCGCTTTGTTGCCTACACATAAGCTTCGTTTAGAGTTGAGGATGCGCGTTTCACAAATGTCTATCTCGATACCGGTCGAATTCTTGATGGAAAGACGCAACGATTGTTACGGTAGCGTGGCTGTGGTGAACTTCTGTCGAAGCCAGTCTTGCCATCCCCTGCAATCTCAGGCTGAGGAAAGGAAAGTAGAGAAGAGAAGGGAAGAGAAGAGAAGGGAAGAGAAGAGAAGGGAGAGAAGAGAAGGGAAGAGAAGAGAAGGGAAGAGAAGAAAGGAAGGGAAACTGCCTTGTACATCCAGCGGTGTGTCGTCACTCGCGCAACGGGGAGAGGAGAAAGAAGCACAGAGCAACGCTGTGTCAAGCCGATTTTAGACTCCGGATCAGTCGCAAAAATAGAAGACTGTAAGTGTCTGAGAGAAACATTTCATCAGACGTAGGGCACAAAACTTCGAATCCCATCCGGTGCATACCATACATATAGCATCAGTATCTAAACATAAATCTACACAGTATCGTCTGTAATTCGAAAGTCCACTGACCAACAACAAAACAAACCGCATACGAAAGGAAGACGCAAATAAACTTGGCTCCAGACATATTAACCAAACACCAAGGTATCCAAAACACACACCGCCCACATTTCTCTTATTGCCAACGGAAACAGCACCCGCCGCATACACCCACCTCACATGGGTAGGTCATGTCACCGTCCCTTCGTTGAAAAGGCATAAGGGATCATCTCCCAGCGTGTGCTCATCCCCTTCCATCCGCTTTGTTAAAAGGGGAACCAATAACTACCGACCACCAAGTCCAAGGCCCCTTTCCAGAAAATCCGTATCCGCCCACCCACCCACCAGTATCCAACCTCCTTTGACCTGCCCTTATGTTTTGAGGCCCCTCGTGAAGACTCCTAGAGAAAGAGCAAATTGAAGCCACTCCGACGCCAGCCAAAGAAAGCAATCGCCGGCCGAACGTGGGGACAAAGAGCAATAAAACACCAGCACAACCAGCCCCGTTGCGTGTCATGTATAGGTGGAGACAAGAGAAAATATGACAACGAGGAAAGCCAATAGGATATCCACGTTGACAAGGGGACGCGGAAAATAGAACCTGTCATGCAACCTAGAGTGCCAGACCGGTGCCATCGCCAGTCCACCTGTACAGCGCAAGGAGCTCCCTCCGGCGCTGGTGCTGCTCGCCAAGGTCCTCGGGCACACGGCCGCGGACCTGGGCGAGCGCGCTGCGCATGACCCTGCTAAAGTTGCGCTGTGTCCTCAGTTGGTACATGCTTTTCTGAACATCACACTGGGGTAAGGCAGCATACCTGATACTCAGTATTGAGCGTGACCACACACGCCTCATGCGCCCGGATGATGGTCTCGCAAGCCTTGACCACGCTCGGCGACGCCTCCAGCTGCAGCTTGTCGGCGATAAGGAGCAGCAGGAAGGAGCCCTGCAGTAGGTAGATGCCGAAGAAGAACGGCATGAACTCGAGGCCCGGGTCATACTCGAGTATGTTACTGATAGCCTCGGCGGCGCTGACGGCGTGTCCCGTGGCTGTGATGAAGCCTTGGCTGCTGATCCAGAGGTCGTTGTCGTCGAGAAGGTTGATGGGATCCCACTTGCCGGTGAGGAGGATGTGCAGCACGTGCATGACGTGGGTGCCGTACGCCATGACGATGCGCGTCTGGATGTCGCTCTCGGTCATGCGGCTCGAGGTGGTGTGCACGCTGTGGACGCTGTGGCCTGACGGTGTACCGGGCAGGTCGTTTGCGGTAGGGACGCCAGCGGCTTCGGCGGCCTTCTCATCCGCGGCCTGGGCCTGCGCGTTGAGGCTGAGGTGGCGCTGCTCAAATTCCTTCAAGCTTTGCTCGTACAAATCCAGGTGGCGGGTGATCTCCGAAGTCTGGTCATCCCACTCACGGGACGAGCGGAATCCGACACCGAACCGAGGATGGTTCCTCGCGTGGTGGAGGTCGACGATCTCGCCAAGAATGGTCATCAGAGGCAGGAAGTAGCCAAAGATGCTGTGGCCGGTGCACACAAACGAGGGTCCGCGTGCCCGGTTGTGACTAGTCGCGGGGTCCGAGGCCAGAACGTTCGGGTCGGTGTAGGCGTGAAAGTTGCCGTTCTGGTAATCGGTGTCGTCCATTGGCTGATAGAGGCCCTCGCACTCGATGTCGAGAAGGAAAAGCGGACGGTTGTAGCACAGGGCAAGATGGCGGTCGACAATGTAGACCAACCACCAGATCCGGCGCCTTTCCTCACGTTCCTCCTCAGTGATGACGCCGGGAATACCGCCGCCCTCGCCGTCAATATCAGCGGATCCTCCTTGGCGGCTCGCCGGCGCATTCTGTGGCAACTCCCGCCCGAGCTTAAGCTCGCGAGCAAGCGACCATGCGGCGTTCCACCACCGCAGACTGGCTCCCTTGTACTCACTCGCGGATACTACCGTCGCCAGGTGGATGTAGGTGATGACGTCGTCGAGGGTGCCGGCTGCGCCGAAAGCGCCGGACTCGCTGGTAAGAGCCTCCATGCTGATGGATCCAGGAAGCGCAACGCCCAGGCCGCCTAAGGCGACGCCATCCACAATGGGACTAGTGACGGGCGAGGTCTCTTCCGAAGGTGTGTGGATGAGCGGTTTGAGGAGGCTGACAGTCAGCTCCAACAGCTTCTGGCAGATCTTGCCACGGGCCGACGGTACGCTCGTCAGGAAAGGAGCATCGCTGGTCTGTGCGGCAACCCACAGCATGCTGGCAAGGAGGGCTGGCTGGCACTGACGGGGCTTGCTTGGATGCAGGAACGAGCGCTTTCGGAAGACGAACCCCAGGACGTAAGGCGACATTGGGTGCATCTGGGCCGAGGACGAGCTCGCGAAGTAGAGGTCGATGAGGTCGCAGGCCAGGGAGAGCGGAATGATATTACCCAGATGCGCGATCAGTGGTTCCAGCACCGGGTACCGTAGCTGGGGATGGTTATAGCCGTTTTGAGGCACGTGTGAAGCGAATTGAGGTGGCGGGGACGACATGTTCATCCAACCGCCGGGCGATGCGGTTTCCCCTGCCATGGGATAAGCGCTGAGAGGGCTGTTTGCGAGGCGGAAGCCATTGGCGGCATTGGCTGAGTACCCGGTCGGGCTCTGTGTTTGTAGTGCGTAGGGCAGGTCAGGGTAGTTGGACATGCTGCCGTGGTTGGGACCGTATGGCGCGTGGGCCGGACCGGCCATCATGTGTGCGCTCATCTGGCGCTCATATGCCGCAGGGTGGACAGCACCATATCCGTTTAGATCCAGGGCTGTTGGGCTATCGAGATGGTCCCTGTCAAGCGCCCCGGGGTGGTTTGTCATGTGTCCTGGGTGCGCGCTCATATCACCCAATGTCTCCATGCTGCCTGTCCTCTGGCCCCTGAGCGCGTCATCCGAATTATCCGTCATGCTCTTTTCTGAAGCCGATGGCTGATCGGTGTTCAGAGTCAAGGACGGCTTGGTGCTGGTTGGTGTTTCACTCCGGCTCTCTGCTGACTGGCTGTTTTCGTTCGTCTGGGTCTCGGATTTCTGGCCATTTTGGCCTGCTGCTGCTGCCGCCGCTGCCTGGGCCGCCGCTTGTTGAGCAAGATCTTTCCGTGATGCCTTGCCGCGCTTCTTGCGTTCCCGGATGTATTCGCAGCCTAATTGGAACTCTGTCGAATGTTAGAGAATGTCAGTTGAGCATCCGGGGACAATAAAATCTGGTCTCACCAATGCAATGAGCACAGGGGTGTTGGCCATCGCATTTCGTCCGTAGTTGGTTACATTGATCGCAAGCTCTGCTAATCCTCCTTCGAATCGGTCCACCTGCCCCGGCAGATCTGGCGGCAGGCCCATAAGGATGCTGCCTGTGCTTCGGTTGGGGCCCGGCCCGGGCGAGGTGCGGGTTGTGAACGCCTACATGTTGCTGAAGCTGCTGGAGAGCGTAGTGAGAGCTTGGGGCTAGTGTGTCGAGGCCGGCAGAATGCAGGTGACCGGCCGGAACATGGCCATTCGATAACAGCGTACTCGATGGGATGTGGTAAGTCGAGAACCTGTGAAGCGGATTCGACAACATCTTGGTTGATGGGTGTTGGGGTCGTGAGAAGAGGGCGTTGTGAAATTAGCTAATAATAGGGTCGTCAAGACCTTGATTAGGACATATACGAGCAGTCAGCTTCGAGCGAGTGCGGGCAGTTGGTTGAAGCGCTGCTACGTCTGGGTCGGGACAGGAGATGGGAGGTCAGAGCCGACGACGGTGAGGACGGGGAGGTGGGAGGTATCTATATTGAGTGCCTGGCGCCGGACCCAGAACTGGGGGACGGCAGTCAGAACGGACCGAAGTGAGCTTCCTGGTGGAGTGTGGTCAGTGACAGGCATTTGGCATTAACGAGTGTGTTGGGATAGCATGACAGACGCCCAAAGGTCAGGGAGGGGATCCGCGCGGATATGGGAGAGGGCGGCTGCACGACCGACTGCTCCCACACAAGATGGCAAGGTTAGGGTGCACACCCGGGCGTCTGGACAGAAGACCCGCAAGGGGTGACAGGACGAAGACAAGCCATTGTCTAGGAGCATAACGTGGAGGGCAGGGGGAAGGGATCTCCAACGTACGGGACACGGATCGAGTGCCCAGAACGGCTTGGCCGTTCGCTTTGCTAGGCAAGGTTGACCGGCCTCTTCGTCTCACGCCGTTCCCAGCCCTTACGAGACCCCGAGAATCTCAGGAACGTTTCCCTGAACGTCCCGATACCCAGCCGCCCGTCGTAGATGAGGTGCTGGTTCGCCAGTCTCAGGCCCAGAGCGATGTGCCGGATAGTGCTCGAGAGGGGCCGGAACGGGCAAGAGGTGCCAAAAGGGCCAAGGGATACCGGATTTGAACAGGCGAGCAAATCGTTAATTTTCTTTGCGCTGTACCTGCCTCTCGGGATACTGTGTGAGAGCTGTCTGTAGGCTTGGCGTACATGCACAGCACGAGAGGAGGAGGGCCGCGAAAAAGGCTCGTGGATGAAGCTGGGCGGGATTGGCGCGACAGGGGGCGACGGTTTCTGGTCCAGCACAATATCGAGTAACAAGTTTATATTGCGTGGGCAATATAAGTCGGCGGGCCGGGAGGCGTAACGGCAGGAGGGGCGAGCGAGGATGCGTGCGAACGCGGGGAGGAGGGGCGTTGTGTGGGAGAGCTGACAGAGGATTCTGGGGAAACCGCCTTGTCAGGGCCTGCTTGGGGATATATGGCCCTCTTTTGGCTCGCCAGCAAGCTTCGAGCAATTCATCTGACATGGGTTGGGCCCATCGGGCAGGGGTCCAAAGGGTGGTCATGGTGGAGAAGACTACCTTGGAAGCTCCGCCCTTTCTGAGTTTTGCTGGTTAGTGGGCATTGACAGAGCCCCGTACCGATTATTTGTACCCTGCCGTACCCAGCCCGGTGCCGGCATCGAAGCGCGTTCGGACGACCTTGTGTTGACCCAAGAAAGGCAGCACACTGTCAGGCTTCCCCGATGCTGGCCTCCCTAAAGCCGTTGAACTTTGAATGGCGCGCTTCGGTTGCTTCTTGTTTGGCAGCCCACCCACAACAAGCAGTGACAAATCCTCGGACTGGACCATTGGGGGCGCTAGAAGCTGCGGAGAAGGCATTGGCGGTTCTGTAAACTGTTATCATCCCTGTCGATAGCGCTTGGCAGTGGTTGCAGGGGCCAGAGTCTCCCCCGAAAAGGGGCCCCAAGCACCACATGGAGCCATGGTGCTGATGGAGTGCTGGTCACCGCTGGCAGCTCATCAGAAAAGAAAACCTGGGGTCGGTTGGAGGTATCGGAGCCAAACCGGATCGGCAGCATCAGCTGGGGCTTATCCTTTCTCTTACGGGCAATTGCTGCGGAGTCGAGGAGGTGGAGCTACAGATGGAGAACGTCGCGCTGCAGCGCGGCACCTGTCGCTTAGGCTTGCCTTTGCCTGCTTCTGGGCAGTGGAGATGCCACCCGCAAAGCAGATGGGTGCGACCATCCAAAACCGCTGTGCTATAATATGCCTGCTATTCCGTTGCACTGGCATTATATGCCTGCTGTGATGGTCCTGGGACGGAAGCAGGAAGCGAGACTTCCATGTTTGTCGAATGGTCCACGAACATATCGTGTAGTAGTGCCCGTGTTGGAGACGGTTTCTCGCCGCAGAGCGATCTCTGTGGAGGCGATGTTTCCGTTGGAGACGATCGCAGCCACCAGTGTCGTTGATGGCACAGATGAGCCAGGCCATAGTCATCAGCGCAGTTGTTTTGACCTGTTTCTGGCGTTTCCGGGCCCAGCGCCGGGCTGTTGGCAGAACTGCAGATGGCAGCAGGACGATGAAGTTGATGTCAAGATGTGGCTTCATTTCCTCTGTCCTTACCGTAGGAGTTTTTTTTTTTTTTTTTTTTTTTTTTCGGCGTTGAAATAGTTACTCCTGCCTCACTGTCAACGGAAGGAGCACAACATGAATTCAAGTCAACAGTGCATGGAAACCAACACTGACGACAAACCTGCTGACGAGAACTGAATTCGGCCACGTCTCGAGATGAGAGTTCATCGGAAGTGCCAACGATCCCAATTGCAGGGGCTGTCGCATACCTGAGTCACGAGGAGACATTGGTGGCGAGGTCATCATCCCGTCTTGCTCCCCTTCCGCAATCTCAATCGCATGGAAGAACCATCGAATCCATTGACTGGCGGCGGTGCCGCATGACATGGCATGACTACAACAGTATTTCCTTCATGAGAGCGTTGACCTTTCAGAACAGCGCAACCCACGTTCCTAAGTTTCGGTCGACTCGGAGAAGATCACCGCTTCTCATATTACGGAGGCCTGAGCTTGTCATCGGTGGCTTGACCCCAGCTTTGGTTCACGCGGCACGACAATCTCGGGGAACCTTAAATCATCAAATATTGGCCGAGGAAGCGGCCTGAGTGTCTGGTTGAGCCACACAGCGGTTTGGCCCTGCGAAGAACGTGAAACAATTTGATATCCAGAACCAATCAGTCGATCTTAGGTACCACATCAGAATGCAAGGGCAAAGCAGTCCTCTCATGCCTCAACGCTGGATATCCTCCGACTAACCATTCAGCTCCCGATTTGGTTGCCTTTCTTTCTTACAGAAAGGGCCATCTTACCTTGGATTCGAAGGTGAAGTCTTCGGATGACGGGTTCCAGAGGAGACAAGCCTCGATCAACAGCTCTCTGAAATTTTGGAGGAGCATTGAAGCCCACAACTCGGAACCTTTGTCGAGTACCTATAAACTCGCCCGCTGCTATCGTTTTCTTTCTTGGTAGCTTTTGTTACTCGACTGTCACTGTCTACGGCTCAGATCGGGGACCTCTGGGTTGCTGCACACTGTACGTTGCGCAGCGCCGTGGCGGTTGGGATGACTGGCTGGCTCGTACGGAGTGCAAGGCGGAACATACGGCGCGGGGTCCCCGTCTCCAACTGCCGGTCACAGTTGCACAGATTTGGACTGGACTGGGTCCACTCCCTGTCCTCAACAAACCGGCTTCCAACTCATACCATCCAGCACGCTAGCTTTCGAAATCTGTCCCTCATCAAACTCTTGGTTACCATGAACTATCATCGAGAGCAGCCTTGTCGAGTAAGGCAGCTGTTTTGGTCGCTTCTCGACAAGTCTCTCGACAAGTGCATACCATGCAACCTTTTTTTGTGAGCGACCAAGATCTCGTCCTCGTTGGTGGCTAGACTTGAGCACTTGAACGTCAGGGTGTCCGTTAACGGCCGACGGGCCGTAATTCCATATGCAAGGCAAGATCGTGCACACCGTTGCGGGGGAGTCTGCGGCTCTCATTCGTTCGCAGCCTGGCCCCACACGCGGCAATTGGGGTATCGGCCAATGGGCATCCTCACCGATGCCCACGATGGAGCCGCTCCCCGATTACCCGGCCGGCTTCGCTGTGCTGACAGCTGATGAGCATGGACATCACTCTTCTCCCCACCTGATCAGTCCGAGCATTCACATCCACAGCATCGCTCTCGCGGTGACTTTGCGGCAAAGAATTGAGCTTCAGTTAAACGCATAAGCCAGAGCAGTCGACCTGGCCATTACAGCTTGAACTCTGCATATGAGAGTAAGGTGTAATATATCGTTATATGGATAGGTACTCTGGAAAGTCGGGTGTAAGCCCGAAGCCATCCGTTTCTCCGTGGCTTCCACGTGTCAGGGATGCGGGTTCCGTGAGCCTTCCAGAAGGTTTCAACCCCTGCTCAGAACGGGGTAAAATTTAACTCCTGGCAACCTAGCCGAAAGGAGGATGCTGCTTGACCGCGACTTTCATGCCATAATTCGACAATTCCACTCAATTCAAGTCTGCCCACTCCGGCATCTAGGTTCGTTTCTGCTGGGACGGAGCGAACTACGTGTACATACGATTTCAAGCCAGGGACAAATCATATGTCCCCCCTGACGCACCGCGCTGTCAGACTCCGGACAGGGACTGGTTCTTCATCGTCACTAAAAGCGCGCCAACATACCGCCCCGCACCAACCACCAAAGTTGGAATCGGGATGCCGGTCCAGTTCATTTTACGGAGGTAGGTCGATTCACCTTCCTTTCACAGTGAACAAATGCTCCCCGCGACAGACGCACCCCATGCCAAGGCCCGGCATTCTTTCGCACCACGAGCCTTAAGCTCATCAGCCAGCTCCACCTTCCACACCCGAGTTCTCGGCGAGGCCGATAGCGTCGGGTCGCATCCACACTACGAAGTGGTCTTCTTTAACTAACTTATCATTTGGTGGCGCAGTCTGGTTCTTGGGCGGCCACACAATACCCACCTCATCTGCGGCTCATGCCACAACGGCTGCCGTTCTGACCGGGCGACAGGTGGCAACCACTCAACGGAGCGGAACAAACGTGGTCCCTGACATGCAAGTGTCAAGCAGGTACGGTTTGAGAGATCCCTGGTCAAGACAGCGACAACGTGATGCAACCTCGGAAGACACACATAGAGCCGTCATGGTTCCCCGCTACCGGCATCATCTATCTCCAACAGGCAGAGATCTGTGAGTGGTCGGCACCAGTGGGTCTCACTTGACAACCGCCAACGGGGTTGCCATTTGCTGTTGCCAATAGTGTTGGTTGAGATCGACAGCTTTGAATCTCGTGGGTGGCCATCCGTATCGGGGGACGGAGAGGCGTGAATACCGAAACCACGTGCCGGCATGTTTGAACTGCAGTTGTACTGCACCCTTACTGCGCCGCCTGATGTTACCTCCTCCATTCAGGACCGGAGAGCTCCCGCCGGAGCCGGCTTCAACGTGGCGATCCCCCAACTTCTGAGAGCTGATGAGCCCGTCATGGCAGAGGCCATTGATCCTATCGCGGCAGCTTCCATGGAGCACACCCCCGGGATGCGTCAAGGAGTGTATATCACCGGAAGTGATATGCGCACCGCTTGATTACCCCGCACTATGGGCCATTATCTGGCGTCGCCGTTGAGCCACAAGCCAACCATTGTGGGCTTGTTGTTATAGGACAAGCTAGACCCAAGCTGACTGCACGTTGAGGTGATTCATGGCTTCGGGGCAGGACGGTTTGGGACACGGTGCTAGGTCATTCACTTCGGCAGATGGAACCCAACTGGTCATCAAGTTCGGTAGTCATCAGCAACTCAAGCAACCGTGTTGGCACACCACCGGCCAGGCTCTTGCGCAGCTGGCCGGACGCGTCGGCTCAAGGCGGCGGAACGTCCGCCTGAAGTGTCATCCCATCGGTTGAGTCCGGCACCTGTCAGATCTCCAAACTTGACCCACACGGGTTCTGTGGAGATTGGGAGCCGCTTGGTCTTCCGAGTCTCGCAGAGCGGATCCCGATCTCGAAGTGCTCTGCAAGATGCCATTGCCAATGTGGCCTGCGGGTCGGAGTCGCCTATGCTTGGGTTTCTGGGCAACCAAGGAGCGTGGTCGTCATTCTGTTTTGCCGAGGCCCAAATAAACCCCTGGATGACAGCTCCTTGCTTTTGCCCAGAACGCCCTCGCCATCCACCAATGCTGTTTCCGTGGACATCAATCTCGATCGGAAGCGGCTCCCGAAGAAAACGTCTGCACAGTCAGTTTCTGGTCAAGCACATGGAAGCTGACCGTCAGGTTGCCCACGATCCCACGGCACTGCGCAGCACCGTCCCAACTTCTCTATACCAACACCCCGAGCGCTGACAGTATTTCCCTTTCGATATATTCGCGACCGTCGTGCCAGCCTTTCTGGGCGCAAGTGACGACTTTCTAGCCGGGAGTCGAGTCGGCCCGCTGGATGACACGTTCTGTGTTTTACATCTGCGTGTGCCTTGCAGACGCTGCCGCTGCCGGGGCCGCGGGTGCCAAACAAAGGGACGACGCGCATGGCGCCCAGCAGAGCGGGAGCAGGGTTCTTCCCCGCAAAGATCGTTCGGAGACAAAGTCAACGTCGACCCAAAGGTCTGGTGATCAACGGGGTGTTCATCTCTTTTGCCGTTCAACTCATCGTCCCATCTGTTAATCCCTTCTCATCGTCGAGACGGCTTATTCCGTCTGACGACTGGTCTGCCCTACGGCGCTGCTTGGGACAAGCGCATGAAGAGAAGAGCTGCCAGGATTATTTCCCTGTCGTTTCAAGGACCATGAGTCGCCCAGCCCACGTGTAAGTTGCTGGCACGCATTACGGACCGATGTGAGGCGACGGGTATATCCGGCTATCGAGACCCATGGCCATGTTTCTTTTAGAACCTACCTTCCATGCTTGTTCGTTGCATGGCTGGCTCACTTTTCTGTGAGGAAGAGGGATCCCAAATCGTGAGTTGCAACATCCAGGCAAGACGCTGCATGCATCCCGCCCGTCTTGACCTCAACCACTGCCTGGAGATTCAAGGTTCGTCTGGGGAGATGCATCTTGAAACTTTCAAGCTGTCTTAAAAGAGTTTGCCCGCGGCCCTGTTGCAGACAGCGTTCGTCTGTGCCTCGGTATAGACGGCAACTGGGTTCTCAGGCTATCTGCCGTCTTGCTGTATCCTGAACCTGTCGCTTCACAGCAGTCGAGATTTTTGAACTCCATCAGGTCACAACGTACTCTCCCGACAGGACTCAATGCTTTCTCTGTTTCTTGGAGATATGTTTCCCACGCCGCTGCAATCCTTTCGGTGCTCCCAAGGGCAAGTCCACATAGATTCCGGGCAACCATCAGACCTACACGCCTCCCCAGCGCCCCCGGGTCCAGTTTAGGGGCTGACAGCTGGTAAATCCAGTGACTTCTCCTCAAATAGGGGTTCAGAGTCCGGATCAACACACGGCTCCTTTAAACCATATACGTGTTTTGGATGTCTAGATGCCTACCCAGTCGCAATCCCGTGTGTCACTCCCTTCCAGTAAATCGGAGTTATGAAAGGGGGGTTGACCCTCGGATTTTGCATGTGATCCGTGGTGCCCTAAAGACTGGTCGACATCAGAAGTGGTAAGTCTGCTCTAAGCCCTTATGTCAACTGCAGGCACTCTTCGAGAAGCATTCTGCATAAAGGTCAGCCGACAGTGGCACAGTGTCTGGCTCGTTCATCTGACCTTATCTGTCTCGATGAGACGATCATGGTCCCCCTTTCTTTCCGCCTCTGACAGCGTTACACAGGTATGATGATCTCTGCATCTGCCGTCTCCTTGTTCTCTCTCCGATTTGTTCTTCCCCCTTCTCCATTGGCTCTGGGCTTTTTCCCTTTTCGGGGGCTGCTGCAACAGTGATAGACTTGTAGGCCGACAGCAGATGTGGATCATATGTTAATATTGCAAAATAGTAGTCCTTTGTTGGTGAAAAGGCGTCCCGGTGCATCCCTTCCCGGCTGCCACGCGGAAGTGGATGCATACCCGATGCCGAGCAATGCAAACGCAAAATCTGGCTATCCAATCTCCTCAGGATCAGATGTAATCCCGGATGATGCCGGCACTTGTGTTGCGGTAGACGGAGTTGGACAGGTGGCTCCTGTATGCCGCCATTACCGGCCATGGTCCTCGTGGGCTTGGTAGCTTTCTCGTCCCTGGAGACATGTGCTGTGAATCGCACTTCCAACCGCTGATATGTCGACTGCTCATGAGTAAGTGTGAATTGAGACAGCTTTCAGGCCCTCGGTTCGAACATCGATGGACACGGGGCCAATCATGCAGTGGCATGCTGGATGGGGTGCTCCCCCCCCCCCCCCCCCCCCCCCCCCCCCCCTTCCCTCCCCACCCAACGCTCGGTTGTCGAAGATAGACTTCGACATGACGAGCAACATTGACGTCTTCGCAATGGCATCAGTCAGCTCCTGACTCGGGCAAACGAACGACGAAAACTTCCGCCGACTGCAATACGGCCAGCGAGACATGGGCTTCGACCATGGCATACTATCCAGTATTCCACACCTTACCGATATCACGCAAATGAGTCAAAACTAGCATAGCGAAGCTCAAGAAACGACAGGCTTTCGCGTAATAATGTAGATATCTCGAGCGGATGGTGTTTGGAATACACCTAATTCCATGGAGAGTCTGGCCCAGGGGCTCCGCTCAGGGATTGAACAATTGCCTGTCCTCCAAACCTGGAAAAGCCGGACACTGGGATGCAGGACACGGACGTTTCAACTGCAGTGGAGAGTCCCATTTGAAATCGGGGCGACAAACACTAATCATAATGGAGAAACGCTTCATAACAGCCGATGATGCTGCTCGCGGAGTGATTGGGATGATGGGGGCTAATGGTCAAGCCGGCTCTCCCTATACCTCTGGTCCTCGGTGTCATGCATGCTGCCTAGTATTCCGTACTGGTTCTGAGCTCACCATGAGTCTACAGAGACCTCGAAAGGTCAAAAAAGATCAAGAACTGTACGCCTATGGTCATGGAGGTCCCCATTGCCAATGGGTAGGTGATGAGGATAGCAAGACTCCCGTAGAAATTCCATGGACCAAACCGGAGTCAGCAATCAGGCGCCGAGTCTCTACACGCAGAGTTCATTTCCCGCTGCCCCATTTGGGCCTTGATCTGGCGCATCAGGCTCGCACCTTGCTCTGCTTCCTCGACATCGCGCTTCATCCTCTCCTCGTATTCTGGTGAGAGAGCAACGGGGAAGTCCAAGCCCGGCGGCCATTTGTCTCGAGGATCAAGCATGAGAGATGCCAGGTGCGCCTCGCCGATTCTCGTAGACGCGACGTGCGACGTGATACTGCACTGGGTTCTTGCTTCGGACAAGGCGGTGCCAGGCGATCATGAGTGCACGCTCAAAATACTCCTCTCTTGCGTTGCCTTCTCTGGCTCGGACAGGCCCTTTGTGTCGAGAGAACCTGGCTTTTTCAAGGTCGTCGCCCAGTTCCGGGCCCTGTTACTCAAGGAAGGCTGGTTCCGGATGATGGTCAAAGAGTGGGACCGCTTGAGTACCCAGCCAGTTGATGATGGCGGTGATTTCGGTGGGCTTGGCGGGATTGACCAAGATGTTCTTCGTCATGCAATCGCCGTGTCACAGACGACTGAGAAGCATGTCTTCGATCACTGGATCAGGTATGTTGGGCAATAGGTGCCCCAAAGCTGAGAGATAAGCATTGATTGCCCAGAGCTTCTTGGACGGCGAAGGCTGGTATAAGCGTGATCTTCGACTATTACAAATTGGACTGTGTGATCAGAAAAGATGCTCGTAGCGCCGCTTGCTCTCTTACCCAATGGCTCTCCGATAATCCAATGCAGAGGTCCCTGGGAGTCATCACCATCAGTGTGTCGATTCTGGTGTTGGCTTGCCAGCGCAATATGGGCACTCACATGGACCCCTATCACACACCAACCCTTTCCGCCCAACATCACACCAGTCTCTGCCGACAGCCAGGCCAATAACAAACTCTCTGTCAGACAGGTTACTGGACGCAGTCGGTACAGGTATCGACATCCCGCTCGAGACGTCCATCCGCATAATAAAGGCCGCCGTATCCTGGAAGTTGGTTTGTAAGCTGGCTTCTCATTATACGGTAGATCTGTCGAAGAAGCTTGGCTCGTTCCGGATACCCAAGGCTTCTCCGGGCCTCACTTCAAGGGTACGCCTTCGGCCTTTTCATGATGATGTATTCAGCACCGACGGCATTGCTCTCTGCGCGGTAGTTCCAGGCCAGGACCATAGAGGCCGGAGTGGACAATAAATTGCGCACCTATGCAGCAGACGTGAGCAAGATCGATAAGGTCTGGGCAAACTGGAGGATACCAACATAATGCATGGTTACAACCTCGCTGGCAATGGTGTGATGCACCACTCCTGCATTTGGGTTCGGAACCTTGCAAATTACCTCCCTGCCGTAGTTCGTACGGAAGAGATAGGCCTTGTCGTGGAAACCATCAGGGCATTCCTGGACATGCACGCAGCGGTCGGCTGCAATCAACGAGGCGGCAAACCGGGCCAGCTCGTTCATGTTGAACCGCACGCATTACTCGTCGTGCACAAAGCGGCGGCGCGTAAACGTAAATAGGCATTCATCCTCGTTTCTGTTGAGATCTGTGTCGGTGCTGTCAGTTGTTCATGTTCGTCGGATATGGGAGCAGAAGATGGCGTACTGGTGCTTGTGAGTGTCAGAGTCTTCGTAGGAAGCCAGCCAAGTGCACAGATTTGATGGAATTTCGGCATTGGTAATATGAAACTCTCAACAAACGGTCCATTCTTAGTTTTTGAGGCTTTCGTCATGATGTCGCCGAGCCTCGGGGAGACGCATGAATTGAAGGGAAGTCGCTGCTCAGAACAAGAAGCCTTGTTGCCGTGGCAACACCCCTATCAATGCTGCATCCAAGTCAACTTGAATGAGAAACACTTCAGTTCTGCACACATCAGAGAGGGAATCAAAGAACCGCATTGGAGAAGTCTTTAATGAAGGGGCGCTTTATCGGTTCTCTATCCAGAAGCAAAAGGGGATGGATGGGGCCTAAATACTCGAGGTTTGTGTCCTTTGCTATTCTGATGGCGTCAACAATGAAGTTCTATCGAGTAAAAATATACAACACCGAGGATTCGCTGGTCGTCATCGACCAAGTACCGGGACTTGTCGTATGTCGAAGCCCGGGGAGGCAACGCGGTGCGGGTCCGGCTGGAGAGGGGGCGAGGGAGCAACCTGCAGGCAGTGCAGTGGTGTCCCTCGGTTAGCTCCCGAGTCTTGCCTCTCGAACATCCGAGTTGCCAGGAGAGGCAATGTTCTGAAGGGTGGCTGTTCCTGCTCTCCCATTACAAAGTGGGACCCTCTTGAGACATTCTCCCCTCCCCCTTTCTGGTCTTGGTCACCCAAGCGAACCGGTCTCTCACCGTGTTCAAGTTCCAGGGCGCACAGGTGGATACGCTTACCGACCAGTCAAATCGGGAACCGCAGTGAAGCACGAAGCCATTTTTGACCGCTTTCGTGTAATTCCCTCGGCATCATGCACTCATGATAGTAACCTGAACCCAGGGATCTGCGGTACTCGACAACCGTCATGATTACACTACGACTACTACAGCCATTACCGGGCGACTACCGTCCCGCTTCGTGTGTCCCTAGATCCATCACGCATATTTCATCTAACTTCTAGGCGAGCAGCACTTGCTTGTCCTTCTGCAGCTTCTCGGCAACCTCCAGAGGGATTTTGAGAGTCTGGGCCACAATGTCGGCCGGCGTCAAGGCGAGCCATTGCGTCAGGGATCGATCTTACCCAATCTTGTCAAAGTCGGCGTCGTCAAACACCAGAAGGAACTCATTTTCATCCTCCAGACCCTGAATCGTATGTGCCATGCCCTTGGGAAAATACCAGATGTCGCCGTAGTTGAGCGTCACAAGCTGGAATCTTCCAAACTCGTCAACGGCCGAGATGCGGACGGAACCCGCATATACAAAGCCCCACTCGGCAACCCGGTGCCAATGCAATTCCCTGATTGCGCCCTTGGAAAGATGTTGCTGGGCAGCGGAGACGTCGTGGCTTTGCGGAAGGTCCTGGATCACCTGCTCCCGGAGCCATCCGCCCCGAAACAGCCGAGTCTTGAAGTCCGAAAATCGCCCTCTGAGGTTGGGTACGATTCCGTTGTCTGTGGCTTGTCGTCCAAGGTTATCAGGATTCGCAATGTCGACCTGCTGATTCGTTCCGCCTGTGACTCGAAAGTCAGTCATCCAGCACTCATAACAGCAAGAAGTGAGTAGGTCTCCGTTACACAAGATGGGAGCTCCCTTCCCATTCCCGTCGACGGGTTGGCCCTTGTCAAACTGGGGACCTGAGCTGCGGGCCGGCAGTGTCACGCCTACGACAGCATGCGCCAGGGCCAGAGCTGACAGTTGCAGTAAGAGCTTCATGGTGTGAAAGGGTGCTTGAGGAGACCGAACGAACGACGTAAAGGGAGAAAGCCTGCTACCCGACTGAGAAAGGAGGGGGGGAAGGCTTCTGGTCCGTTTTTATGTGACATGCTCACGCGACCTCTCATGAGAGCGTCAACTCCTCACACCCTACTTGGCGGATCGCATCACGATCCTGAGATGTGATGCGCCAGCAAGTTTTTCAGCTCGGCAAGACTCTACAAGGGCAATGTGGACGTGAAGCGGGTGAATTTGAAGCTGGACAAGGACTGGACATCCCACGTCGAAGTTGCCGAGAGGATGCTTCGCTGTCCTGCATAGGGAATATCTATGGGTGATCGGAATAGCTTGCGTCAGGCAAAATATGTCGTGATCGTGGGATGTAGGGCCAGAGCATTGCGTTTGAGGAGAGGCCCAGCCTGCGGCTGACACATTAGGTGTAGCGCGCCTCGATTAGGCGGGATCGCGACATCTTGTAGGTCCCTTGCGACTTCCGGCTTTCAGCCGAAGTGAGACTTGATAAACATGCTCTATACAGACTGGAGAATTGAGATCGGCGGCGGAATTGTTACTCGGGAGACTAGGTATACATATACGTGTAGGCAACAAACCCACCCTCTCTCCGCCTCTGCTGGATGCTGTTCTCTATTTCTGTGAGGTCAATTGAAATCACTTCTATTTTGTCGTCGATGAAGCCCCCTCCATTGTCACGGCTTAATCGAAGACTGGTAGGATGCCCATGGCTACGTCTAAGGACAACCCTAACGAAGTAGTGAGGGCTGATTTCCCTATTGAGCCTCCTGCCATCGTCGTTTACCCAGCAATCATCCTTTAGTATAAAAGATACCCCCATGTCGTTGTAGTCCAATGCCAAAGTCAAGGATCTGATGTAAACCGCAAGGCGCTCTCATCTTCCGTGTCCGGATGAGCTGTCGTCGTTGGTCAGGTCGATGACGGCAGTTGGCCCAGGTACTTCAGAGGTGTTCTGTCTGGTCCGAGATTTGCTGGTCATCACCAACCCAACTACTATCCGGCCCTTAGTAGTTTATCTATGGTAGAGCGAACGGGATCCCGAGTTTTCTAGTATATGTGCTTGTCGAGAGTGGAAAGTTGTTTTATGACGTTTGTGCTCAATGTGACGCTTTCAGTCGTCGACTAATTGAAAACTAGAGCTAAGCGGTAGGATATTGTCACGGCACACAACGTGCAGCCATATTATTGCGCGCTCTATGTCAATTTGTGATTTTGAAGTCACCCGCTATAGTAAAAAGAAGGGTATAAGTACTATAGCTAACTAGGCTAGCGAACTAACTTAAATTCTAGCTATACGGCTAGCCTATACTCTAGGAGCCTCCTACAGTCTAGTAGCCACCTAATCACCTTCTTTACAAGCTATTTCTCCTTGTTTCTGCACCCGTCGAGGGTCTTATGAAGGCCCCTTTGAGAGCGGATCTCTATAGCTGGCCAAGTTCTAAGCTCCAGCAACTCGTCTGCCATAAAGCCTTTTGTCCCGCACCCGAAGATGACTGCGTCATGAACCGTATCAGAAAGTACTACAGGAAAGCCGCGGACCGGAGGTGGAAACGGTATGCGTGCCCGATAACAATCCGACTGTCTCTGGAGCTGACTATGTCTAGTTTGGGGGTTGATTGCTGACCATGGCTTTCCGAGCGCAGACATCGAAGTGGCGGACGGTCACCATGGCCCATGTCGAAACAGTCATTCTGCCTGTCCATCGCTTCATCAAGGCTCTTGATTGAGACTCTTGGCAACCAGCGGATACGTGAGAAACTGTTGGGTTCAGTGTTCCCTGACAAGCTCCAAAGTGCGTATGTCCGGGCTAAAGATCAAGCCGATTTTCTACTCTATATCGAGGTAAAAGGCCGACCGAGCACCTACACCATTACTTCAGCGTCAACCTGCAGAAAGCCAGGAACAAACGAATGGAGAACTGCGTTTCCGGTGCTGCGGATGGCGACTGGGCCCGGGTTTCAAACGTCATATCCCGGTTGACGAAAGACAAGAGCAATGTCGAGCAACCCACGGACGATAACCATGACATCCTCGAAAGCTACTATAAGGTCTTCCGCAAGAGATTTGTAGACGTCATCTGCCGCCAAGTTGTGGAACACTTTCTGTTGGACGGCCGCGACAGCCCGCTGTAGACGCTGACTCCGGAGCTCATCGCAACGATGAGCGATGCCCAGCTCGGCATGATCGCTGGCGAGGATGCCACAACGAAGCGCCAGAAGGAGCGCCTTGGTTCTGAGATTCAGGGACTGGAGGCCACGACGAAGGTCTTGAGGGGCTTGAAGGAGGTGCGATATGCACTGGTACCATTGATCGGTCGAGAGTCGGATACTGAATACCATCTGGTGCATCTTGTCGAGATGCGAAAGAGATGTAGAGTAGCCGTTGGATTTGATGGCAATGGAAGAGAACGAAAAAGTACTTTTCGATCTACTCTCCTGCGTCTTTGTCGTCGTCTTTTCCTCCTCGCCTTGGCCTTCCTTTATCCCCTCTATCTTCGTCTGTATTTGGATTTTCTCTTCCTCTTCCTCATCTTCTTAATCTTTTTTCAATGATCATATTCTTCCTTTTCTTCTTCCTCGTCCTCTCCTCCACAATCTTCTTACATTTCGTCCTTCGCTTAATCTCCAATATGCGCTGACCTCCACACTGTTATTTTCCTGCACGCTGGGCCTCCAGCCTCGGTACCAGATACTTCGTTTCTCATTCCAACCCTTTCCGGGCACATGATAGCGTGCCCACAAACCTATCATCCAGCTACCTCCATAGCCTCCATCTTCTCATCCATCATCCTCGCCGCCTCCTCCTCCGCATCAACCTTATTCCCAATCCTCACCCCCAACCCCCTCCTGCTCAGCTCCGCCTCAACATGCTTCCTCATAATCATTCCCCTTTCGACCCCCATCGCCTTCATATCCTCCCTGAGCTTCCTCCCCCACCCTTCAACACTCCTCATCCCTACGACCAAAAACCCTAATTCCTCCCTCTCGACATCAAACACCTCCCACCACTCACACTCAGGCATCTTGGCTCCGACATCCCTTGCAGCATTATATATCGCCGCCACCGCCAGCGTGTTAGGCTGGCTCGTAAGGTACAGCATCTGGGGCGACAGCAGCGCCGCGTTTAGATACTGCACGGCCTTCCCGCCTATCGTCTCCTTTGGCACGTGCAGGAACTCGAGAGCCTGCAGGTAGGTTACCGCCAGCGGATGCGGTAGCGCGACGTGGGTGTCGAAGGAGAGGGCGTAGAGCACGCGGCCTTCGAGGGCGAGAAGGCGGGTGTGGAAGGCTTGGTAGGCTGTTTCGGAGACGTAGTAGGCGGATGGATTGTTGTTATTGTTGTTATTGGGGGCGGTCGGCGGGGAGAAGAAGGTGGATGACGCGGAGAGGAGGTAGGCGTAGACGTTGGAGAGGTCTCGTGGGGACCGTGGGTGAGGGGAGCACTTCGCTGTGAGGTAGAGGGTGGCGGCGGAGACGTCCTGGGGTAGGATTTGTCGTTAGCTTTGCAATCTTAAAAGAGAGAAAGAGTCGGAGAATGGTACGCTAAATTCATGAGCCATAAGTGGCTCTACGAGCCAGTACCGTGCAAGCAAGACATTGGCCTGGGCTGTCACAGATTGGGGGAGTTGGAGGAGGATGCCGGCGGCTTGGGTGAGGCATTGTGTTGCAAAGAAGATGGTGTCTTGGAGTTCAAGAGGCAGAGCGCCGAAAGATCGTCGCTGGAATAATCGGTCTGGCGTCGCCAGCGGATTCGTCATGTGCGACATGGTGAAGTTGCATCGTTCCTGTGGTTGTCAGGTATGGGGAAAAGCTCCCGAGCTCGTTGACGTTGGTTGTACTATGGTTTGGCCGACGAGAGCCGCACGCACCAGTATGTCATCGGTTGCGGGTCTTGGCTTGGCGCACTTTGAAGACCTACATCAGGGTTAGGGTCAGCCTACCATCACTCACACGATGACAACGGCCATGGATGTAAATCGCCAAACAATGACAGGTCAGTCGCTGCTGACGTGCAGAGCCATAGTCAAGATAGGGTCAAGTTATGTTCAAGACAATCTCTTCTCAAATCTGCTGCCTCGTGTGCTGCAGTTTCCAACCTATGATCGTGAAACCAGATTTGGCATTAACACCACAGTTGACGGTAATTATTGCACTGTACTTGTAAGAACATGGGTTCATAATCTAATGTTCTGCCCCGTCATTTCCAGCTAGGACGCAACAGATCGTGGTTGAGGAATAACTCAGTGGCGTCGTAGGCAGCAAAATGGGAGCACACCCGTCCGTGTTCCATAGCTTCAGCTCCATCTTCATTGGCAGGTCTGTGAGATGGACAGCGCAACTGCCGAAGGTCCTTGATCCGAATTCAGGGCTCGCTCGCTCTCCTTCTTTGCTCTTTCGTCCCCGGCCGTAATCGTGAGATAGAAGTGGCAGGTTCCCCTTCATCCTTGATGAACCCCACCACCAGACCTCGCGACGAAGTTGTGGCACAGCAACCACACAGAAAAGACCAGTGGTGTAGTGGTTAGCATCCGGGAAAGCGTCTGTGCCGTGTCGGCAACAGGTTCTCACTCCTCAGAGCTGAGCACATGTTCGCGATGAGTCGCACTGAGTCGACCAGGTTTCCAAGGTTCTCGGTTCGAATCCCAGGCGAGCTCTTTCCTGAGCAAACAATGACGGAAGACTCAGGTTTTTGCCATTCCCCTTTATTTCCTCTCCAGCATTCTTGAGCATCATTGCCCCCC